GTCAGGACCGGGACATAGAAGGCACGCAATGGTGCTCACCGCGGCGAAGACAGTTTCCTTGAGGGCATCGCGCCAGTCCTGGAGACCAAAGGACCCGCTCGTCTTCATCACCTCGAGGTTCACGGCCTGCTCTTCAAGTTGGCGGATAGCCAGGCGACGAGTTTCCGCGCGAAGCGCGTTCAAAGCGAGCTCGACGTCAGCAAGGTGGTTTAGCATGGTGTGAAGCGCGAGGGGGGTAGCAGACGAAACCGTCTGCGAGGACTTTATACCCTGGCAAGATCGCAGATCGCATCGATGTCGACCGGGGACGGTCGAAAGCTCAGTGGGGGGGAGATGATACGCCCGGTACCGAGCCACCACCCGCCCGGCCTTCTTTTCGCGGTTTCCGCGGGTTCGCGAGACCTCCACTGGGGCAGAGGCCTCTTCGCGGCGCGGGCGCGGAGGGTTCGCACTCGCGCGGAACAACTTATCGCGCGATATCACGACCGCATGGGCAGACACGCGCGGAGGGGGTGTGTTCCGCATCGCCGGACCGGCAGGGCGCAGGGGCGTGTTCCGCGTTTACGCGGTAGACGGCTGGCGCATCGCGGGCGCCGGTCCCCTCCGCGACGGACGTTCCGTAAAGACTTTCTGATCACTGTAGCACGGTTTTGGCTGGCCCTGTAAATACCTACGCCCTCGGACTGTGAGAATTCAGATTCCCCTTGGCTCAGATTTCACCTTCTCTCACGAAGAACCTTCGACGACCCTGCGAACTGCGAACTGCGAACTGCGAACCCTGCGAACCCCTGCGAAATAGTGTTTAGCGTTGCGATAGCGTTGCGAACCCCCTGCGAAGCCCAACACGGGCTGCGAAGAGGCCCTCCTGCGTCCCGCGGAGCGCCAGCTCAGCTGAGTTGTCATCAGTCCACCGTCCTTCCCTCTTCCGTTCCCTCTACTGCGTTTCTCCCGCGTACCGCGCCGCCCGAAGGGCACCCGACACGAACCTGCTTCTCCTCACGCTTCGCGAGACGTTCCGCTGCCCGGTCTCGACCTCCTAGGGCTCTCGACCGTCTCCTTCTTCCGTCCTTACCGGTCGGTTGAGTGCATCACCGTTCCGCCGAGCGATGTCTTTGTCCATCCAGTTGCAAATAATAGCGGTGGCGAGGGGGAGAGGTGGTGGCTTGCGCGAAGATGGCACATGAAATTTCTTGTTGAGCTCCTTCAACTTGGTGAGCCTGAACCGCCACTGGTCAGTACACCGCCCACATTTCACCGCCGTAGGATGTACCTGATGTAGTAACCAAATTTGTTCTCTAGGTGTTTGATTCGCCTCTCCAGAGGGAGATGCTCCTTAGCATACTGGAGGAGCTCTTCCCTCAGTTCATCGTCGGGCGGAACTACAGCAATCTCAGCTGTAGTAGGGGTATGGCAGTAGCAGACTAGGAATGAAGCATACCTGCACCCTGGTCATGGCTGTTGTATCCTGCAGGGTTCGGCATGTAGAAATAGTGTTGTCTTGAGTCTTGGATGTGAGCCTGTAGAGTGTACAGAGGGAGGAGACGGGGGTGGGACTTGCATTCCAGCGGAGCCGGGCTCGTACTGCAACTATTTATGCAGGTGTGCTTAGCCCAGCAATACCTGGCAAATGGCAGACCTATCTCTCAGAGGACAATGCACAAAGACGATGTATAAAGTGTGCATACATATGCCCCGCCACCAATGTTGAGCCAAGCGGTACTATTGAGTGTGGGTGGCTCGCGGGGCACGGCAGTCAGGCGTCACATTTGTGTGCGCAAATCCGGCGGCGCGGGTCATTGGCATCCGGATCAGGCGAACGTGAGTGCAAGGTGAGCTGTTCACATTAACTTGTCAATCACATAGCAGGCGTTGGGCTGCTCGAAGAGCCTGGGCGTCCAGGGCGCGATGACCTCGCACCGGGCGTTGGGCTGCCCGAGGAGCACCGCTCATTGGCTACTAGGGCACGGGCTCGATTGGTCATAGGGCGGGGTACAGCATGCGTTGGCGGCAAAAGTCGGTGATGCGCGGACTGTCTGTGATGTCTCCCATATGTTATGCAGTAGGTGGAGGTCCCGACAGTCAGCACAGAGCGGATGTCCAGTGTGCTCACTCTTCGAGGGTGTGAGAAATAAGGCTTAATATGGAACATACAAGTGCTTAATACCTACAATGCGTAAATGTAAAATGCATAAATTGAACCTCGGCTCTCCCGTCTATCATAGAGGGGGTAAACGGGATGGGTAATGAGATATCTGAACTGAGGTACTACGGCATTCCAGGCGCGTATTTAAGGAACAGAACCTTATTGTTAAGGAAGACAATAAGAGCGTAAGGAATATCAAATCCGGAGTTCAGAGATTCCGGAGTTCCGGAGTCCGGGGACAAAGACAATAGAGCTTATTGTTAAAGGACAAGATGATGAAAGAATGGTGCAATCATAAGGGAACGTACACGTGAAATCCGGAGTTCCGGAGTGCGGGAAAGTCGGAGTATGAAGTCCGGAGCGTGGGAACTCGGAGTACGGAGTCCGAAGTGCGGGAATTCCGGAGTTCAGAGCGGAGGTGCACACGGAGCATAACACCCAAAGACCAAGAGGTCAAGATGAGGGCTAGGGTCGCTACAGGTGGGGTTTATATACTGAGTCAGGGGAACCAAACATGTACAAATGTAAAGGTGGTCTGTGCGTGCTTTAGTGCCAGTCTGCAGGTAGGGGTCAGGTGACTGGTCACATGCTTTAATTACTGGTTCTAAGTCTAAGTGTTGTACAAATGGCCGTAGAAAATAAGGAAAAATGCGGAAAAATACGGGGGTCTCGTCGTCTCCGCGATACCATAGTTCTGGTCCAGAACAGGCAAGGAATAGGACAGGAACTGGATTTCTATCCAAACCTGTCTACCAGCCTGGTTCAGGTCTGGAATAGGCATTACCTAATACTGTAGAGATCAGACCGTAGCAGCGGCGGGGCTGGGTGTGACATGTTTGGTACAATGCAGCAGAGTGGCAGGGTCCACAGCAACCTGTGACGGTGCCGTCCGGAGCGGCAAATGTGACACCCAAACCTGCCGCCGCGCCAGCGGTGGCCGGCGCTACAGTGTACGGTACCTTGGTCACAAGCGGCGGCGGCGTCAGTGACCAGTGACCGAGGGGCCAATAGCGATGAGGCGGAGGTCCCTGTGACCTGTGACACACCGCTACGGTCTGATCTCTACAGTATTGAGGGAGACTAGAAACTGAGTGAAAGGCCGTGTTAGCTTGGCTTACCATGATGTAAGCAAAAGTTCCAGACCTGAACTAGTCTGGGGGACAGGCTTTGCCATTTGGACAGGAATCCAGTTCCTGTCCTATTCCTTGCCTGTTCCAGACCTGAGCCTGGGTGCTTTGCGCATCGTGTGTGAATGGGCAAGAGTGGAGAGGAGCCGTGGGCCACCAAGTGCCTTTGCTAGAAAGGTGACATCGAGCTCTCGACCATTAAATCCACCTCGAGGCCTATACAGGTTCTTGAGTGAATCTTTGGTGCAGGAGATCAAGGTGTGAGGACTTGCTCCCTTCTGAAGGGCTACACAAAGGAGGCGGCGTAGGTGTGGTACATTGTGGGTGGCTAGAAGCATTATAATTTTTTGATGGTCGCCAATTTTTTGTTGCAGTGCTGAGAGCTTTTGCTCTGCATTCCAAAACTGTTTGAACAGTCAGGACATTATATAGCATTGCTTATGAGTGCTCTCGAACTAACCCTGAGTTGCAGCTGTCGATACTTATCTGAGGTCTTTCTCAGAACACCGTCCAGCTGCTTGTACGTCAAGCAGGCCCAAAGAGTGTGATCTGATGCCTTGTTCGCTCAGTTCATGCATGCAAGGAACTGCTCCGAACTGGGAACAGCAGCTCATATCAGGCAGGCTTTGCCTGCACCCAGAACCCTGACAATACAGTCTTTGGAGCAAATCCACAACCAGTGGTCGTTCTCTACTGCAATAGGCTCCCATGGGAGGTGGTAGGCACCTTCAGCATGGTGTTGGTATAGATATTTGTTCCACATTGAACCTGCCATCCACCCCACCAGGACCCCTCGGCACGGAGTCTCCTGTGTTGCCAGATTGGAGCGCATCTCTGCCATAGAGCTGCAGAGAACACTGACATCTCAGTCATCTCCAAGGATGCTCAAAGAGAGAGCACTACCACCCCGTGTGGGTGAGGGGTTGGTGGAAACCTGCAGGCTGCTGCAGCCTGGACTCGGAGCCCAACTGCAAGAAGTTGGAAGGCAAGTTGCGGATGTGAACAGCAAATTTTGCGATGGAACAGGTGCAGAGGTCAAAGGAGAGATGGTTGGGGTATCGCTCCAGCAATGTGACAGTGATACAGAGGGTCTGCTTGTTATCACTGCCGCAGGTGTCCTGGGGGCACTGGTGGGAGTACTGGGGCCTGCCCCACTGCCAATACTTGCCCAGATTGCAGCAATCTTGGTGGTTTTCTTGGCTTTCTGCTGCCTCCTAATATTCTCATTGCACTTTGTCGACTGCCAGTGCATGGAGGATGGGCCACAGGTTTGCCTTCTCCTTCAGGAGGACAACTTGACCGCATAGATTGTAGGCCACTTTGTGTTGGCGTTTGGCAGGATCAAATTCAGTCCAGAGAACTGTAGCATCATCAAAATAGATTGCAAGGGGTGTTATGGAGATATTTTGGCTGCCTGAAGATGAGGTCATTGTAATTTGTAATGGTAGTGGTGGTAAAACATTCACAAGGCACAAGCAAACATATCCTTGCTGCACAAATAGATAAGAGCATTGGAGTCAATCAGTGCCCATTATGGCAAGTCCCCAGTGTCTCTTTCCAACCTCCTCAAACTCATCACAAATGTTGCAATTGGAGAGTTCTGTCTCATCTTTGCAGCTAGTGCAGTGGCACATTAGGTAGATATGTTTTGCAATACCTCATTACAGAATTTTGGGGACATTTCATTGGGAAACAAAGTAGGTACAAGACTTCGAGTCAAACCACGTGGGAAGAGTGTCTTTCAGGACCCCAAACACCAGTCTTACCACCACCACCACCCAGGTTGGTGTCAGTGCTCCCCACAGCAGATGCCCCTTGGTCTGACCCCTCATTCCTCCAGAAATGAATGACCACCACAATGTCTCTGAGCATTGCTAATAGCTTTGCTGAAGCCCTTTCCTCCCCATGCCGCACCTCTGTCCAGACTCTGTTCAAATTGGGCCTACTACACAGCACACATCCTAACAACAGGTCTACCATCAAAAACCAGCTTCCTTGACTGAGGCTGCTCTCAAATGACATATAATTGCTGCCCTAAACTCAATCCCCCTCATCTCAATCCACTGCCAGTGGTGAGCTGGCTTCAAATTGTCAGCCATAGGTGCAATGATCTGACCAGTAATGAAGCTTCTATACTTGACATCCAAGGTTGATCATGTTACATTCCTTACATCTTCTGAGCACTGATATAGACACTGACCAGGATACAGACTTGGTTGATCTAACAGGCAATGCCTGTCCACATATATACTACTTACTGGCTGCTTCTCACACCTGTATTCGTAAATTGCATATAGTCACAATTATTCTTGATGAACAAAATCCATCACTATCTGGTGAAAGAACTAAGGTCACTTCAATAAGCTGGACCAACATAGACAACCATCAGGAAAGGACGGGTGCTCTTAGCTCTACATGCAACACAAATGTATCTTGGAAGATATGAATACAAAAGAAAATGAAAGATACTAGTGCACAATCTCATATACCAAGTATGCTATGCTCCAAGGGATCCCTCCATCTGCTCCCTGTACCCTGTTCCCCCTCATCAATATCACTGCCCGAACCTTTATGTTGTACAACAAGACTCGGAACGATCGAGAATGCCTTCAGTCGATTACTCTGCACCAGCCATGCGAGCGCCTGGTCGAGTGCCCTCGAATATGCAAAGGGAGGATATGTGAGATGATAGAGTAGCCGGCGAGCGCTGGCGGGATTGACCGCGTAGGCGTGCGTGCACTTCGGGGCGAATGACGGATGGAGAGCGACCGGTGGGGCGCTTGAGGACAGCGCATCGGGTTCGACCAAGGCGGGATGATGGGATTCGTTGGACCAACAGTGCCCTGTAACACCTTTGAGCGAGTGCAAGACGGATGAAAGCAGAGGGGACGCACCTAGGAACACGATATCCCAGCCCGCCGGCAATACATTCCAGACGGCGCGTAATCTCTCGGAGATGTCTTGCTCCATGTCGACATCGTCTTCCAGTATCAAGAACGCATCGTCGGGCTTTCTCAGAGATGACTGGTTCCCTTCGCTGTGTTGTTCAAGGTGGCCGTAGTCGGCGATTTGCTGGATGGCGGTGAGGTGAGAATACCAGCAAGCGATCCTTGCAGGTGTAAGCAGCATGAATGACGGCAGATGCGAGGTGAACTTGACGCCATGAACATGATCTTCACGCGCAGAAGTGAGGGGTGCCGCAGCACGAGAGGACACAGCGATGTCGTGCGAGGGTTGAACCGATGTCGCGAGTGTATTAGAAACGGGGGTGTCGCCAGAGCTGAAGTCCGCTGAAGAGAAGGTTGTAGAAGCCGCGTGAGGTACCGGAGGAAAGCAAGAGGATTCCGAGGGCGGTGGCGGCTTGGACGAGTCCGAATCCCCACTTCCAGATGCGAGATTAGAGGGCCATTCGAAGATGCGAGTACCAGTACCGCTACGAACAGATTTGACGCAATCTATGATAGAGTCCACGACCGGCTCGTCATGGGAGATGGCATCGACATAGGACCAAGGTATACCCAGAGCGAGTCGCAAGCGTTCCATGGTTGCGCGGCGATCGACACGGCTGGGACGTGATACGACGAGCACCCGAGAGAAGATGCCAAACACCTTGTTGTGTTGATTATATATCCTGGCCGCACTCGAGAGCGCGTCTTGCGGGGGTGGTCCAGTGAGTCTCTGTTCAGGAGATGAGTCTGGAAACTGCGAAGGCCACAAGCTAGTAAGCGAAGGTGGCGAAAGTAACCCGTCCGAGAGGGTATAGTGATAGGACACAGAGACTAGCGAGAAGGCAATGGCAACGAGCACAGCAAGGCAGCGTCGAGTGCGAGTCATCGTAGTCGAGAGGGTGGCGAAAGACGAGGGAGGAAGGTTGAATTATGTGCGCGCCTATTGCCGCCCTGTCCCAATCGGGCGACCGCGAAATTTCAGACGCTCGCGAGCTTGAGCGCGCCTTGTTCTTCACTGGCCATCTCCTCCTCCTCGCCATCTCTCTTCGCTATCATGGGCAAGCATGCGCGCAAAAAGCAAAAGACTGCCCCCCCTGCTGAGGTTGAACCGCTCGGCATGGTCGCGGACCGTGCGCACGACACCGCCAAGGACGAAGAGGAGATGCGCCTGGAAAGCTTTCTTTTTGGGACCACCGACGGCGCCGCAGGCTCCGACGACGAGCATGACATCTTCATTGATGATGGCGCAGAGTACGGTGGTACGAGCGAGTTCCGCAATATTGATGACGACGAAGTGAGCGCCATCCGGTCCTTCTGCACTCACTAGACCTTATGTCCGCTCCTAGCTATTCGCCATAGACCAACCGGCCCCCGAGGCATCCTCCAGCACAGCTACAAAAACGGAGAACGTATCCAGCCATACGTCCTCCGCATGGACAGACGCAGACGACACCACCCTCGAGGTGTCCCTGGCTACGGACAAACGGCGTCGGAAGCTGCGCGACGCCGTAGCCGAGGACACCGTCGGAGGGCGGGACTACGAACGTCGCCTGCGCAGGCAGTACGAGAAGATCAACACGACTCCAGAGTGGGCGACGAAGGCGCGTAAACGTGTGCAAGACACGACTGGGAAGCGCAGGAGATCCTCGACAGACTCGGAGCCTGACGCGGAGGAGGCGGAAGAAAGCAGTGCGCTCGATTCTCTACTCTCAGGAACGGGCTCTGTTCTCGCCGGCCGGAGGGCGAAAATCCTAGCCCACGGTTCGCTCTCCATCGAACGACTGCGCGACGCGAACCTATCCGCAAAAGCGGATGGCGAAATCAAAGTCGTGCAGTTCCACCCATCGCCCCAAGTCCCCGTGCTCTTCACCACGAGTGCAGACCGACGATTACGGCTCTTCACGGTAAGGTTTACCGACTTCCCTACTCCTCTCTTTAGCTGACCCCTTTATAGGTGGACGGACATACCAACCCGCACCTCCAGACCCTCCATATCCCCTCCCTCCCCATCACGAACGCCATGTTCCACCCTGGCGGCACCTCTGTCCTCCTAACCGGTCCTCGACCCTTCTACTACACCTATGACCTCCAGACTGGCGCGACACAACGGTCACCTCGTGGCCTCTGGGGTACCACTTTCACCGGTACCAGCCAGGCCGCCCAAGACGGCAGCATGGAAGTGTGTGCCTTCGACTCCACCGGCTCCGTCTTAGCCGTCGCTGGTCGCAGAGGGCACGTTCACCTAGTGGACTGGCGAGCAGGCGGTGGGCAGGTCGTGGGCAGCGTCAAGATGAACTCCGGGGCAAAGTCGCTCTGGTGGTCAGGCGATGAGTTGCTTACACTAGGTGAGGACTCGGAGGTGTACGTCTGGGATGTCGGCCAGCGGAGGTGTATCCGACGGTGGAAAGACGATGGAGGGTACGGCAGTCAGCTTCTAGCTGGAGATCGGGCAGGGAAGTACCTTGCAACCGGGTGCGTAATTTGCCTGAACTCGGAGATCTTGCGCTCATAAGGATGTCGCAGGTCGCGCATGGGCATTGTCAATGTCTACGGCTCCGACGCTGCGTCGGGTAGCGTGGACCGACCAAAAGCGTTGAAAGCAATCGGAAACTTGACAACCTCTATCACCTCGCTGAAATTCAACCACGACTCTCAGCTCCTTGCGATGGCGAGCAACGTAAAAAAGGATCAGATGCGTATGGTATGTGCCCTCCACCCTCTCCGATGCGGACCGTCCTGAACACCTTCTTCAGATCCATCTGCCATCGCTCACCGCGTTCTCCAACTGGCCCACATCAAGTACGCCGCTTGGTCACGTCACGAGTGTGGACTTCTCCGCCGGCAGTGAGTTTATGGCGGTGGGCAACAACCGAGGGCGTGTCTTGTTATACCATCTCAGGGATTTCAGCGCGTTGTAGCCCCCCTTTCTGAGACTGCAGCATTTGCGCGTCCACGCGCACTCTCGTACTTGATGCGCGACCGTAATCTCGTTTGCCTCATGAGCCCTTGGGCAGCTTGACTTGGAAAGTACCTGTAGACGGTTCAAGATCCAACACCATTAATGAGGCGGTGGAAGGAGCTCACATTGTGGCAAGTTGGTAACTTCTGGCACGACGACTGCTTGAAAACCAAGTCTCACAAGCGCTCCGCGGATAATGCCCGCCGGCATAGCGACGTACTGAGAATATTGCGAGTCGTTAAACCATACATGTGGGAACGAAGTCAAGCAGAGTAGACGTACTATCTTGGACTTCCTAAGCGTCTCTGCACGGCCTTCCCAGCCAGAGACGCGAGTGAGGGGCTTGAACGCATTGTCTTGGAGGACATATACGCCCTGAAAATGACCTATAAGCCCACAATCAAATCATTCCGAAGGAACGGCGACGCACTCGGTGATTGGTGCGCAAGTTGTCGACCTGCTTCTCCCAGCATGCGCTCCAGAGGTCTTTGCATATAAACTTGATAGCATCGAGCGTGTCTGTAAAGAGACCGCGATCATGGCATAGCCTGGGGAGGGTATTAATTTCGTCCGGAGCAAGAAAACGAAGGATACGGACCGCTCAGCCATGTTCGCGCCGACGTGCATGCCGATGGCTTCAAGACGGGCGCGTAGCTCCTCCTCTTCGCCCTCCTGGCCGTCTTTGGATATTGAAGAGCGCGATGCGTTGCTGCCCATAGATTCGCGTATCTTGTCTTTCTTGAGTGCTGGAAGTGCGGGTGCGGGGGTGGGCATGAGACCAGCGTCGATCATCTCCTGCTCTACCTTCTTCGCGCGGGCGGTGGCGACGGCGGAGGAGGCGCGTAGAGTGTTGACCATTTCGATCACGAAGTAGTCCACGGCGGGGCCGTCGACATAGCGAGGGGATGGGTCGGCGACTGCGGCGAGAGAGGGAACCTGGGACATGGACGGTCTGGCGGACATGGGAGGGTGAAGGGCAGAGACAAGGTCGAGCTTGTGCTCGGATGACGCGCTGCTTACCTGATTCGTACTCTCTCCTCCTGCCCTCACCTGCTCACGACTCGGACGACCGACCTAGACAGCGGTCGACGGCCGCGCACGACCCCAACGACCGCGACAATGAGCGGCCTTTCTTCCTTCTTTCCCACAAAACTCTTGGGCTCAATGCATTCCAACCCTCGCGAACGGCAGACTGATCCTCTCTCCCGCCTCCGCTTCACCCTCGAGACCATGCCCGGCTCGAGAAAATACAACTTCACCCCCGCAACACGCGCCGAGATCCTTGCAGAGCTATACGACGCGTTCTGGGGTCCCTACGCTCACCTCTTCCTCCCAAATTCCAACTCTAGCCTTCCTCTGCACGCTACTCTCAGCGAAGTACAGGCTGCCGCCGGTCTCTCCAAGGACCCTCAGGTCGTGCCCGGTAGGCCGTGTGGCCACATATTCAAGAAGGGAGAGAGCTGCTTTCGCTGCAAGTGCGTTCATTCCATCGTGCTCTCTCCCTCTTCACACTAACGGTGGCCTCCAGAGACTGTGCACTTGACGATAGTTGTGTCTTGTGCTCCCGTTGCTTTGAAAGCATAGACCACACCGATCACAACGTCAGCTTCTTCATCGCTCAGCAATCAGGTGGATGTTGCGACTGCGGCGATGTCGAAGCTTGGCGACAGCCTATCAACTGCCCTTTCCATCCATACTCGATCGAGAACGCAGAGTACATCAATGGATTCCAGGCGAAGACTTTCCGTGACCCTCCAAGGCCACACCCCAAGACCTTGACCGGCCACGACATCCCTCCCGTCAAGAACTATCCATTCAGAGTCCATGTCCCTCCCGACCTACGTGATAGTATAAGCCGCACTATTGGCTATGCCATCGACTTCATCCTGGACACACTCGACTCCTCGCCGGACGAGACCTTCATGGCCACTCCTCCCAGCGAGGCCGTCCTTCGCTTGCAGCCTACAGGTGATCCTCTCATGCACGACCAATTCGCCATCGTCGTCTGGAACGATGACAAGCACTCCTTTGATGAGGTCATAGAGCTACTGCACGACATCACCAACCGCTCGCGCGAGGAGGCTGCCCAGATTGCGGACCGCATAGACGAGCACGGCCGAGACATCATCGAGATGAGTGGTAACAGCGCTCGCCTCCTGGACATGGCGCGCGCGATTGCTCAAATCGACCTCGGCGTGACTGTCCGCCGTGCATTTGACACCTTTCGCGAGCAGGTCTCTGCTGTGATCATCGAGTGGCTCTTAGACCTCACTCGAAGTCGACTCAGCACCGACGCGTTGATCTTGCGAGAAATTCTGGCGTCCGAACTGCTGTCTCCTCGCAAGAACTCTTCTCTACTTTCTGCCAAGGATCCTAGCAGAGTGCTCCCGGATCTCCAAGAGCCGACGAGGCTTGACTGGCTTTTCCTCTACCATGCCCGCTTGTGGAAGAAGCCACGTCTAAATCTCAAAGAGATATACGCTTCCCTTCTTACAGTAAGCCATCAACACAAACTGGCGATAGGTATGTCTTGCTTCTGCTACCACTACACCTGTCTTCAACGTGTTTTCCAGCATCTCACTTCGCTGGTGTATACCATCGCATCATCGACGCATACCTCCTCACCGACCGCGAAGCCGAGACTTCTATCAAGTACTTCGCGCTGCAGCTCTTCACTGTTCCCTCCATCTCGCTCTACATCGTCCGCCACCACAACATCGTCTCGCGTCTTCTCGCCATTATCACCGCCTTCTTCACTAACCAGATCGCCGAGAAGAGGATCGCGTTTCCGCCCAAGTCCGACGCTGAAATCGACGTTGACACCTTCCCGTTCAAGTCGAAGCGTTTCATGCCCGTCTTCAGCGACCTCCGCTACCTATGCCACAACGAGTCCGTCCAGCACCTCATCGCGTCCAACCGCGAATTCATCGTCCAATTCGCCCAGACCTGTCAGATCTTCATGTGCATCAACCCGAATAAACGCGCCGCGTCCAGCCACGTCGAGTATGAGACGGATGCATGGATTAGCGTCTTCAACGTCACTCTGTCTCTGTCCAGGGTCATCAAGATTTACGGAGAGGCCTTCTCAAAGGCCAAGCCGAGCGGGCTCGTCGCCGCTATCCACACGGTCATGCACCACATCCTGAAGTGCATCACCGTGGTTGATGACCGCCGCGACTTGGCGCGCTTCCCGCCCGTGGCTTTCCACCATGTCGTGTTCGGAGAGACGACGTACAAGATCATCGAGTTCGATGTCATGGACGGCTCTATCAGCTTCCACCACTCGCTGCAGTGGCTCCTTGCAGAGCTCTTTAAGCACGTCGACATCCTATCTGAAGAGCGGCTGAGCCAGAACGGCTACAGCAGTTTGAGGGACGTATGCTTGCGGCATGTGAACGAGGAGGCTTTACTCACCGTCATTGACTATCCGCTGCGAGGTACGTGCAAGCCACCGTCCGCTATGGAAATGCACATTGACATGTCCCTAGTGTTGGCCATGATTGCACAGATCCGCACCGGACTATGGGTTCGTAACGGGTTCGCGATCCGAGGCCAGCTCCTCCACTACCGCGACTTCATGCTTCGAGAGCTGTGCTACGACCAAGACCTCTTCATCTTGCAGACCGCCCTCGTCGTTCTCGACCCCAACACGGTCTTCGTAAGCATGCTCGATCGCTTCCAGCTGCTCGGCTACTTCTCTGGCGCGACCCTGCATCCGGCCTACGACACCTCCCACCTGTCCGGCATGGTCGAGGAGTTCTTCTATGTCCTCATCACTGTCCTCACAGAGACCGCCAGCGCGACCAAGATGTCTCTCCGCGTTGCTGTGCGCCGGGAGATCGTGCACGCGCTCGCGGTGGGACCCTGCTCCTTCACTGACCTTGTGAAGCGCGTCGCCGAGCGCATGGTCGACGACGTCTGCTTCGAGCGCGTGCTCCGCGACGTCGCCAACTTCAAAGCGCCGGATTCGACGGCCGACTTCGGTACGTACGAGCTCAAGGACGAGGCGTTTGACGAGGTCAACCCCTTCTTTTACCACTACACCCGGAACAAGCGGGAGGAGGTCGATCTCGTGCTGCGCAACCGTCTGAAGAGGGTTCTCAAGGTCCAGGACCCTGTGATCGTCCCGAAGCAAATGAACATCACGACGGGCCCCTTCGTGACGTTGTCGTCCGCCTTCGAGTCGGAGGTCCTCGTGCAGATCTTCTTCTACGGCATCTACAACATCCTCACCCTCACGGACGCCACGGATGCAGCGCCGCCCTCGGCCGAAGCTATCCTGGACCAAATTCTACATTTGATAATGGTTGCGTACGTCGAGCGTCCCTCGGTCTTCAGCGGGCTGGCCGTCCATAAGGCCTTCGAGGAAGAGAAGAACCTCATCGACATTCTGTCCACGTTCGAGTACCACGAGAAGTACCCAACCTACAGGAGGCGGGTGCAGTGGATCCTAGACCACATCACTGAGCACGAGCGCCCCGAGGTGGAGAGTCGCCGTCGCCGCCCCGAGTCGCAGGCCGACGTCGAGGACCCGAACGAGGCGAAGAAGCGTGCTGCGAAGGCGCGGCAGGAGGCGATCATGCGGCAGATGAAAGCACAACAGGCTCAGGTCGCCTTCAACTTCGAGGATATCGATGATGACGAGGACGAAGACCTGGAGGGCACCCCCGATGCCCCGGTCTCATACGGGACGTGCATCGTCTGCCAGGAGGAGCTCAACGGGACGAAGTCATTCGGCTCCCTCGGCTTCATCCAGCCCAGCCGCCACCTCCGCAAGCATCCTGATGGGTACCAGTCGTACACAAACGAGTCCATGATGTGCCCGGACTCACTTGACCGCACGTCAGAAGCGACCGCAGACACGGGCTTCCCACCTCCTGTCGCCGAGATCAAGAACTCGAAACGCTTGCATTCGACCAACTTCGACGCGTTCCCTTCGCAGTTCACCCGCTTCGGCCTGCACGCCTCCATATGCAGCCACATGATGCATCTCGACTGCTTCACCGTATACAGTGCGTCGATCCGACAGCGCCACCGCAACCAGGCGACACGGAACCATCCCGAAAGTATCCCCCGGAAGGAGTATATCTGCCCCCTGTGCAAGAGCCTCGGGAACGTCATCCTGCCAGTAGTGGTCACTACGCCACCTCCGGAACTTAACAACCTGGCCTTCCCAGACTGGGTACGGGCTGCGGGTATCAGCATCCTCAAGTCGAAGCCCGACCCAGTTCTAGAATCCCTCCAGTTCCGCACCGGCAGCGGGGAGTTCGTCTTCTGGGCGGCACAAGACTCCGCGTACCAGTCGCATCTGCGCGTCACCGAGCGGCCAGACAGCGCCGAGCTGCACAAGATGGTCGACACGGTCATGGTCGTGGCGAAGAACATCTCTCAGCAGTCACGACACCTGCGGGAGCGCACCGAACCCGAGCCCGGTGAGCGTGGTGCGGGGATGTACCTTCCGGAGGAGTTGGTCGGCTATTCTGTGTCTGCCTTGGAGGTCGCGCTTCGCGGTCATGGCTCCGCTGGGAAGACGGTTGCAGACCTGATCACCGATCCTCAGTATCGCATGATTCGCGGGCTGCTCGCCTGCCTCACGAAGGCTGTCTCCTTGAGCTTCAAGCTCAGGCCCGACGAGGGTCGTGAAGCTGTTCGGCAAGCAATCATCAAGCGACTACTTCCAGAATGGAGTCGGACTTCATTCACGTCATTCTCGCACCCTCTTCTCCTCCGCGATCCCTTTGCGCTCCTGGTGGAGACCGCGGCAGTCGCGCCGGACATGCTCAGACACATCCTCATCCTGACCTACTACGCCAACCTCGCGCGGACGGTCATCGGGCTCGTGTATATTCTCAACAAGAGCCGGAGCGCCGCGACACCCGCACTCAGTACGCGCAAGTACGAGGATCTCTTCGGCGACACCCGCATGTTCTTCATGTCCGTGGTTCGCCACTCTCCCATCTTCGAGCAGGCGGCTGAGGGTGTCCTCCTATCCTTCGGCGACGCGCGCATCGAGCAACTGCTCTACGCCTTCACCTTGCCCTTCCTTCGGCGCGCCCTCATCCTCTGCCGCGCGACCTACCCGAACGCTTTCGCGACCCCGCCCGACCTCGACGAGTCTCTCTGCGAGTACCGCCGGCTGATCAAGATCCTTGGCATCCCTCCGCTAGCGCAGCTGCCCGCGCAGGACACGATCCAGAACGCCCTCTCGGGGTGGTGCGCGCACTACGGACACTCGCAGGCTGCATCGCAGCTCAACTGCGGCGTCATGCTCGAGTACCCGTCCATCTACCGCCTCGCGCGCCTTCCGCTCGTATTGGACCACCTATACCTCGACCAGGACAAGACGATGACCTGTGCGCGGTGCAACACCGTCCCATTGGACGCGGCGATTTGCCTGTTCTGCGGTACGACGGTGTGTTTCCAGAGCCACTGCTGCATGGATCTCGATAGCCAAGCTCGGGGAGAATGCAACATCCACACACGAGAGTACGTCTCCTGATTGCCACCCGGTTTTCGCCCTAGTTGTGACTGACGTGCCCTCTGCAGCTGTTCCGGACCCATTGGCCTGTATTTCCTTGTCAAGCGCTGTTCGCTACTATATCTCTACGCCAACAACGGCGCCTTCGGCCAGTCGCCGTACCTGGATGTCCATGGCGAAGTCGACGTATCGATGAGGTATGTGTCGTCTCCCCCAGCTACCATCCACGCTTACTGACCCTCCCGCAGACGCGGCCGGAGACAATACTTGCACAAGGCACGGTGGGAGGACGTGCACAAGACATGGCTGAACCACGGGATACCCACGCTGATCGCACGGCGTCTCGAGGGGACGGTGGACAGCGGAGGCTGGGAGACGCTTTGAGGCTTGACCGATCGCAATTGTACAGCACCGCAAACGCAACGCACCGTACGAGTAAACTAGAGACCAAATTGTATTTTAGTCTGTATACCTATTGAATCTCCCTTCGTCTCGTGCCATGATGTGCACAGATCACGGCTTCGACGCCTGCAACCTGGCAAGACTGCGTTCAGGCCCGAGGACGTACAGAACGTCAGCGACGCTAGGGCCGGTCTGCATATGCCCATTAACTTGAGGCGGTTGCTGAAAAGGGAAGCGCAATCGTACCTTCATGCCCGTCAGAGCGTGCCGAAGGATAGTCATATACTCCTTCTGTTTCAAAGACGTCTTCGCGTTCTCATCATGCAGCACCTCGGACAGCGCAGCGGTCTCCCAGGCGGTCTCCAAGCCACGCAGACGTCCTACCAAACTCTCCACCACCATAGCTACCAGACAGACTCAGCAAGGCGCAGGGGTGAGATCATGCAGGGAGAGCCTACCGTAGTTGTCGTTCGGGAGCAACTGGCGCATCTTCTGCGCCTCTGCCGACGTGTAGTCGGGCTCAACGAAAAAGAATGGGCCGAGCGCGGGGATATCGCTGAGCTTGGTTGTGCGACCCTGTGCGGAGCGGTCCAGTCAGATTATGCACTCTATATAGAGATTCATGCGCATATACCCACCTGCAGCGAAAATATGACCTTCCCAAGGTATGCTAGGTCATGATGCGGACTGCCAGGAGTGCACATTCAGAGAACCTCCTGCGCTTGTGAAGGATGTTCCACACACCTATCTGGATAGGTTTTCTTAACGTAAGGCTGGGTGCGCTCGGCGAGTGTGCGGAGACCGTCGGACGTGGTCATGAGGCGCATCAAGTGGTGCTTGTTGAGGTATTCCAGCTTCACTGGGTCCAGCACAGACCGCCGGTGCGTCAGGACGGAGAAGTCGAACTGCACAATGCCTTTGAGCACTCAGATGCCAAGGGAGGGCGGAAGTGCGAACTCACGTTCCGTATCATTTCCTCCATCGACATAAGTGTAGTGCTGTCCGGGGCCTGCTTGTGGGACGCCGATGCTGACGCGTCCTGTACGCCCCAGCCGGCAAGAGCGAGCCAATTGAGAATCGAGCTGGGTTCCCATCCGCGTTTCTTGAGGTTACGGTGAGTGGTCATGTAGTCCAGATTACGCTGGAACATACCTTGTAGTCCAGGACATGTACATCGCCTTTCCGTTTTGACATCTTGGTTCCGTCGGCGTTAAGGAGGATGGGCAAGTGAGCGAATTGCGGCATCGGGAGGTTTAAGCAAGCGTATAGATCAAGATGCAGAGGCAATGAAGGAAGCCACTCCTACAGGAAGGTGAGTAAGCGAGCAGGTTGGTGAACGGAGCGGGCGCACCTCTCCGCGTACGACGTGAGTGATGCCCATCTCGTAGTCGTCTACCACCGACGCTAAGTGATATGTTGGAAACGAGTCGGACTTGAGAAGGACAGGATCCGTAGGCAGGGACTGGTGGGCGTCCTTCAGATTCTTGAACACCAAGTCATATCCTGTCGGCCGGTCGGGTGGCTTTCCATCCTAGAACAAGCTTTTGGTTCATGGACGCTTGCTTCGCAGATTGATTAACAACTTACGTTCAGTCGGATGATGAACTTCTCGCCTGCGCGTACTTTGCGTGCAGCCTCCTCCTCGGTAAGATGCAAACAGGACTTGTCATAAGTAGAGTTGGACCCGGTGCGGGCGAGCTTCTCGCGGGTGGCGGCCAACTTGTCCGGGGCGCAGAAACAACGGTAGGCGTGTCCCGACTAGCTCCATACGCGTAGATATAGTCAGTCACGTCCGGTGAGAGCAAAGTGGCGAGCATACATCAAGCAGCTTTTCTGCGTACGAATGGTACAGGTCTAGCCGTTCCGACTTCTTGGGGTGAGACACCAGTTGTACAGTGAACGCAACGGATAACATACCTGGAAGTAAGGTCCATGGGGGCCAGGTTTCCCGGGACCTGGTATTGCATTAGAGACGAACACACGCTAGGGCACACGCCGGTTGGACTGACCATGGTCGTACTCCAGTCCCGCCCACTCGAGTGCACTTTGAATGCCTTCTACGGCGCCTGGCACAGTGCGAGCCTACAGAGGCTGTCAGCGGAAAGTGGTACTGCATGGGTCGTATTGACATGCCCTGTCGGTGTCCTCTATTCTCAATATCCACTTTCCACCGGTCTTGCGCGCGTAGAGGTAGTTGTAAAGGGCCGTCCGCAGACCACCAAGATGTAGTGCGCCGGTTGGGGACGGCGCAAAGCGCAGAAGAGTAGTCATGATTGCACACGCGGCTGTTCCTCCAGGCTCGAACAGTCGTGGCCGACAGCGAAGGAGGAGGAACGAGAGAGTCGAGCTAGACGTCGACCGAACGTCGACGAACGGTGGCGCTCGTCTCTCTCGGCCCGGGCACCCGCAGAGGCGGCGAGCGCAAACGCAGAGGGCAGTCGTCGCCCTCGATATATATATGCACCACTATCTTCTGCATTACAGGAACTCACAGTAGCGATTCCGAGATGACATGGCCGCCGATTCGAGCTACCACACAGGTGGCCGGATGCTCAAAGTCGCCAGTTGCATTGATTATAAACTAGCTTGTACAAGAGGGGAAAGAAAACATCGACATTTCTGTACGACAATACAGAATTATGACACAGATGAATGTAGAAAGCCGGGCTGTTCACGCGGTAATTCCCAGACGATGCATCAGTATGTAATTCAAGAGCGAGCTCGAGCCCCCATCAGACGCCAAAACCTTGATGGCCTCCTCGCGCAAAATTTTGGCGATACACTCTGCTGCACCTGACAGGTGGGCGACGCGGGCGCAAGCTGCATGGAGCCGGAGGTACCGAGGGTCGGGCAGAGGGCGGTTTACCGGGTCGTGTGTGGTGAAGTGAACTCGAGTGTTTGGAACACAGCTGAGATGATTGCGATGAGAGGGCGGAGCCTCCACGGCTCTCCACGGTGTAAGTATGTTGAGGGCCCTGTGAATGGATGTGGAGTCAATCTGCACCAGTGAGGGTTGCAAACACAATTACTCACACCAGGAACTTCCTGCAGCCAGAGCTTCAACTGGTCGAAACTTTGGTGAATGTAAGATTCCAGGGTGAGGACGTTTTCGAGGCGATGCATCTTTGCGCCGTTGAGTTCTTCGATCGAATTGATAGCACCGAAACGATCCAGTATAGCGTGCACGGACGCCGCGTAGGCCTTCCACAGGAGGGATACACGATCACTGTGAACAATCGTGGTCATATCGGTGATATGTTGAGAGCGCAGCTTGGCGCGGTCGTCGAGACTTTCATTTGTCGATGAATCGAAGATGTGGGCACATTGCGTCCATACTGCTTGTTCTTCGGCGAACTCGACCAGCCCTGCATCTATAGATGGGTTGTCGGGCCGTCTCGAGATGATGCATCGATATCCGTCGCGTTCCAAGGCCTACAACAGATACATCAAGAGTCAATATGCCTCAACTATAGGACACTCAAAATTAGAGAACGAACTTGTGCCTTGGCTATGGCATGAGATGACGGAGTCGCGAGCAATAGCTCGCGGATTTCATTTTTCTTGGGTTCAGACGATGGCGCGGATGGATGAGACGAACGCGCAGGAGTGCGACCCTTCACTTGGTAAACTGCATGCAAACCAGGATCTTGTGTGAGGGCGTGCATGGATGTTGTATAGATGTGGCTCTGACTTACAGCATCTAACGAAGTGGTCCTTGTATAGGTTCGCCAGCTGTAGTAGATCTCCGTCGTCCCGACCCCGCACAATCTCCGTGGCAATGTTCATGCGACCAATGTCAGACGTCAGACGGTGCCTCGAGCAGCAGTTGCCCGAGAAGCCGAGCGCAAACCAAGGATGAGAGCCGGCCAGTTTGTGGGGTCGTGGGGCGGCGGCGACGACAGGATCGGCGGCCAAGGCTTTGTGCTCGAGATCAAGGCAGCGAGCATACGCGCTGTTGGAGAGGAGAGCATTGCCAGTGTCGAAGCTGTTCGGTCGAGGAAGAGGTTCACCAAGAGACGCTGGTTTGGGCATCGTGGTTGTGGCCGGAGGCGCACACTCCGAACTCACTCCTTGGCTCTTCCACATCTCGACTCGACTTGTCTGCTCGCAGGGCCTGCTGCTGCTTTTGTCACGATCTGACCTAGGGTCCCTGGCAGACATCAACATCACCCTCCACGACGAGCAGACCACCCCGGCCGATGTCGTCGTCGTACAAGGAGTCTGTAGACCCCGAATCCCAAGCACTTCTTCCGCAAGAGAACGAGTACTCTGAGCCTGCTCCGACTCCGTCTGTACATAGACCGTATCGCCTGCGCCATGTCGTCCTAGCATTCGCCGCCGGCATCCTCTCCGCCGTTCTCGTCGAACTCGCTCTCTGCTCTCATTATACCCTCCCTTTCTTGCCACAGGATCAGCCGGCGGTATATGCTGACCTCGCATCTCCCGACGCTGGCTCGACCGAGGTCCACAAGTTCCCGCCATCCGCGCCCACAAACGCCTTCCCCTCTCTCTTCCCCTCCAACGTAGGCCATGCAGGTCCTACCCCTACCGGCGCAGAGGCAGCTCTCGTCGCAACCGCTCCTTCATATCCCCTCCACACCGGCGCACCCCACCTCCTCGGCCCTCTCGCACTCAACCGTAACGCGTCCGCATCCAAGTCGGATCCGTCCTTTGACATTTTCAAGCACTGGGGCAACCTCTCCCCTTGGTTCAGCGTCGAGCGCGATTCCTTCGGTCTTGACTCTGGCCCTGAAGCACCTCCCACCTGCCGTGTAACTGGCCTTCACCTCCTTCACCGCCACGGTGCCCGGTATCCGACTGGATGGGCCTCCTACGGCGGGCCCGCCAACTTTTCCTCCCGTCTTCACAATGCCGCCGCTGGGTGGAACGCGTCCGGTGACCTCGAGTTCATGAACAACTGGTAAGTACCCGTGCATTCTCTCCTCGCCGCATCTTCAAGTTTTCACACATCGCAGGACGTACAAGCTCGGCGAAGAGATTCTGACGCCCTTTGGTCGGCAGCAACTATGTATGCTCTCCGTCTTCATTCCTTGTGCGGCTCCTAACGTTCCACAGTCGACCTCGGCGTGTCCATGCGCATGAAGTACGGCTTCCTCCTCCAGAACTTCACCGCCTCCAACACGCTCCCCGTCTTCCGTACCGAGTCGCAGGACCGCATGCTCGCCTCCGCGCTCAACTTCGCGATCGGCTTCTTCGGGTACCCCTTCGACGGCCAGTACCAGCAGAGCATCACGATCGAGGCGGACGGTTTCAACAACACGCTCGCGCCTTACAAGACGTGCCCGAACGCCGGCGACCGCACCAAGTCCGACCGCGCCATCCCGTACGTCCAGCAGTGGGCAGGGATCTACCTCAAAGACGCTCTCGCGCGCCTGCGCCCGCAGATGCACGGCTATGAGCTTACCATCGAGGATGTGTACACCCTGCAGCAGACGTGCGCGTATGAGGTACGCTCACGCATCTGTATTGAGCAAGTAGCAATGCTGACTCCTACAAAGACCGTCGCAATCGGATACTCCAAGTTCTGTGAGCTCTTCACCGAGGATGAATGGAAAGGCTTCAACTACGCGTATGCCTTCAAATCACCTCCTTCTCATTGGTCGTGACACGCTGACCACACCACACTGCAGGATGGACTTGTACTTTTGGTATGACTCCGCGTTCGGCTCGCCGGTGGCGCGCGTGCAAGGCATTGGCTACGTTCAGGAACTCGTTGCACGCCTCACGCACACGCCCATTCCCGTGCACAACTCGTCCACGAACGCGACGCTCGACGACAACCCGGCGACCTTCCCGCTCGGCCAGAGTCTCTACGTCGATGCCACGCACGAAGTCGTCGTTCTCAACGGTAAATTACTTTGAATCGCTTCAATGCCCGGGAGCTATACTGAAGTGTCGAACAGTGATTACCGCACTCAACCTGACGAGTTTCGCCGCGGACGGGCCCCTCCCTGCCGACCACATCCCTGAGCACCGCGCCTTCAAGTCCTCACACCTCGCGCCCTTCGCCACCAACATCCAGTTCCAACGTACGTATCCCTCCCCCTCCCCTTTATCCCCTTACTGACTCCCTCACCACAGTCCTCGCCTGCGAATCGCAGCCCGACCCGCAAATCCGCGTCATCATCAACGACGGCGTCGTCCCGCTCACCGGCATCCGCGGCTGCCCCGAAGACGCGGACGGCAAGTGCCCCGTGCCCGCCTTCGTGGACGCGCAGCGCGAGATCATCGGCAAGACGGACTGGGAGTGGGCGTGCCACGGCGAGTGGAGCGTGCCGCCCGGGCCTGCGTGGAACACGACAACGGGCGACGCGCCCGCGCCAGGCTCCGTGTTTGCGTGAGGGGTTCGGACGTGATAGATAGGTGGATGTTTCTAGATACCATGATACAGTTCGTTTTAGCACACAGCGCCTGGTTGAACAGGGGAATGCCTCGGTGTTACTGGCGGTGTGTAAAGGTGCGTGTCAATACTCCGAGGGTTTCTGATTCGATCACGGTGAACAGGCTGCACCAATCTATCAGCCTACCGAATGCAACGAACTGGCTAGTATTCTGATGCTATGAGTGTTACCCAGTCAAACAGATGCTCCGAGCGAGTACCACGAGGCATCATAGTGAGTAATGCAGGCACGCTCAGAGCATCTGTGATCCTTTCAAATCCTGAACTCTCCTCATTGCAGTGGGCTCGAGGCCTCCCCAGCACATTGCTGCAGCCTGCGTCATTAGGGGTTTTGCTCTGATCGCATGGTCCTTGTCTCGGCGCTGACGGACATTCCCTTTCAGGGCATTCGAGGCAGCCGAAGGCCAACCTCACCCAACGATGAAGGTGTTGCATGACTCTTAGCGGTACGTCTCTCACTCTTCACCAGTCGAACCGAGCCACGGTCCTCTCTATCGTCCTTGATTCTGTCGGATATCACAAAGGACGCGATGAACACATAAAGGGGACTCGTTGACCAAGGGCGTACGTCGTGCGGACTCGACGAGACCTTGACGGAGCGCTCTACTCAGTACATGCCTGCAAAGACAACAGGAGTCACGCCGCGTTTGTATGAGCGGCGATGAGACTTGGGACACATATTCCACATATGGAGCAGTGCACACTTGTGCGTTCGTTCAATGTACCATCGACATCCGCGAAGGGTCATCGACCCTGCGAGGAACATCATGCATAAAGCATGCACGCGAAGTCGGTCCGATACGACTGCACCTAGAATAGGCTGAGTATGCACGTCACACTTCACAGATCAGGCATAAATGTTCTGATACGACACCTTGCAATTGTTCAGCAAAGGAGAGATGAGTTGTGCGACATACGCGCGTGCACACGATATGATGTATCCACCACGCTGCCCGAAGTGACTCACCGCGACAAGACGGGACAAGACATGGTCGGCTCTTGCGTCTTCCCGTAAAGACTTAATGTGCAGATTCGGTACACGTACACGAGGTGTGCTGGCCGATAATGCGCGACTCATCGCGATGTAAACGAGTGGCAGGCCAGAAGGCAGTCTATCCATGGAAGACGCCGCCTGCCTTTCCCGGCCCCCTCCCTCCACCACCGCCACCGGCCCCCGGCCCGCCCCAATCAGCCACGCCTCCCACACACGATGCGCTGGCCGCTGCTCCGCCTGCCCTGAACCCAGGAGGGTATATAAACCCGCGCTCCCTGTCCCCGTTCCGCATTCTTGTGCTCGGGCACGTACTGTCGCCAGTGAGGTCTTTACCGAGGCACAGTCTTTTGCTGATTGCAAATTACACATCCGAACACGTCTGTCGACTTCGGTCTTCAGCAATTTTTGGCAACCCCCCTCTTTTCCGCTCCTCTTGCTCGCTGGCTTTCGGGCTGTGTGCGGGAGGATGTAGTGTAGCTTTTGTATGTGTTTCGGTGGTTTCAATTTATTGTGTTCCTCCTACTTCATTGGTGTGAATCAACGAGTGCGTCGTCAAGACAGTCAACCTGTTGAAAACATGTTACAGCGGCAGCCCTCGCACTTTGTAGAGTATGCATGCATGTCAGAGCAGATACGAGTGGAAAGCATAAGATGTGTACGACATCTGCCGCTGAAAGTGTCCATGTACGTAGCACCATCGTCCACGAGTTCGAAAACGAATGCAATCGAGGAATGCTACAACTATATGGTATTAGAGGATGCGAAAGAGAGATATCGTCATGTCCGTCCTCATCACAACCGGCCACCGTGCACCACCGCTCAGTACGGCGGGTACCCGCGGCCCCCAGGACCGTTCTGGTACAGCTGCTTCCCGCTCACGCCGCCGACGAGACTCGCGGGCGGCCCGCCGTGCGTGTAGTTGCTCGCCGAGTCCTCGTCGTAGTCCGGGCCCCCAGCCAGGAGCGGGTCCTTGACCTCCCACACCGTCGCCTTCGAGCCGACCGAGAACTCGAGGTCCTCGCGCTGCACCGACCCTCCATCAGTTCCCCCGCACTCGAACAGCCAGAGCAGAACGCGACGCACCGTGATGCTGTCCCAGTACTTGTACACCATCATGACGCTGAGGAGCATGCAGAGCGTGAAGAAGAACAATCCGTCGATGTAGTGCTTGATCGCGTCGCAAATCGTCACCGAGAACGCGAAGAGGATGACCTGCGCGACGGTGAAGAACGCGGCGCCGAACACGATGTCGCCGATCGGCCAGCGGTCCTCGAGCGTGCGGAACACGAGCACGAGCTGCGAGACGACGTACACGACCGTGCACACGAGCGGCCACAGGATGTAGATGATCCAGAGCCCGATCGGCTTCGCGTAGTCGAACCCCGCGATCTTCTTGAACGTCGCAATCGAGACGAAGAGCGACACGCCGAACACGACGAGCGTCGATATCCGCAGGAGCTGGGGAGGCGTCAGCGTGCATGTAGTGGGACGGCGCAGGGTGTGGTACGGACCCATAATGACAGCGGTGTCCCGTCTTCTGCGAATTGGAAACCGACGAAGCCGTTGATGAGTAGGCAGGTGTAGGCACCTGCGACCAATCCTGTATAGACTGCAGCAAACCACTGCAGGCGTAGCGGAGGTCGGTGGAGCACATAAAACGCCCATTACTGTGTTGCTTACTGGATAGCTGACGTTGGCGGTAGGGATGATAGCGGAGTCAAGGAAGAAGGCAAGGAGCTCGATAATGGCGTAGAGGTAGAAGAACATGAGGATCTCCTTGCGTCCTAAGGTAGCATACGCATTAGCGAGCCACAAACGCACACAGCAAAGTAGCCCGACGCACCAACTGCCGTGTATTTGCTCCGAATGTGGAAGATCATAATGCCGGTCATGAATATCGCCACGACGTGCACAAAGGCCGTCGCTACAACCCACATTCGCATAAGTTTCACGCGTGAGACGGCAAGCGAGCCACTCGCCCGCCCAAAGCTACTCACAAGGCTGGAAGATGAGGGTGCCCGAGATCTCGACATTCCTGCTATAGCACGAGGGCTCGATGCCCTGTGTCGAGCCGACGAGCGGGCAGATGACGAGCGCGGCGGTCTGGCAGATGTCGTCGAAGGAGCCAAATTGGACTCCCATGGCGGAGGAACGAGAGACAGATAAAGAGAGCGGACGAGAGGGCTAGGTTCGCGACGCTAGAGCAGCCAGACTAGGGAGACGGGGGGCGGGAGCGTGCGGGCGGGCGTGAAGCCGTTCGAGACGACGCGGAGAGGGCTGGTGGAGATGGCGAGCACCACCCAAACGACCGCCGTCGACGACTGCCGTGACACCCGTGACGGTGATGCCGGGAGCAGTCACAGGCACGCACGTTGCGCGCTCCGTCAGGCCTGCTTTCCGCCACTTGCTCCTCGCGTCTCTCCTCCTCGTCCTCACCTCGTCTCGGGCCAGCTCTAGGACGCGCTGCGTCGCGCCATATCGCTGAGGATCACACACCGCTCGGCCACAAGACTGGGGGCACTCGGCGGCCGTTCACTTGCGCTCAGAAGTTGGAGCGGGAGATGGAGAATCGCAGCGCGCCTTCCCTCCTTGTCAAGCTCTCTCGGCGAACGCCTGGCACAGCGCTCTCAGCTGCCTCCCTGCGCCGCGGCGATTATCTCATCCTCAACTCTCTGCTCTGCGCCGCTCCCGCCTGTGCATCATCTGCCGTGGCGGCTCTCCGCCGAGTCGCCCTGTTCGGTCTACCGCACTGTCGCCGCTTGACCACCCACTGCCGCACCGCACCGTTGACGTATCATACGTATCCGAACGCGCTTTCCCTGGAATGCACCGCTCCGACTGTGTTACGGAATGCAGGTACGTCTCCTGTCCTTTCATCTGTTGAAGTTACCGTAAGAGCGTCCTTCGGGGCAAGGTACGTGAGCACACCGGGCCAGGAACATGTTGTCATCGCCCCTCTTAGCAATTTTACCTGATATCCAGCCTTCCGACCACAAAGACGCAGTATTCGTAACAGCACACGTGTGCGGGTTCTCAGTCGTGTCAAACGCTAGCACCCAAGTACGCCCGCGCGCAACACGCGGCCCAGACCGCAGTAGTGCACAAGGCTTCTGCATCCGCCGCCGCTGGGGGTCATATCTGCGAACACATATGCCTGGCTTCTTTGACATCTTCTGCGTCCTTGCAGATATCCCAGTGCGTTCTCCGAGCTGATCAGCCCATCTGCCACATCTGTCGCGCCTGGGTCCGCGGACGACTAAGGCCTGATGCGTTTCGCCCGGCTGTCGCTCGCGCGGCGCGCACGACCCCTCTCGCGCCGTCTTGAGAGTGCGGCGCCGCCAGCCAGCGGAGTTTCTGTGCCAACAGAGGCGCGCGATCAGGCCCTCCCGCGCGAGGCTACCGCCGCCGATGTCTAGCCCGCCACCGCGCGATTTCCGATGCATGTCGCGCCGCCATCTGCACGCGCGTTGCGAGGCGGCAGGCTGAGCGCGGATGACCAAGAGCTGGCTAAGTGTTTGGAGATGCGGATGTTCGTTCGAGCGGTAGCGCAAGAGGACTGAGAGGGCCTCGATCGGCCGGACAACGGGTGCTCGGAAAGAGGGTGGAGATCGGTGCGCTGCTTGTGCCGCCACCGTACTTGCTCTGTACGTCACCAGCAGCTATCGATGGGATCGATTCCACCTATCCTGCGTCCAACGCCGGCTACGGTCGTCACATCCAAACTCTACCCGAACGCGTTCTCTCGAACGGTCCAAGCCGAGCGACATGTCACAAATAGCCAACAGCCCCAGCAGCCCGAAATCGCCGCCCAGGATGCGCCGCCAGAGCCAGCATCCTGTGCACATCGTTCAGCCCAGCACAGGCCCCGCCCGTCCCAACCGCAGAAGCCCCAGAAGATTAGACAATATTTGCAACGCATAAAGAACTGAACCAGGCCCGGCCCGCAGAAGTACTGAGTGGGGCTTGCTCCAGCGCAGACGCGCCCGCCTGCGCGAACTGAGCTGGCTGACTAATTGAACCGCGTTTGCAGTTCTGAACTGCGTGCAAATATTGTCTATTGGGTTGCGTCCGTTAGAGACACGGACGTTCGAAACCATCGCCCGCGTCCGAACTCGGCTCCCAACTCGCCGCCTCACACTCACCCGCCGCGACAGAATGCAATAGCCTGCACTCTCCGCACGCGCAGTCTCAGTCTGACACCACACGCTCTCGCCTCTCTCCCTCTGCGCATCCGAACCTTAGCTTAACCTGCACCTGCACGCTTCCTCATCCTCCCGCTCGATCCGGAACGGGCGTCTCAGGTACCGGCCACGCGTCCGCAAAGTTCGCCCTGCGGAACTCAATGAAACGGGCGCCCAAAAAGGCAAGGTGCGCAAAGGCAGCACCTATCCAGCAACCGCCGCCCTCGAAACCCTTAGCCCGAAAGCCGAAAGATCGAAATGCGCGCAGAGTCCGCCGTCCGCGTCGCGGAGGCGGCGGAGACAGTGCGCTCGCTCGGTGCGCGTCCGGGTGGGAACGGGCAAATAGTTTAACTAACGCGCTGCAGGGCCCGCTCAGAATTCCAGCCCGCTTTTCTGGTCGCGGCTCGTTATGAATTATCTGCGCTAGCCCGCGGGGGAGACTTCGCCGGGTCCGGACTGGTCACCGTCTGTAACTAAGACTTACGCCCTCAGACGACAGGGGCGACGAGGGAGCATCAGCGGGGACACACGGATAGCTCGTAGCGGTTTCGGGAGGTGATGTAGAATAACAAAGAGCAAACTGGTGCATTCCTACCCATCAGGCCACCATCGCTGTCCTCGCACGAACCGGCGTAGCACGTACGCTGCGACAACGCAGCTGGGATGTCTCGGGCGGCGACGGGGATCCCAGATGTTGTACTATCGCCGTCGAGGGGTGGCTGGGTCGGCTAGCATTGATATATTCAATTAGTGATGATCTGCAATGCTCCTTACCGCGAGGGCCCCAAGGCCAGCGCGCAGGAGATCCGCGAGCGCCGTCGTCAGCGAGACGAGGGCCGGGCGCCTCCCGCGCGGGTTCCTCGCCATTGCGCGCTCGCGATGATCATCCTTCTCCCATAAACAGACGTCCAGATACAGGCACCCTCCCCCAGATTTCCGCCCGCCCGATCCCCATCTCCCCCCCGGTGAACCAGCCCGGAATGGCAGGTCGGGCGACTCGCAGCGGGTCTGCGCAACTTGCGCGCGATCTGGCGGATCTCACGCGGAGGAGGCCAAGTTACCGAGTCCGCTGCTGACTCAGCCGCGTACCCTGGCAGGCACTCACAAAGGCACAACGTTGCATACTCTTCCACGTGTTGGCGTTCTTGCATGCTCCTTGACTTCTCCGAATCCAACACCACTGCGGTACAACTCCCATCGTGTGCGCATGCTACCCCGGACGCCGTGCTCGCAGCGGCCCCAACTAAGCAACCATTTAGAGTCGAGCTCGCAGGCCCTCGCTTGCCGTCCGCCCCAACCCATTCCCGTTCGCGTTCGCGCCGCCGCCTCGCGCACAAATGCAATCACACAATTAGCTTCCCGGTCGTCCGCCCGCCAGCACGTCCCTGCGCGGAGCGCTGCCCCCAAGCATCCATGGCATCAGCGCAATCAATACGCACCTGCAACTCTGCCGCTGCGAGCCCGAACAGAAACAGATGTCGGCAGGCCATCTGTCCAACTCTCTTTCCGCCCGGCGTCCATACCGCCCTACCCGCATTAGCAGCGCGCCATCACCGTCACAAGCAGCATCATACGACACACCGACCACCCAGTACGTACAGCACGCCTCGCTCGGCCCCCGCCGCGTCCTGGCGCTGGCACTGGACCGGATCGCGCACCGAGCTGCCCGGGCACGCGTTGCTCGCAACTCAGTGTCTCGCTCTGCGCCGGTTGCCTGCTCGGTAACGAACATGTTTGCTAACCTCTATCATTACGCTCGCCGTTGGGCGTAACCTAACCTACCAAAATTAAATGTCCTCCGTTCCCCGTCCGCCTTCCTGAAAGCTCAATCCCCTCTGCTGGTCCCCACCCGATTCGCCCAGCGGCGACTTCAAGTGGCACCTCGGCTCCCAGTCTGTGTTTCTCGTCTCTCGCAGCAGCCAGCCACCCAATGACCCACGCCCGTCCCGTGCCTGCCTGCCTGCCCGCTTGCCTTCCTGCTGCCTTGGTGAACGTGGCACACCGGGGCCCGCGTCCAAACCTACCCGGAACAAAGCAAGTAGTTGCACACATGCAACAGCACCACCCGCGCCATGCAAATGTCCGATTCCGAGTCGGCGACGCGGAGCGCCTAGCCAGCACGGCCGCTCGTCCCGCGTCCCGGCCGAGCACGACTTGACGATGCTCCGTTCGGAACGCAACTCAACAGCGACACAGACGCCGGGCCACAACAACGCGACGCGACGCGGCGCGGAACTCTAAACATAAATTCCGCGTCGCTCGTAAGCGGCGGCGCAGACTGAAGCAAGAAAAAACACACCTCCGGCTGGGAGCAGCCTATTTTGCATATCCGCTCTATCCGGGTTCCGCGCTCGCCTTCGCCACTGGTGGCAGCTCGCGTCGCATCCGGGTCGGACGACCCCATCCCATGCATCGCGTGCCCAAATATGCAGAGCAGCGGCAGCGGCACATACAAGCTCCACTCTACGCACACATGCTCGCGCGGAGCGCGGGACCATCAGTTAGAGCCAGAGCCCACAGCCAATAGCGCCCCATCCCCAGCACGTCCATACTCGGACTCCGCATAGCAATCGGCCATCCGCGCAAAAACTGCAGTCTCAGATGAAAGATGCGGCTGCGCGCGGGCCGCCGTCACTTACCCGCAGAGACACGTACCTTTAGGCGATAATGCGAGCCTTCCCAGCGAGAAGAAGACGTAAACCCCGCACGACGTGCGTACGTACACCCCAATACACCCCAGCTACCGTTCCCGCAGCAGCGTCGTCGGCGCGACCCGTGCTGGGTGCTGGTGTGCGAGTCGGCGAAAGCCTGCATGGATTCGGAATTGCCTCCTGGGAAGCCCGCGAAGCGGCGCTTTCGGCCGGGGCCTTTTCCCGCGCGCAGTATACGCACCGTGCAGCGGCCGCGGGTGCTCTCTCTGGAGCCCGCAAATGCCATATCCAAAACACCACACCACAGCACTGGCTCCGGATCCGGGGCTCCATATGATGGCCCCCACGGCCTACGGGCCACGGCCCACGGGCGATGCGACGCGGGCTGAGAGCGGCGCCAGGCCAGCGTCTGACAATAGAACGCCGTAAGCTCATAACGCCAGAATCACGATGGATATCCATGTCGCCCGCTGCAGAGAATCAGAGATACTTAGATACATGAACAGCGGAGGCTCGCCCGCTCGGCATCACCCGTTGCGAGGCTCTGCCCCGTGCATGCGCATATGACATGTCGACGTCGCATCCCCCCCCCCGGCGCTCGCTGGCTGAGACTGGCGAAGCTCGAACCGCAACCGCAGTGCCGCGGACCAAGTCCGAGTCGCCAGAGTCGCTGACAGCTGCTGCTGTTCGCAGCACCCCGGGGCGGCGCCCAGCGCAAGCGGCGACACTGAGACAGACAGATAGCAGCCAGCAGACAGCACCCCGTGCGCACGCCGCGAAGAAACGAACACGTCCCAGCGCGCGGCGACCCTGCGCGTTCTCGTCGGACGCTGTGTGGCCCGCCAGGCTCCAGCCGATGAGCACAACAGCCCGCGCGCGTCCGAGCCCAAGAACGACGGACGGCTTACCGATGGGGGGGCGCTGACAGCTGCAAATGCATATGCGTCCATCGGCACCTGCAGAGAGGGTTCGATGGCCCGCTGCGGCGACACGGCGCCCCTAGGATCATCAAGTTAGCTCTATTCGGCGCGCTATGCTATCGATAGACACCGCGGCGTGCGGTCGTCAGGCGTATTGAGTTCAGTCTCATCCGGGGACGGGGGAGGAGAAGGCCAGCAGTGACACAATGGAGAAGCCCCGGGCGAGATCTGCTAGCGGGCGGCGCGGGGTGTCCATGTCGCGTATCAGAGATGGCCTGGCTGGAAGCTGGAAGCAGCTGCGTCGGAGTCGAACCGCTACCTGTGCGCATCTGGATATCTGGATATCTGCTCCTGTCAAGACGGACGCCCAGCGCAGGGCCGCGCACGCACGGAAACTCACTTGTCATTGCTGGAGTGCCATGATCGCTCAAGGTGGGCTGAGGCACACGCGTATCGATCTCCCACTGAGGGCACGCTTCCCCTTCCCCGGCACGCCCCCCAAGCTGCTAAAGTAGGTGCACGTAACGGCCTGGGCCCGCGCGAGCACACGACGTGCGTGCTCAAAGAGGTGGAACACAGGAACTGCCGGATGCGGGCTAGGACGGCGCTGATCCCCCGCCCAAAGCGGAAGGCATACGTGTCAGCGGAGTAGCAGGAGGGGACGCGATGACGTTGCGGAGTTCGCCTGGAGCAGGCTCGAATTATGGCTGACGGCCGCAGTGCGCACCGTGCCCTCGCATCTTACCTTTAGCGTGGAAGAGCACGGATGCGGGCGGAATTGCATGGGGTCGCAGGCCAGCGTAGCCCGCTCGGCTGTCCTGGCGCGCTGATATTGAGGGCTGATCGTTCGGGCGTGCGGGTGGCCCTTGCGAGGGGGCGCGGCGGAGATGTGATCGCGCGCGGACGGGTGCATCTTGCGGCGGGGACGTCGAATATGCAGCTGATAAGTGGTTACCGCACATTGCGCTCGGCCGCTGATGACAACGGGCTGGACGCCGCCTGGGTGGAGTGGCATGCGCTGCGCGGGGAGTGATCGCACACGGCCGGGACGACGGAGGTTGAGAACAAAGGGGCGGGAGCTGTGGGCGTAACATAACGAACTAGGCAAAAGGGGACAAGTGCGGTAAGGAGGGGAGGGAGCGTGTGGGTGGGGACTGGGAATCAGAACGGGAGTCGAACGTTCTGTGCACGCTGGATGGAGAGTGGGACGAGCTCGAAAGCGGTGAAGAGGGCGACAGGGCAGGCTTGGGCGAGCCGAGGGAGGGGTTGGAGGAGCGTAAGCGTGGCTGGGACGGTGTATACGGATGCACAACCCCCGACCGATTCGAACCTGTCTCAGTCCTGGTAAGTACTTGCAAGCACGGTGATGGCAGATCGCGCGGTGGCCGTTAGGAGGGCGTTAGAACACACGCCGCGAACACAATAGCCATCGTATATTACTCTGAATCCCCGGCGGAGTCCTCCTTGCCCACCCACCGCCCGGATCGTCCCAAACGGGCAACTCGCCGTGCGGTGCCTGCCGGACTAAGGCGAATGCCGTGGAGGCGGACCGAGATGTTTATCCGCTGCAGCGGGCCACGAGGCTCTCATCGCGCTGCTGACGTTGGGCTGCTGCCCAGGCCAAGGAGGGCGCTAGGCGGAGGCGTCCAGCCACTGGACGATGGCGACCGTGAAAATTGACTTGAGCTAGCACCTTCAGCCGGGCCACCACCGCCGCAAGCGCTTCATCCGGCTGGGAGTGACGATTCGCGAGTGGCGGGCGACGAGCGTCGGTGACGTCCTATTATTTTGCGCGCCGAGTGAGACAAGTTCATTCATTAGCCAAAGGAGGACCGGGCGAGCGCGCGCGGAAGGACGGGTCGGGCCAAGTCACGGTCGCCACCGCCAGGGGCAGATGTCGATGAGCCGGCGCGCGCAGGCGGAGCGAGCATGGAAAAAAAAGACGAGGATGGCGGTAAGTTGTGGGCCGACATATCAGGAAGTAGGCGTGTTACGAGAGCCTCAGCGCGGCGGCAGAGAACAGAACGCAGTCGCAACAACTGCACGCCCAACGACCTCCCATTCCGATCCCCATATCCGCCACACAACCTTGCATCGCCCATCTGAACCCTAAACACCTCCCCATCACCCGGAAACTCGCATTTCTCACCCTTTTTACCCGCACCGCGGCTGCGCATCGCAGAAGCCGCCTGCCACTTCGGGGAGACTGCAGACGGTAACGTGACAGGAAGCAGGCGAGAAGCCGTCAGGTGGCCCAGAGGTGCGTCCGCATTAGGGCGAAACGGGGGGAAAGGTTATGGGGAGTGGGCGCCTGGGGGCAGCCGGGGACGTGCCGGGCGGGACGAAAGGGGATGGCCGGGAGGGAGAAAGAAAAAGGAAGGGATGAAAATGGGGTCGGGGTGTGAAAAGAGACATCGCAGATTGATGGGAGGGGTGCCGGATTGGGCAGGGGAGCCCCCTGTGTGGGAGAGGTGGATCGGAGGGATCTGGCGTGGATGGAAGGCTGGATATGGGATGTGCACAAAATTGCGGTTACCGTCCGCAAGTGCTCACACCTCCGTTCCTTTTTAAAATACTCCCTCTCCTTCGCAGCCGCGCCGTAAACTGATCACATTTCATCCTACTCCTACTTATGCATGGCCTTCCTATCCGTCCAACACTCCTCCCGCCTTCCCCTGACCCCTCCCCCATGTCGACCGCCACCCTCCACCACCTCCCACAACAACACGAGCTCGTCCACACCTGGGCGAACTGGAGGCCAACAAAGAACGAGCCGCCCCTCACTCCGCCGCACTCGACCGTCCCACAAAGACGCGTCGTGACCCACCACCATACACCGACGGTGCTTCCGCCCATCTCCTACTTCGACAGGAGCATCTCGCGTCATTCACCAGGTACGTCCGGCCTCCTGCTCGCGCACCCGGACGGCTCGCCTTACGGCGCACACAAAGTCACCCCGCCACCTTCGGAGGACTACGCGAAGTGGGACCAGTATGACGCCTCGTCCTACCGTCTACCGGCAGTGGTTGCGCCAGCCCCTCCACGCTCGCTCGAGCCCTCCCCTTCGTCCTCGACCCAGTACGAACCACCAGAAGACCCGTTCGCCTCGACGTCATACACGCTCGACTGGTTTGGCAGCGACTCGCACCGCTCCTCGCGCTTCATAGCGGAGAAGACCTGCGAGATGGTCTGCTACCTCTGGTTCTCGACGCTCTCGAGTAACAACGCGTCCCCCTCCAAGCGGAACCGCGTCAACTCGAGCCAGCACGCGTCCTTCTCTCCGCATAGCAATTCGTCGACCGCTATGCTGCAGTTCTCCGTCTCGCCCGCATTCGTACGCTTCATGCAAAAAGTACTCGAGACGACGCAGGTCAGCCAGTCGGTCATTGTCTTATCCCTCCGGTACATCTACCGTCTCAAGGCGCGTAACCCCTACACGTCCGGCATGGCGGGAAGTGAGTACCGGGTGGCGATCGCGGCACTGATGCTCGCGAACAAGTTCGTGGATGAGTAAGCGCGCCTCCTCTTGCTCTGCATCCGGAGCATGTGCTGAGCATTGTCTGCAGCAACACGTACACGAACAAGACGTGGTCGGAGGTGTCTGGGATCGAGCTGTCGGAGGTGAACCGGATGGAGCGGGAGTTCCTGCTCGGGATCGACTTCGGGCTCTACGTGGACAAGACGACGTACGAGTCGTGGCTGAACCTGCTCAAGGGGCTCGTCATGGCCAAGGAGCGCGACTCGAAGCACTGGCAGCGGTCGCGGTGCCCCGTCCGGACTTCGCACTTGCATCGCCCGCACTGTCACAGGCACGCGCACGCGCCGCAATCACGTGCCGTGTCACACCGCGCCCGATCGTCGTCGCCCCGCCGCTCCTCCATCTGCGCCGCCTCCCATTCCCCCGCCTACGCTGCCCCCCGTCCCCAGCAGTACACGCCCGCATCCACCCACCTCTCGCCCTACGCGACGCCCGCTCGCTCCGACTACCCCGCCGGTTCCAAGCGTTCCGCCGAGGCCGCCTTCTCCCCCACCTCCGCCTCGTTCCCGGCAGCACAGCAGCCCCCCGCACAGGTCCCAAGGCGGGCGCACGGCCTCACTCTGGACATCCCGCAGCCATTAGCACACTCTCGGGAAAGCTCCGCGTCCCCGCTCGAGTCGCTGCAGTCGTTCTCCAAGCTCTCTCTTGGGCACTCGCCAGCCGACCACGGCTCCGTGCACGTATGGCCCGCCGTCCGGCACGACGACTACCCACGGACACTGGTGTCTGCCTATCGCATGGACGATCAGCGTCAGGCGGTCGCTCCTCAGGTGAGCTCTCATCTGACCTCGCAACATCGACTGCGTACTGACATTACCCCAGCATCTGTACTTCTACTCGCTAGCAGGCTCGCCTATGGAGTCGGAAGAGGAGCGTCGCTCGCGCAAGGCCAGACTTCGCTACTCCCAGGCACCTATGCCCATCGCCCCCGCATACCACTATCCGCCTTCCATGCCCATGGTCGTGCAGTCGGCGTCGACAAGTCCGTACGAGATGCACACGTCGATTCCCGCTCCCCAGCCCGTTCTACCGCCGTTCTCGGAGGTATCACAGGGCTGGATGGACGCAAACGGCGTCTCGGTCGCTGAGACCGCACAGCTCCCTCCGATCCACATCGAGCAGCATTCCCAGCATCAGACACAGTCTGCCGTTCCGTCCGCCTCATTTGCGAACGCGGGACCCCCAGGGGTCCACTTTTACTCTACTCTGACGCCAGACCCCGCTCCGCATTATTACAGGACGCGTGGGCGGCAGGTATAATTCTTGGGAGCATTATAGTAACATACGTTAGAACTCTTGCGCACGCGCGGACCTTATTGCTGCATTACCGAACATATTACTTATTACGCATCGCATCCCCTCCCAGCATCCCGCACGACCCCCACGCCCATCACGTCTCGCATCGCCCGTCGAGCATTGTAATAGTCGCCAGAATTCTGCATTCGTCGTTATGCTGCATACATACATTCCCGCATCACACCTCTTCCTCTCTCCGCTTCATGGGGTCTCCGCGCATCCGCATCCTTGCTGTCCATCATCGCATGTTCTCTTCTCTCGCATTCAAACAGAGCAACGCGTCTATCACGTCTCGTCTCCCGTTCCCCCTCCGTGCCCTCGCGCTCGCTCGCAGCCTGAGTCTGATCCAAGTGCCCCCGCGCTCGCAAGTCGCCCGTCCCCGTCCCGCGGACCGCCCGCGTCTACGGCTCAGCAATGATACGTGAACAATGACAGCGCCCTCCCGCGCAGCCATCCGTTAAATTTAATGCCACCCGAACCAGCCCCAGTCCCCTCCGTCGGTGCACAAATGCATATCCCATCAGTCGGATCGGCGAATATTCTAGCTCGCAACAGCCAGCGCGGCGCGGCGTCTTGCTCTGCCGGGGCTCGAACGGCACCAGCGCAGGCTTGCCGCTTGATTCGATGCAGACAGCGGCTCCGCGCGCCCACGGTCCGTGCATGTGCTCCGCCCTCGCAACAGCGTCCGGTTCCTCGCCCGTCTCGGCGGGGGCTTCTGGCTGCTGGTGCCTGTGGAGCCCGGGCTCGGACCTTCGATCTCGAGGGGAATCTGCATCTGCATTGCTAATGGGTGCCCTGGAACCGGGAAAGGACTGTATGTTCGGGGATACTGGATGCGGACGTTGATCTTCGTTGGGCTTACTTGCTATATTCAGACCGAGAGTCCACATGTGCTACTGCAGCGGTGCCGCTGGCCGTGAGGGAACAAGGGAGTGGGGAGATGTTGGACGACAAACGGAAGGCTGAGTTGTGTTTTACTTGTATTCAACCATGCCGGATGTTACCTCGGCTTGCAGCCATCGGGATGAACACCGACCGACAACAGGCACAGCTGGGAGTTCGAACTTCGCATTCTACGGCTATTATACCACGCTGACCCGCTCATCTACTGATTCAGCAATATCCTCGTCGTCTGTTTATACGTTCTCCGGATCCGCCGTTAGTATCTCCAAGCTCGAGTAGATGCTCACAAAGTACCCAGACATCTCTCCGACTCTCCCGAAGTTCGCCTGCCGTACGAGAAGCCCGAAGGTACCCTGCGGTAAAGCCTGCGGTACCCGGGTTCCCCGCATGCTCAGGCAGACTCGGACGAAGAGAGGAACGAGAAGATCCGCGATCCTGTTGTGCTTTAGGTTTATGTTCTTCCTGGTTCGCTTCAAGACGAGGACGCATCCGGCTCGAAAAACGATATCCTCCGCCTTCTTGCGAGTCTCATAACATATAGGGTGGGTCCCGAGAGTTTGAACAAGGACTAGTGCGTATGAACTCGATATTATACATATACTCACTCGCAAGCCAGGGACGCTGTCAAGGCATTGTTGCTGGCTTTGGTCCAACAGTCCTCAACAATTTATTCGTGCGAGCCTAACTATAAGTCAAACGACCTTCAAGTGCCCCGACGATCGTCTCCGTACATTCCTCGACATAGTCGCGAAGAGTCCTGGCACGAGGCCTGCTTACTCGTCCTCAAGAAAAGTAACGTTACCGGCGACACCATGAAGGTGCCTCTGCCAGTCAAAGACGATATCCCTGGCCTGGGGCCCATAGAGTGTGAGCTATCTACAACTACGGAAGATATTCCGACGTGTTCTCAACTTCCAGTAAGCCCGATAAGCCCATGGTCGATAGATTCCGAGCCGGCCGCATTGATGGTCTTTTACCGATGCCCACTCGTGTGATGGACTTGACCTCAGATGTTGTCTACATAGTACGCCCCAAACTCGTAAAACCGTCGGTTCAGTTCTTCGCGGTCTCGTCTGTCTCGTCTCCAAATTTTCGGTTTTCATACGACGTGTCGGGTGACACCATTCAATCAACCTTTGCGGACCTCCACGACCTCAGGCATCATAATGCCGTTCACTCTGAGGCTATGAGGTCTCATTATCGGACTCTCGTACCCTCTCGTACCTTTGGCGTGTACGAGTTATTCCTACTCGATATGCCCGTTAGTTGTCCGCCTACCTTCCCACGTCCATCTCCGCTCCTCCGTCTATTCCGAGCTGTGTTATCCCCAGTTGTGCGGCGTCCATCCCCAAGGACAGGCCACCACAGGGCCCACATCCCAACGGCGCACGCATGTCAAACTCGTGGGCACACACGTTCCCTGCGCAGTCGTTGGGTGATCCTAGGTCCCCGAACCCGTCCTGCCAAACAATAGCACACCCATCCCATCAGGACACTTACTTAGACTTCCTTCGCAGCCCGGATCTGCTCCCCCGGTCGCGGGAGGCCGGCGGCCGGAGGGGCGATCAATCACCCCCTCTGCGCCCAACCGCGGTGGGACATATGTATCATCGACATCGACGACATCCCTGGAAGTTTGAACGGGAAAGGTTGTCTTCGCGTGCCGCATCTGACATCTCCCCACCATCCACCGCCGACGCTTAGGCTTCCAGCGAAATCTGCGCTCTGCAGCGCGCCATCTCCTGCGTCCAATGTACCCGACGCCACATCTCCAACGGGGACGCGGACGCACAGGCGTGGCGCGAGCTCGAGCTTCGAATTCCACTCCGCTGAAACAAAGACAGACACACCAACAGCGCCCTGTCCAACGCTGCGCACTCGCGCCCCGGCAAGGACGAGCAGTTGATAGTATCACATCAACGCCTGCTCAATGCTAGCCCAGCTGTCGCGTAGGCATATGATCCACGCCCGCGCACATGTGCCTGCGCGCAGCGTGCTGCCGCACCACAGACCTCCACCAAGCCAGTGCACTGGCCATGGGCCGCGCACAGGACGGCGACTCGGACTTGGCCAGCGTCCGCCGGGGACGCGGGCCATTGTCCGAAACCAAACGGACGCGCCAAAATGACAGACCCGCGCAAACGCCCCAAGCCGCCGATGGAGCATTCAGTGAGCTGCTGCTGCAGGGGTATTAGTCCTGCGGCAGCGACGAGCGTGCGTGTACCCTGAGACGGCTCGACGTCAAGTTGGCGCGGGCGCTACGGGGACACGCACCTCGCCCCGGAGGCTGGGTTCGACATCTCGCGGCTTCAGTCAGCGTTCGCCGTTTCGCGGCGGATGGGGACTGTGCGGCGCAACACCAGGCTGGGAGCCATGGGCGCACCGCCTGCGCCTGCTCACCGGCGCCGCACGCCCAGGAGGGTGTACTTAGGTTGTCACACAAAGCACGCATGCGCCCATCTCCGTCCGGCACCAGGTTCGTCGCGCGCGGATGCCGCGTCCCCCTCTCGTCACCGTGCGCGATCGGCGTCGCCAGATGCGGGCGTGGGGGCTGGCACGGGGGTCACGGGCGTGGTGCACCCTGGGGCTCGAGCACTCCGCCCACTGCGGAATACAAACCTACCGGAATAGCGAGCGAGCGCACCAGTCTGGGGCGCTGCTGACGGAGTCGCCGCTAAGCTCTATCTGAGAGGCTCGAGCAGGCGGCGCGATAGCGAAGGCCCGACCGGGGGAACGAACTGACGAACGCGGCGCAGGGGCGTGCACGGCAGCGGCAGCGGCGGCGGCAGCTGTTGTGTAATGTGTTGCGGCTCGTCGCGAGATATCCATCTGCTGCAGCAACAACGGGCGGCCGAAGCGTTAGCGAAGCGGTCGCGACAGGATCGGGCAGACAGGCAACGGCTGCGGCGAACACAGACGAACCTGACCGCGCGTGCGTGTGTGGGTATGGGCAGCGATGTACGGGACTCGAAGCGAAGCGTGCTGGCGGGCCCCTCCAGCGCCGAGGGTTCACAGGCCCCACCCACGGACGCACGGCCGCGATGGATCAGTGGATAGATGGATGGGACGGAAGGAAAGACGGATGGATGGATGCCACTCTGGATGGGCGCGGGGCGTGAGAGAGATGAAATGAACAGCTTGATTAGGGTTAGGCCTTCACAGAACAAGGCGAGCAGGGGTCTCGCGTTCTGACGCACGACGACGCGGTGAGTCAGCGGCGGCGGTCGGGTGGGGAGCGGCCCATTGAGGGAAGGGCGTCCGGAGAGAGAGCCGGAGGCTGTTGGGCTGAGCGTGCACACGGGACGCAGCGGCGAAACCGGACGGATTCTCGCGGACAGGAGCCTTCGGGATAACCTTGTTGGACAACTGGCGACGAGGTATTTACGAGACAATAAGCCATCGAGCAGATCCAGATAAGTGGGCAGGAACACGAGGCGTCCGCACCGTATTTGAGCTGTAGCTTGTTTGGCCGCAGCACAGGAATGAGGTGATCAGACGAGCTGAAGGAACTCAGAGGGCCGTTGTGGGGTCTTGCTCAGCCGCCTGCTTGTCAAGCCTAGCCTTTTCTTGTTCAAGGCGGGCTATGTTTGCGAGCAGGAAGCCCTGCGTAAACTGATATCCGGAAATGACACCGGTTGCTGTATGGGACAAAGGGGGCAATGCGATGAGTATCGAGCGGGTACACGTGGAGAAGTAGCGGCTAGTCGCGGCTGGTTCGCGCTGTGGGCGGGAATTGAAGGCTCACCTACGCCGCATAGGATCGTGGCGTTTCTGTTGAGACGGAAGAGTTTTGAGCCGAGGATGGCTAGATGAAAGGAAGAAGAGATGGGGATGAGGAGAGCTTGGAAGAGATGCGTCGTTCCGATACACGGCGGGAGCAGACTTACCACTGACGAGGCCCGAGGACAGCCCAGCAAAGACCCCGTCGCGCCGCGCATCCTGTCCGCAATTTGTGTGAGACTGCGCTGTGCGTACTTGGGATATGTCTTACGCGTGTAGCTCGGGCGAGAGCCTCGAGAGGGACGCCCTTGGGGGACACTGGCACGCTCTTCTGCTCCGACATGGCCTCCGACTGCAAACACACGCTCCGGCGTCTACCCAGGCGCGGCGGAGTGTGACCCGGTGCGCGTCGTGTGACGTGACGTTACGCGTGTCGGCTAGGCGTGACAGCGCGTCTGGCGGGACGCGCTCTGTCTGTGGCGTCCATCTCCGACGCCGTCTAGCGCGTCGACCACGCTCTTCACTCCTCCGCGGCTTGTCCGGAACGACGACAACGATGTCCGACCGCAAGAAAAGAAAACTCTCGCCCGATGCTAGCGCAGCATATACCGACATTCAATGTCCGTACGCCCGTTCTGATCCTACCTGCCTCTTCTCTCACCCTCTCCTCCGGTTCTCTAGCTCTTCTTGCGAGAATCAAACCCAAACTCGGCAGAGACCACCCAGAATACAACTCTCTGCGCACAGATCTTCTCAATCTTGCCGTTCTGGCCGAGTCCTGGTCCACGCACCGCCCGCGCGCCAAGAAGGGCGACAACTGGGCCCAGCGCGCAGACGACTTGGATCACCAAGGTTAGCTCCAGCCACCTTTCCCGCCCCTGGCCTGGCTGACCACCTCATGCTCTGCCGCCCTGCGCAGGTGTCACGCTATGGAACGCGTCTGTCGTGCACAAGGACGTTTCGGACGACGCCTATCGCTCAGTCTGCGCAGCCAGTGCGTCCCCTTTTGCTTCTTTTCTCCCACCATCCATATCGGGCCCCGGACGTCAGTGAGGCTCGCCGCTTTCCGTCTCATCGAGGCCGCAATGGAACACAAGCCGGGTATACAGAGTATGCCTCATGCCCCATCCTTCCACACACAGACACGCGGCGCTCACGTCCTTCCGTTCCCACCAGCTCTCATCCACGTTCTCCAACTCGCTAGCAAGGCCGGTGCCAGCTTGGCAGGTCCGTCCCCGGAACCCACTCCGCATATTAAATGTTCCTTAGCATGCGTCGCTCACACTCGTGTATACAGACGTAGGAGACGTCACCCTTGCCGCAGGCGTCCTTGGTTCGGCCGCAAAGGTGGCGCCCTCCACTCGTTTCTATGCGTTTCCAGTGTCCGTGATGGCTAACAAATAACAAACCTAGTACGCCGAAGCACTGAGAGCCGCCGAAGACTCACAAGATGGACATGCGCAAGCGCGTGCGCGTGCGATAGTCCTGTACTACAGCAGCCGCATGGAAGCCGTAAGTGTTACCGCACACTTCATTCTCCGGCAGAGAGATGACTCCTTATGACAGGCGTATCAAGAGGGTAATAATGGCGTTGCTGACTTTATGTTGGAGAAGGTCTCAGGTGCGTCTTCACCTCTCGGCCCAGGGCGCACCGTTACATGTGCCACCGTAGAGAGCGATCAGTATCTGTCGCTTCTGACCCCATCCGATGTGAGAGCAGCTGTCCACTTTGAATGCATGCGGTCACTAATACATATACGCAAGCGGAGGACACTAGCCGGAAAATTGTTGGGGATAGGCAAGAGCATGTTGCGATCAAGCCCACCGGCCGACGCTGCTGGGAACGGTGCACGGGATTCCGTCAAATGGATCCAACGGGCCTTCGCGATCATCGAGCCACTCGAGGATACGGCCGATGCCGGCGATGGACAAGTAAGGGTAAGCCGGCCCTCGTACCAGTCTTATCCTGCACAGCGGTCACACGCAATTATCAATTATAGCGATCGATACTGAGAACGCTAGGTAAGTGGAATGCCCTAGAATCTATGTTTGGGTCGTCATATGAAACTGTATGCCGTGTGCGCACGTGTGAGCAGCGCGAGCCTACTTCCTGTCATCCGGTCAAGATCCAGAGAACCTGGCGAGAGCGGAAGCATCGTTGCAAGAGCTCATTGACTCCGTTGACGCCTCCATGGATCACGTAAGTCCGTGAACGGAGTATACCGCTATCTGACCCTGACAGCTGCTCCAGACCTCTTCGGAGTACCAACAGCTTCGTTGGATGAGGGTCGCTATCCTGAAGCGACGTAAGGCGCCGCACGCCGCCCTTCTCGACGGTAGGTTTCATTGCGGTGGGATAGGCTCCGGAACGCAGTCGTTGACTAGGATGCCACAGCATTCCGCTCCATCATCGACCACATGCAATACTCGGAGAATACCATCACGGAGTGCGTCTTCCCGCCGGATGATTATCACGTTAGATATCCTGACATATCCACGGAAACCTGGAAGTATTCTACAGGAGCTCAGAAGCCTCCAGCACGACCAGTTACGTTCGCGCCTCACTATCCCCCCATCTCCATCACGTGTGCTAACTTTCTTGTCCAGTGGTCTCGTCACCGCCATCCACCTGCATTGCCTGGAGCGTGCGTTCGAGGCCCAAAATAGCTCGGGTCTGGTTTATTTGGACCGCCTGCTGTTGTCATTGATCTACCACAGTTCGAAAGATGACGACCACGCGCGGGCGATGCGGGATCTCGCGTCTGCGCAGAAGCGTAGGTGTATTGTTTTTTCGAATCGCTTTCCGGAGCTTAACCACCAAGCGCGCTCACTTAGTTCTGGACGCCAAGGAATACGAGCTCCCAAAGATACCGACAACGGCCTGTCTGACAGTAAGGTCCGCCTGCCACGTTACGTTACGGGTTCCCTGATCATCCCCTCAGTTACTCTGGCAATTCGGTGATCGGCACTACCACGCCAAACGCTGGTCGGACGCCGCCGACTGGTTTCTCGTCGGAACACATCGCGTGTTTGGGTCCATGGCGCACATATCGAACGCGAAGTGCCTCCGCAAGGCGGCGTTATGTTATGTCCAATGCGGCGAACACGCCCACGCTTCTGCGATCATTCGCCGCTGTCCACCCACGGACGCGGCCACCCACTACGTCGCGTTGCTGATTGCGGCCCATCAAGGTGAGATCGGACCTGATTGTATCGCATTCAGGTCCTGAGCGTACTGAATCCAACAGGCCTGGAGGACGAAGGCATGTCGTTACGTCCCAGGGCGCGCTGCGGCACTCACCGATCAGCTCTCGCACAGCCGTTGCAGCGGTACGGGAGATGGTCCACGCGTCTAACTTCAACAAGAAGATGCTGCTCCTTGCCACCCGGCTAGCGAATGAATCGGGTATGAAAACCCTGCTGCTCTCAGTGCTAGAAGCGCTCCTAGATGCCTCGGTGCGGGAGGGCGTGGAGGCCGAGGCGGAAGCTATCACACTCGTTCGCTGCATCATCAGACTCGTTCTCAGAATGATGTCAGAACCTGGGGCCGATTTGTGAGTTATTTCGCGCCGAGGACCTTACCGGGAGAGCTAACCCAGCTTACCCGGAACCCCGTTTCCCAGCGCGGTATTCACTCCCATGCTTCTACGACATTTCTCCACCGGTACGTTATCTACATTGCGTTTCACAGTCCCTAGTCCCGTGGCTGAGCCGCGGTGCCCACGCCGAAGCGCTGTCACTGGTCACGGCGCTCGAAACCAAACAGGCCAGCGCTGTCGGCACGAAAGACGTCTCGTGGTTGTGGCGAACCGCCTACAACACCGCCGTGCAAGGCTGTTCTGAATGGGAGAACCGGGAGGACAGCATCTCGGACCTCTTCGACGTCTCCAGACAGGTGCGAGAGTCCGGCCCCATATCCGCGCCCCGCATTCCCGCTGGAATTCCGCTCACGACGCCCTGCATTCGCGTAAATTAGCTCCTGCAAATTTACACGCGCTGTCCCGCAGTCGATACCGACGCCGAGCTGCAGATGTTCCTGATTAACGCCTCCTTTGCGGGCGCCGCCGGAAGAGGTAAGAAGTTCTGTCTTCGCTCCCAAATAGCAACCTGTCACCGCGCGTTTTGCACCCAGTGTTCGCATCGCGCCGCCTGGCGTCGAACACCGCAGCCGAGGATGTATGTAGGTTCCGCCCATGACGTGTGCTCCCAGACTCACCGCAAATTTTTACCGCAGGCTGACCGCTGGCGATTAGTCGCGCAAGAAGTCGGGTCGAGCAGAAGCTGCATAGGCCAGATCATCTCAGGGCCAAGCACCCTTGACGAAGAAGGCTCAGAGCGCGCTCAGTCGTTCCTCAGCATTCTCTCTGTATTCGGGGTGGAGATCGCCTGCCGCCTGAAGACCTGGAACCGCGTTCCAGATATCATAGAGGTAACGGCACTGCGGTGCACCGGACTCAAGCTGACCGCGCGAACCCCGACAGGACACAAGTCGCGCCCAGAAGGTGGACATAGGGACATATGAAGCGATAACGGACATCCTCGTAGGTTCTCCCGCTGCACGCCGCGGGTCAGATGATGCTCAACGCGCCGCCTCCCGCACATCAGTGGACCGAGAAGGATTGCCCCATAGACGGTACAGTGGTTCCTCCTTCGCTTCCGCCTGTACCCTAACACAGACTGTCGCCGCCGAACCTTCGCGCGCCGCCGCAGTGCTCTCCACCGCGCTCGAGGTACGTTTCGCACCGCCGCGCGTTCGCGCGCGGCCCCACCCCCGGCAACGGGCCCTAACCGGGTCTTTTTCAGGCCATCCTCCACGCCAGCCTCGACCGTGCGATCCTGTCAGTGGAGAAGTTCTCAAGGTGGCTGAGAGCCATATGCACGATCCTGCTCGCGCGCAGCGCCCCCGCCGATCGGACCAAGGCAATTGGATACGTCGAGCAGGCTGTCGGCGTGCTCCAGGACCACGCCTCTGAGAGCGACCCCCAGGTGCGGCGCGCCCGGGACGTCTGTGGGTCCGCCTTTTATGTCCATCTAACTTTACCTGGCAGGGCTACCCCATGGACGAGCGGCACTGGCTCTTGGCGACTGCGTACAACACCGGGATCGAGTGCTTGCAGTACGCCGGGTGTTGTGCGGGCGCGCTGCGGGCTTTACTGACCCCGGTTCCTCGCCCCCTGTAGTTCCTCGCTGCTCGACGAGGCGAAGCGGTGGTTCGAGTTGGCCACTACTGTTTGCCGATTTGTGCCGGGCGGGGAGTCGCGCTCTGAAAAGGTTCGTTCGTGCCTTTGTGGTTGCAGGCCCTCACGCTCAAACGCCGCCCTGCAGATTTCGGCAACATACGCACAACTGCTCGACCGCTATGCTCGATGAAGATTCCGCTCTCACCCTGGCTGCGCTCTGTTGCTTCCTGTGCTCTACCCCTGTCTCGTCTCGTCACCTTGGTCCATCCGGCTGGCTTGCCTTTGCTCCTCAAGACCTCGACGTCTGCTCTCGACACGGCTTGTTCCTGAACTCTTCACGGCTGTTCCTGGACTCTATCTTGTCACAGACCATCAGGGTCGCTGCTTTTATGCCGACGTTCGCCCATTCGTATATGTTTTCCCCCTCGCTCAAGTTGTTGTATGTTGTGTCATCGCTTCCAATCAATGTGCTGGTCTCAGAGTTCCGCACTTACGGGTCACACATATGATCGTTTTTTTGGACGCTTCCGCTTTCAAAGTGGTTCGCGTGACTATATCAGGTATGCTGCAGCCATGTTTAGGCTCCCTCGCCGCCGCACACGTCCACTGCACTCAGCTGGCGGCGGGAACTTCCAGATTACGGTTACATCTCTTCCAGGATTTCAAGTTCGATGGCCCTTGTTTGGATGTACTTATATAACGTCTGAGACGTCCTGAGTCCATTCTATACCCGACCAAACATGGCATGAGACGTGAACAGACTGACGGCCATGTCGGCGAACGACGACAGTTACCAAAACGGGCACTACACGAGCCGATCACAGCGCGGCGGGCGTGATTTACCCGCCGTCCGCGTCCCCGCTGACCGATCTCACCTCCGTCCACTATCGTCGGACGCTTAGAGGAAATCCTAGCTTACGGCCTGCGCTCTACCACATTAGCAGACCACAATGGACGTGTTCTCGCTACTCACGCTCCCCGTAACGTCCAAGGCGTTCAGCGCGCTCCCCGCCCAGCCGCAGGTGTCGGGCGCGGCCGCGCCAGCGTCGGGCACAAGAGACTCATCCCGGTCCGCGTCTCCCCCACGCAAGATTCCCCGTCTGGATGCTGCGTCTGACGCTGCTTCTGCTTCTGTCTCCAGCTCTCGCGCCGCCGCCGTCGACGCCGCTGCGGACAAGCGGGGTCCGATCGTGCTGAGGGTCATTGGACATCCGAGTGAGTGCTCATCTCTATCGCGCTCATCCAACCGCCCCCAACCACCGATGTCTCGCTTGGAGCCGCATTATGTTATGTTGGAAAGGGTACTGATACATTTACGCAGTTAGCGCTACTCCCGACTCGGCTATCGAGGCAGACTATGCCCTCGTCCGGCGCACGATCCGCATCCTCCTCACTCCCGGCGGCCCCAGCGGCCCAAGTGCCCTTCCAGCGACGTACGACCGTATCTCACGCGCATGCCGCTCCGCGGTGAGTGAGGCTGGAAAGGGCGAGGGCCTGTACGAGGGCGTCAAAATGGAGCTCGAGCGTTGTGTCGGGATCGTCGAACGCAGCCTGGGGGACGAGGCACGGAAGGGTGTCGAGTGGCTGGTACCGTTCACGGACGCGTGCGCGTGGTTTGAGAAGCAGGTGGTGAGTTGCGAGTGGTCTATGTAACTCTAAAGGGACAATGCTGATAGGACTGGGCAGGGATTGCTGCAATCGCTGCTCGCGCACATGGACACGCTGTATGTAGCCGAGCAGACACAGCTGCCTAGCACTAGGTATGTTCCTTACGTGCTATAACCGATGATCGAGCTCACGCAGGACAGACGACTTGCATACACCATGTTCTCCACCTCGGTCATCGAGAGCCCCCGCGTCATGAAGGCCATCACAGACGGCATCGCCGACTGGCTCTCATGGGAGCGCACCCACCGGTCCGTCCTTCCCCCTCCGCCCTCTCCCGCCACATCTAACCCCCCACACAGTATGCCCCACGCCCTCCGCGCGCACCTCCCGCGCCTCCTACAACACCTGCACGCGCACGCGCTCTACACCGACGTCGTCGAGTCGACCTACCTCACGCTCACGCACGCCTTCTACACCACGGAGTCGAACACGCTCGCCGCCGCGGGCACGCTGAGCGCGAAAGACTTCCTCGTGCACGCGCAGGGGCGCAGCACGGAGGAGCGCGAGCGCGCGCAGGAGGTGCTGCTCGCGGAGAGCGTCGCGCCCGTGCAGGACATGACGGACCGCGCGCTGATGGCGGGGCGGCTCGACTGGCTCGCCAAGGACGGTAGGCGCAGTCATGTGTATGGGCTGGGGGCCGTGGCTGATCATGCGTTGGGCAGGGCTGGAGACACTCATGGACGCGCGGAACGACGCGCAGATCAAGAAGATGTACAAGCTGTTCGCCAAGGTCGGCGGGCTCAGGGTGCTCAACGGCGCGTTCAAGTTCTACGTACAGGTTCGTCTCGTCATGCATACATCCATGCTAGATTTGGCTCACAATTCGACAGAAAGCGACGAGGAGCATCGTGACGGACGAGGAGCACGACGAAGAGATGATCCCGCGCCTGCTCGAATTCAAAGCCTTCTGCGACAAACTCGTCGCGCACGCCTTCGTCGACGAGATCGCCCCCATCGCCTCCTTACCCGCCCCGCCCTCCGCCCCGCAGCCCTCCACCTCCTCCGCCCCGCAGCCTGCGCCCCCGCCCGCCGCAACGCATCCCAACAAAGACTTCACCTACGCGCTCTCAGACGCGTTCGCCGCGGGGTTCAAGGCGCGGCGCAACAAGCCCGCGGAGCTGATCGCAAAGCACATGGACCGCGCGATGCGGCGGGGGCAGAAGGGCAAGCGCGACGAGGACTTCGCGGCGGAGCTGGACGCGGTGCTCGCGCTGTACCGCTACACGGACGAGCGCGACGTGTTCCGCGCGTTCTACCAGCGCGGGCTCGCGAAGCGCCTCCTGCTCGGGCGCAGCGCGAGCGACGACTTTGAGCGCGCCGTGCTGAAGACGCTCAAGGAGAGTGCGTACTTTCCTTTTCTTCCGTGTGCTCTCTCGGGCAGATGCATGAGGTGCTGACGGCAGTGCAGAGTACGACCCCGAGTTCGGGACGAGCGACGGGATGTTCACGGACCTGGCACTGTCGCGGGACCTGATGCAGGACTTCCTGGAGCAGCAGCGGAAGCGGGGCGAGCTCGGGACGGCGCAGAAGCTGAACGTGATGGTCCTCCAGCGGTCCAACTGGCCGTTCTCCGCGCGCAAGAAGGACATCGACCTCCCGCGCTGGGTGAGCCCCCCTCCTGCTCTCTTTCCCTATCGTGTGCTGACTATATGTGCTGCAGATGCAAGACGACCTGGGCGCATACACGACATTCTACAAGAAGCACCACCAGGGGCGGAAGCTGGACTGGGACCACGCGCTGGGGACGGCGACGCTGCGCGCGCGGTTCAAGGCGGGCGAGAAGGAGCTGTCGGTCAGCCTGTACCAGGGAGCGGTGCTGCTGCTCTTCAACGACGAGGAGACGTACGCGTACGCGGACATCAAGGCGCAGACGGGGCTCGGTGAGCGTGATTGTATGCGCGTTCTCCGGGCGAGTGCTAACTCGCAGCGCAGACGACGGGGAACTGCAGCGGACGCTGCAGAGCCTGGCGTGCGGGAAGAAGCGGGTGCTAAGGAAACAGCCTGCGGGGAAAGACGTGCATATGACGGACGTGTTCCACTTCAACGCGGACTTCACGGACGCGCGGTTCCAGGTGCACATCAACTCGATCCAGGCGAAGGAGACGGTACGTTCACGTAACGTTTTGCCCGCACGACTCGCGCTCACCCATCTCTGCCAGCCGGAGGAGACGAAGCGGACGCAGAGCTCGATCGAGGCAGACAGGAAGCACGCGCTGGACGCAGCGATCGTGCGAGTGATGAAGGGGAAGAAGGAGCTGGCGTACGAGCAGCTGAAGACGGCGACGATCGAGGCCGTGCGCAAGCACTTCGTGCCCGAGGTGAGCATGATCAAGCAGCGGGTCGCGAGCCTCGTCGAGCAGGAGTACCTCCGCCGGGACGAGAACGACATGAACCGGTACATTTACGTTGCCTAGGCGGTGTGCGGAAGCGGCGGCTGGGCGAATATATGCGGAGTGGGTGTTGCACGCTGTGCGGGCGGGACAGGCGTTGGACGTCGGGTGAACGTGGACTCCGCCGAGGCACGATCTGGATCACGCCGCCCGCTGTCTGGGCTCGAAGCGCGGAATGTGCTGGGAGAGTGCGCCCTCCCTATGTACGCTGTGTGCTGGATAGCAGCGCACTGTGAGCGATGTTAGCACGGCTAGGTACTAGGAGGACTGATGAAGCGCAGTGGGACGGAGCCGAAGAGGGGGCCGAGGGAGAGGAGCCGGCGGTACGCGGTCACGTGTGATCGAAGCATTAGGCTTGGCTGGATTAGGCAGTCTAGACGGCCGTGTGACCTGCGCTGCTTCTGCACGCTCCCTCAGAAGAGCGAGAGAGATGGAGAGGTCCGGTGCAGCTCCCTGCTCTCCTCATCACCGCCATGTCCTCCACCGTCCCCCTCTCGCCCTCCTTCGAGTCCCTCGTCGCCGCCCCACACAACACCGACGAGCCGCCCCCGCTCGAGCCACCGCTCTCCCCCAAGGTCCGCTTCGACCAGGACTGCGTGCTCATCCCGGACCCCCTTCCCGCCTCCAGGCTCCCACGTCTTGTCACAAAGTCGTACTCTCTTCCCCTCTGGAAGCGCAAGCAGCGCGAGCCCTCGCTCGTGTCCGACACAGAGGACGACTCCTCCGAAGACCATGTCGTCTTCAAGGTCTCCGTCCCCAGGTCCGTCTCCTCAATCTTCTGTCCATCATATTGACACCGACCGCCCATAACTTCTCCATCACAACAGCCTCACCACCAAGGCTCGTTCACCGTCCCGCGGAGACGCCGCCCACAGGCCCCTAGTCCCCTGCCTCGTACACTCCGCCCACCTCTCCGACTCCTCCGTCTCTTCCATCGACCCGACCACGCCCTGCCAGTCGCCTCAACGTCAAAACCGCCCCCGGCGCGCGTCTCTCCCCCAACCCGTCCAGCCTGATGCCGTTACCGTCCCGCTGCGCTCCTGCTGCGCGCAATGCTACGCCTCCATCGACAGCTGCATGAAACTCGGCGAGCACTGGCAGGTGCACTTCTCCAAGGGCGCCGCCCGCCGCCGCAAGTCCGTCTCCGACACCCACGCGCCCAAGCCCTCCCGCAGCGCGCGCCACTGCGTGCGCGACGCCATGCCCGGCTTCGACGCCATCATCGCCGTCGACGAGGTCGACCGCCGCCGCCGCTCGACCGACATCGACGCCCTCACCGCCTTCTCGCTCGAGCTGCCCGCATGCGCCCCAGCCCCCACGGGCCCAGACGACCTCCAGCTCCGCCGCGCGCTCTCGCTCCCGGACGAGGTGCACCCCTGCCGTTCTGGCATCCTGCACCACCTCGCGCATGCGGCCCCCATACCGGAGGAGGACGAGCCACGGCGGACCCCTATCCCGAGCCCGTTCGCGTCTACGACGAATCTGCCCGCGACGCGCATCATCCACGCCGTGCAGGCCGCAAAGCTCGTCGAGCGGACGATCTCGCCTCCACCCGAGGTGATCGCTATCCGTCCTATCGCCGTACCCGTCTCGAGCTTGCCCGAAAAGGCGGCCTTGCGCACGCCGCTGCCCGCGTCCCCCTCCCCGCCGCCACTCGCAAAAGAGCCGATGAACTACTTTTCCGTGCCCTACCAGCCGGGCGACCGCTACGCCGCCGACTCGCCATCCTCCTCGCCGAGCTCGTCACCTCAGATCGAGCACACAGTCCCCGCGGGGCTCGGGAGCCCGCGCAAGCGGTCGCGCCTCCCCGCGCCCGCGAGCATCTTCCGCGCGTCGACACAGATGCTGAAGGGCATGACCGGGATGAGCGGCATGCCCATGAGCGTGTAGCGCGGTGCGCAAGGGTCCTTCTTCTCTGCTGCTTTCTAACTGTATTCTCCACCGCTGTTGTTCGTTATCTGGGTTTAGCTTCATCGTGTCCGTTATTTCCCCTGCAATGTACATTACCCCCGCATTCATCGTCCATTCCTGTTCATGTGCTCCTTCCCTATCCCATCCCTCTGTCTCTGTCTCTCGTCTCTTGTCTGTTCCTCGTTTTCGCGAATGGGTGCCATGGCTCATCCCGTGCCCTCCCTCTCGTCCCCTCTCCCTGTGTCACATGTGTGGCCATACCGAATGTACTCTACGACTCCGTGTTTCCTCCCCTCCGCCTAATGCTCCGGCGTGCGTCCCATCCACCGCCCATTGTGTAATCTTGTGCGACCCACAAAATCACACGCAACGCGACAAACAACGTCAATATCGACGTCATCGATATCGTCTTTGTGCGCACCCGCAACAGCAACACCCGTGCGCAGTCTGGGGTAGCCCAGCCCTGCGATCGGCCAATCAGCGGGTATGTTTTTGCCAGCTCTCGTTCGGGCCTAGCGCGATCGTGTAGCTGAGGAGGTTTCAGACTTTGTGCCACTCACTGTGAGGGTATGTACCTTGTTGAGCGCTGCGCAGAGCGGTGCGGGACGCTTAGCTCTAAGATCGCTGAGAGCACTTGTATTTGCTGGGACTAGTACTTGCCAGTGAAAGGCCGTAGACTGCTTGCTTGGCCTTTCTGCGTTGGGGAATGCGAAAGCTGCATGCGGACCAGTTCATGCATATGAGCCGCCATGCATCGACGCTCAACGTTCAACACTACACCTCAGGCTCGCAATAGACAAATCACGCGCGGTGGGGGCCACCGGCAAGTGGGTCAAAGTGGATGTTGAGCTGATATGTTGGATGCATGCGTACTATCGGGGCCTATTGGAGTGGAAGACGTACGACTGAGTGTCCAGGCCTCCACTCCGCATCCGGTGAGCATCGTAGAGAGAAGATGCGGGAGCCTCGTGCTTCAGGGGACATGGTTCGGGCGACGATCTTCAAGTTCCTATGTGCTTCGGTGTACGCACTTTGTATTCAGGTGCCATATTTGCAGCCGCGTAACAGGAGAAGACGCGTCGACGCACGGGTCCTATCCGCAGTGGTGTTGTCCCGTGGCCTACATGGGCATCGTATTACGATGTGCGAGGTAGTAGTGCCCGATGCCCGAGCAACCAACCATTTGTTGACTGCCAATAGTCAGTTGCCGTAAACCTGAGGGTTCGAAGAAATACAACGATAACTCATCAGGATATCGCATATTACGACAGCTTGCAGAGCACGCCGCGCGTCCTGTTATCTCTGTTCCACAGCAGTACATTGCGGGTACCGAGGTGACTCAGCGTTGATCTATGCTTGTGCGTGCTATGGCATTTGACAAGGACGCAACGAACTACTAGCATAAAACGGTCATGCAACTAACTCAGTGACATCTCGAAAACGGCACTCACCGAATGTCGTGTAGGAAGCATCGGTCCTACGTGAAGTCCGAGAGTGCGCTGCTTAACAATCTTGTTCCAGCGCACGACGGCGTTCTCCCGGTAGGCCGCTTGTATGCGCGGAGCGCATGAGAAGTTTGCAGATAGACATAATACGGTTTCTCCACGCGGTCCGTACCCTCAGCGTGCTGTGCCATAGGTAGGTAGTCTGTTAGATCACCGGAATCTGTTGATCCTCTGAAGGGAGCGGCGTAGCATCAGAAGATTGAATAACATTGTACATGAATCAGGACTGACCGGTATGTCGCGACAGATGGCGCAGCGTACGAACGGCACATGGATTCAATCCACCCGGTAGCTACAGTTCCGCGACAACTACTTCAAGTAGACGCGGAGGGAGGAGGCGAGCGAAGCACCGAGCCTTCGCACCATCGCACACGGCGCGCGGTAACCGCGGTAGCAAGTGCCGAGAAGGCTATGATGTGGTCCAAAGTTAACCAAGGTGTCGACATGCCGTGTCGTCGCGCAGGGTTAGCGTTCATCGTCGCCTTCGCCTTCGGCCTCGGACCTCGGTGATTTTGAATAGCATCGCGCAGCGCAGAAGCCCGCGAAGCACTCGCAGTTTGCGGCCTTCAAACATCAAACATCATCAGATGAACCCGGAGCGACCAACTATCATATGTCAGCTCTGGGGCGATCTGTCATTGGTGTGGATAGAATCGCCAGCTTGCGGACTTGCGGGTGCTTGATACTGCGATGGTCAACGCGGGAGGCAGCCTGGGACGAAATCAACGACCACCACACTGTGCGCGGTAGATGCGAACCCCCGGTATGATGATATCTGTCGAGGTGAACCTACGACGACGTCCACAGATGTCGAACAGCCGCACCGCTATTCGAGGAGTTGGAACTCAGAAGCGCCATCCAGGTGCTCGTCGCGGCGGAGGTTTGGAATAGCAACCTCGCATACCGACGTTTGTCGGAGGCGACCCTATACTCCGACGCTGGCGTACACGTCCTGGTGTCTGCTGAGTACAAACACATGCGCCATTAGCATTAGCAACCAGCCAGGTAAGGTGACGGCCACGTACGCCACATACCTCAAGCAACCTTCCCGCCCATAGCGGCATCGGCGCGCGAAGTGGTGCTGGTTTCCCTTGGTGCAGCTCCAGGCCTAGCCAGCGCCCCGCTGCACAATTCACTAGAAGTCCGCCGGGGGCCGCACGACTCACGAGGACTCCCATGCACGCCTTTCGTTTCCGAAGATCGTCGGTTTTTGCACACACCGCTACGCATGTAACCACATGGGCGGGGCCCGTAAGACGACCTAGCGTAGGGTACGAGCGCGTCCGCGCCACCAAGGCGTCACCGAAGCTCACCGAGACCCAACGCCCGCCGACAAGCGTGAAGCTTCCCTACGTGAAGGCAGGAACGCGCCCTGCCGCACCTGGGCGATCGCCCGCCTTCTCCGCAACCATACTCGGCTCTCCACGCTCGTCGCTCAGGAACCGAGCCTCCCCCGGAGGGCGCGGAGGCAGGAGACGTTTGAGACACATGCAAGCGCGGACGCAGATGCAGACGCGGGATGGCAGTTCGGAGGTAAGCTTCCATGCCCGCGCCCCCGCATGCTGTCCACCCCGACGCCCACGAAACGGAGTTAAATTTTGTGCGCTTTCGTAGACGCTACGGCGATGAGATATCAATTGCAATCACAGTCAAGTTGGGCTTAGGAGCTTGGAGAGGCCGGATGTAGCGTCTCGTTCGCACTGTGCGGTGGAGTAGCAGCGTCTGTGATCGGATCGACACAACCGAACAGCCCCAGTGCACCTGGGCACCCACAAGGTGCGGACCAACTGACAACACGCCCGGCGACGGCGGGCCTGCGCGATTTGCGGGATGCACCGCGCGGGCAGACCTGTGCACGAAGCAGAAGCAATCGACGGGAGGACATCGCACAACGCGGAACTACCGCCAGCCATCTTCACGATGACAGCACAGCGCCAGATAAGTTTTGTTCAGCGTCTTGTTGAGCTCCGGAAGGAACATGAGCTCACCACGTATCCGCATCCACCTGGAGTGTTCTGCCCGCGGCAGCCCGACGCGCTTGCGGAGCCGCGTTGCACAGGGACGACGGCCAGTGGGAGCTGGACGGCCCCGTCTTTCCGCGTCCCTCGCGCCCGCCCGAGGGCGGGGATGGCCCGCTGCGGTGCCGCGTCCCGACACGGTGAACATGAAGCGCGTTTCGGGAGGCGCGCGTCCCGCGCGCAGGCTCGGGAGACGGTTCGCGCAGAACACGACGACCGCGTGCGTCGCCTGCCTGCCGGACATCACGCCGTGGAGGCTGGAACGCTGCAGCAAGCTTGCGGAAAGTCAGAAGGCACTGATAGGCCTGTTGTCGGTCTCCAGGTTTATGTATGATGGCTCTTTGACGGCGAACACCGACGGAGCTCGTTCGACTCGGCTTGGGTGACATTGTCAGCTTCTGTGCGATGGAGTTGTCAGCGCGTTGCGATGGGGTGCGCAAATCCGTGCGAAGCCGTCGAGTGTCGATGGGTGCTTCGAGTCCGCAGTGAGACATGGACCGAAGGAGGCTCGTAGCGTGCAGCGGAGTGCAGACCGACGCCACGGTGGGCCACGGGCCGCGGACGAGGTCTCGAGCCTCGGGCGCCGTCGCAGCGGAAGCGGGGCATGTGTATGATTGCATATAATTATTCTGAATGGATGATGTGCGGCGGGCCTGGTCGGGCATCAGCGCACGGGGCTTGGCGAGGACAGCAAGCGAAAATGAAGCAAGATCGGCAGAGGGGCGGGCGGGAGCGCGATGGCGACGGCGTACAGGTCAGAGCCGAGGAGTTGCAGTCTGTGTGTTGCCGGGCGGGTCGGGCGGTGGGAGATGGGAAGAGAGCGAGAGCGGCGGATGCACTTGCTGCGTAGGTTCAGATGCTGTCCGCCGTCCCCCCACCCGGTCATGTTCCGTGTTCCGACCGCGGTCGGGCGACAGACGACGTGGCTGTAGCCTCCTCTTCTTGATGATGTGGTGGAGAGCAGGAACCGGCCAGTGAGCTTTAACGTTGAGGCGTTCAAGACGGCCTCCGCCTCGGACGAACGTACTCAGCGGCATTCAAGCTCGATCGTAATTAGCGGCATCAACGGCAGATCGGGGCTCCTTGTTGCAACTCAGCTTACTGCTTGTCTTTCGGAGTGTGGATTACCGAAGGGGGAGTTGAGAGTCCGAAGATCGGGTGGGCGTGCAGATTGGCGCGTATCATTATGACGGGCGTCTGCCGGTAGGTGGCGGGAGATGCCCATTAGAGTGGACGGAGTCGCGGCGGGTTCCCTCGCTTCACCCTTGTCCTCCTCCTCGTCTCCGCCCACATCCCCCGCAGACCTTACGGTCGTCGCTCCTTTCCCTGTAAGTCCCTGCGCTCATCTGTCTGCTGTCCCGCGTGCCACACACCGCTCGGTTTGTTCCCATCATCCACATCTTCCTTCCTGATCTTCTCAAGGCCGGCTTTCTGACGCCCTTCCTTTCCTCTCAGCCCACTCAGGCTCAGCTGTCGTCCCTTCTGTCAGCTCCCTTCGAGTCCCGTTTCGTTCCTTCCTTTCTCCTTCCCTTTTCCTTCCGCCATGGGCGCATGTATGTCTTCAGGCGGCCTTGAGGTCAGCGAGGAGGAGAAGCGTCTTCACAGAGAGGCCGAGAAGAACCTCAAGGAGGTCCGTATCATCCTATTATCTCACACCGAGGCCTCGCCCTTCTGACGATTCCCCCGCACAGGCAAAGCTCAAGATGCAAAAGCAGGTCAAGGTATGTCCACCACCCCACGGTTCTCCACTCCGCCATGATTCGAACGGAGCCCGGCCCAGGTCCTCCTCCTTGGATCCGGAGACTCCGGAAAGTCCACTATTCTCAAGCAGATGCGCCTCATCCACCGCGTCCCCTTCTCCTCACAAGAAATCGAGTCCTACCGCCAGCTAGTCTTCAACAACCTTACTCATGGCCTCAGCAACGTTATCGACGCCATGGAGGACATGGACCTCGACGTCTCAGAAGAGAACAAGGACCTCGTCCAGATGATACAGGACGCCTCCGATATCAAGGACGGCGAGCCCTTCCCCCTCGAGTTCCGCGATGCTCTCCGGCGGCTCTGGGAGGACCCCAACATCCAGACGGCATACTCGCGCGGCAACGAGGCGGCCTTGCCCGAGAAGTGAGCCCACCTCGTTTCCAGTCCCGTCGGGAGCTGCGCTGATGACGCATCTTTATCCAGCCTGAACTACTACTTCGCGGACCTCGACCGGTTATTCGAGCGTGCCTACGTGCCAAATGAATCAGACATCGTTCACGCCCGCGCACGGACAATTGGCATCACGGAGACCGTCTTCACTCTGCGCGACCACGAGATGCTCATGGTCGACGTCGGCGGGCAGAAGAGCGAGCGCCGGAAGTGGATACACTGTTTCCAGGATGTCACAAGTATCCTGTTCCTGGTCAGCTTGAGTGGGTTTGATCAATGCCTGGTGGAAGACAAGGACGCAGTACGTTCCGAAGTTGCGCCGTCCAGGAACCGTAGTTTGACTGTTGCCCCGCCACAGAACCAGATGCAAGACGCGATGACGATTTGGGACTCAATATGTCACTCGCAATGGTTTAAGCAGACGTCCATCGTAAGTCCCGTCTATGCGCTAGTGATCAGTCTAGAATAGCCGTTCATCCCGTGGCGCATCTAGATTCTCTTCCTCAACAAGAACGATCTCTTCGAGCGGAAAGTACAACATTCCGACATCAAGAACTTCTTCCCAGTGAGCTGTCTTCGATCGCGCCACCGTCGAGACTTTGCATATTGACGCATATGCTCAGGATTATGACGGCGAGGCGGGAGACCCCAAGGCCGGTCGTGAGTACTTTAGGAAACGATTTGCGAGGCTGGCCCAGAAGGCGAACGCGAAGGAGAGGGAGATTTACATCCAGTACGTCATAATCGGATCCCACTCGTTCGACCTCCATTGCGTCGCCCGAACGGCGGCCTTACTGACCTATCTCCACTAAGCGTAACGACCGCCACGGATACGGCCATGCTACGGGTGGTCATGGCCGCTGTTGAAGGTGCGTCCGTCTCTGCCCTCCCACGCTTGTAGCTGACTAACTGTTCGTCTGCAGAGTGAGTGTTCCTGTTCTTTTCTTTGCCCCGACCCCCTTCGCTGCACATATTTGGCACCTTTGCTCCTCTGCACTGCGACGCAATGGCGCTCACGGTGGCACCGTCTTCATTCAGCATCATTCTACGACAGAGCCTTCAAACGGCAGCGTTGATCTAAGTCCCCTTATCGTAACGACCCTACTGGTCCTTAATGCCCGGTGTCATCTACACCTCTATCCCCCTCCTGTCGCACGGCATCAGTATCTATCACCCGCAGCTGTCCATCCGTCATTGTCGTTCTGTTCATGGCACATGTAGCTCCTCCCGCTCCTTCTTTCACTTTGCTTTCGGTTTCTCGGTCTGTTTTGCAGAGTCGTGACCGCTGATGTAACTCATCATGACTTTCTCTATTCTCCCTGGTACCGCCCGACCTTGGCCGCGCTTTCCCCGCCCTGCCACACGCGCGCTCCCTCAAACGCGGAATCGCCTCATCCCCGTTGCTCTGTGGCGCGGACACATTCTCTCAACGACCTTCTGGAAATCGCCTCTCCTGAAATGCTGCTCAATTGGCACCCAACCGCGCGTTCTACAGCACGATCATCAGCAAAAACGTGAGTGCCATTGACTTGCTTGGCTCCTGCGTGGCACGAGGTTCCTCCTTCGGACCCGTGCCCCTCCCGAGCCGCAATGTACGCCACCACCGACGCTGACTGCTGCTCTCCTCCGTCAGATCCGTGAAATCATGTTGTGATCGCGCAGTGCGATCTCCCCCTGGCCGTCCTCTCCCTCATCAGCGAGGACGGCGCCCCTCCGATGCCCAGCCCAGCTCAAATCACACGCCCTGCCCCGTTCCTGGTCGTTCGCCCATGGATGATCGCCGGGGCGCGGTGTATGGGAGCGGGCCAGGCAGGGAACCGGGGAGGGGGACTCGGGGGAGGGAAACGCGCGCGAAGGGAGAGATGAGGTTGTAATTTATACGCCCCGGAGCCAGGGGCAAGGGCGCCCTGGCGGAACAGTGCGGGCTGGGGACGCTTCCTGGCGGCCGGGGAGCATGGCGCTCCGGGCGGTTGGGCGCAGGCGCTCGCGCGCACCCTCTCCGTCGCCAGTCTTCCGTTCGGCGTTTCTCGCGTGTCGCATGGCTGGCCGTTCTGTTCTTCCAGGTTCGCTCGTTCGCATTCGTTTCTTCACTTCCACTGCACCCGCACCCCACCTTCCACTCACACACGCTTTCGTCGCGGGCCTGGTCCCCCTCTACGCCTTCGTCCACCTGGATCCGGATCCGTGTTGCTCTGTATCGCACCCACCGAACTGTCTATTCGCCATCCACTCCTTCCCCCTCCCATCCCCCCATATCCCCCTCTGCCCATCGTATTATTATGCGGGCGCACCCGCTTGCATTAAGTCGCATCGCTCGAACGCTCCCGTGTTTATTCTTCGTATTCCCCTCTCCGCCTCTCTTCCGCCATGTTGCTCTCACGCTTCGCAGTTCCCGCAGTGTATACGTACGCTACACATACCGCCATCCCATTAATTCACCAGCCGCATCTGTCGCACCATTGCAACCCGCGACCCTTGTGCTCCCGCTCCCGAGCCTTCGCAGGCCTTCGCTTGTCCACTCGCCCAGCCGATATCCCCGCAGGTGTCCTTCCGCGTCGCGCGGGGAGCGTCCCGCACCCGCGTAGCGTAGCCGACCAGGAACTAGCAGGGCCCGCTCTTGCATTCATCGGGCAGCCGGCGGCACATGCGATCAGCTGCTTCCTGATGCCCTGGCCTCGCTCGCAAGGGGCGCGCGTGTGTAGCGACTACCAAACGCAACCGCGGCCATGGCGCCGTGCCGGCGTAAACCACTCAATGCATGCGCACGCGCACGCACGTCGGGGAGCCCGTTGATCAGATCTCGGTGCTTCAGATGCGCCCTGCGGACGTCTGTTGGGCACTTAGTATACGACCGACGCATGTGCTGCGAATATTCCGAATGGTCACGCCTGTCCGGGCCTCCGCGACGTCGCGCACGTCCCCGCTAGCCTCGTGAGTCGCACTAAACTCAAATGCAACCCTCTTCCCCGCTGGGGGCGCCACCACTGCGCCACCACCTACCGCCGCCGACGTTAAATTTCGCCATCTACCGATCTGCCGCCCCGGAGTTCCTGGGTTTCCCCGAGCGGGCGTGGCCCTAGCCTAGACTCTGGATCCAGGATATACCGTGACATACATAGCAAGGTCGGGTCGGGTCGTGCACAGCTACTTGGTGCCACTAGCAAAGCCGCATCAGAAACATAGGCGGACATGTACGAAGCCGCCATGTCGACGCCCGCGCATCAGCGTCTGCGTTTCACGGTGTCGATACGGCTGCCATTGCCAAGGGCGGGGCAGCGGCACTAGCAACGCCATGTGCCACAGATGTGCACTGACAACGTGCGAGCCCCTATACTGCGTAGTCTCAGTCTGCCTGCGCAGGGTGGCTGCTGCGCTAAGATGGTATGTTCTGATATGTTCTGACGTGCCCGACGAATGACGCATATATAGCTACAAGTGGAAGGCCTCGTCTTGAGATGATGAACTCACCATTGGCCTCGACATAGGCGAGAGTCGAAGACATAAAAATACATAGGCTAAGTGGGGGTGTGCGCGATACAATGTGATGCAATACAATACAACTGGCCTCAAAACGCCTCTACGTCTCCCATGCGCCTACTGCGGTGTCGCCCCCGAGCCGAACACCTCCGCATGTATCCTGCTCGCGTCCACACCCCGCGCCCGCAGGCCACCAATCGTGTCCGCCATGAACGCCTCCGGCCCGCACACATAGTACTGCGCGTCCTCCGCATCCAGACGGAGCACCTCCCTCGGCACCTTCCCAAGGTCAAGGCGGCCCCTCACATCGAAATCGCGCCCCTCCACAACGCCAGCGCCCGGCTCCGAGTAGAATACATGTGTGCGCACACGGCCAGCATGCGCCTCCCGCACCCTCCGGACATGGTCCCTGAACGCATGCACGCGCTCGTTGCGCACGGCCTGCACCCAGCTGACCTCGCGCTCGTTGCCCGAGTCCGCCCGCACGAGCGTGTTGAGCATCGCGAGGAGCGGGGTGAGGCCGACGCCCGCGGAAAGCAGGACGACTGGCGCGGGCGAGTCGTCGAGGTAGAACTCCCCGAAGGGGAACGCGACCTCGATCGGGTCGCCCTCCGCCAGCGTCGCGTGGAGGAGGTTCGAGAGCCACCCCGGGTGCGCGGCTTGTGTGGAGTCGAGCGCGCCGGAGGGCGCGACGGCGCGGATGCCGGGCTCGCGCTTCACCGAGATACGGAAGTGCTCGGGGTTCGGCGCGTCGGAGAGCGAGTATCTGCGTGCGGAACGGTGAGTGTTCGACTCGAACGGGTGCACGCGGGCGACTCACTGTCTGGACTGGTACACGCCGAGTTCTGGCACAAACTTCTGGACGGAGATGTACTGGCCGGGGCGGTACGGCTCGAGCGGCCTGCCATCCTTAGGCTTGAGGTAAAACGACGTGATCTCGTCGGACTCCTGCACCTTTCTGGCGACCACGAAGTCGCGCCAGCCGACCCACTGAGCGGCCTCGTAGAGCTCGTGCTCGCGGTTGATGAAGATGTGCGCGAGGTTCCAGTAGGCCGCGCCCCAGGCGTCGTAGAGGTCGCCTTTGAAGACGTCGGCGCCGACGACCTGGGTAATGGCCTCGAGGAGGTGCTTGCCGACGATGGCGTACTGGGATGGAACGATGTGGACGGAGGTGTGCTTGTGCGCGATGCGCTCTACGACAGGGAGGATGGGGGTGAGATCCTCGATGTTGGCCGCGTAGGCGTAGACGGCACGGGCTAGTGCCTCTGCCTGAAGGCCGCGCTGTAGGAATAGAAGGATGAAGGTGAGCATACGTGTGTGTTTTAAAGTGATAGAAGTGACTGGCTGACCTGCTGTTTGCTGTGGCTGAAGACGTTCCGCAGGTCGGGATTGGCCTCAAGCATCTGCCTGTAGAAGAGGGTTGTGATGGTCACGCCATGCTCTTTGAGTATGGGGACGGTGGCGGTGATGAGCTTGCGCTGTTCCGGAGTAAGAGGCGGGGGGTGAGGCAAATTCTCGCTGGACTCGATGATCTTGGACATGGCTGCGGTGATATGCAGTGTATTGACTGTGCTGGCATCTTATATGGTGCACAGACTCGCAATATTGTCAGCAGGACCGTGTGGAAGGAGCAGAACGGAACGGGAGAACTGAACGTAGCGAACAGGACGACTGCCTAGAATGGGCCAGTCGTGCCTCTGTGAAGGGAGACGCCCGGCGTGCCCACTGCCGCTCTGCATCGACGCCCGTGCTTCGGCCTCACCTTGACCCTCCTCTGTGTGTGTATGTGAACCGGGTCTCGGGATTGGCCACTCCCCGCATTGCGCAAGCTCGCATTGCGCTTGTCCAAGGCATTCATTGTCATCAATCGACCGCGTCGGCACCCAATGTGACTCCGGAGTCGGAGAGCCCAGGCGGTACTCGCCGTATTCTTCCGACGCTGGATGGATATTGGCATAACATGGGGTCGTTTCACTCTCGATTACTCTTTAGGAGCATGGCGATGTGCTTGGGCTCACTGAAATATTTTTACGCTGCAAGTATACGCATCAGCATAATTTCTGGTGAACGGCTCTGGATCGCGCACTACAGGCGCCTTGTGGAAAGACTCACCGGTATCGTAGAGCAGTGCAGGCTCGCGCGAAGGCATTAAACCCACCCATGGCACTGCGCGAGGATTGAACCTGCTGACATATGCTTTGACGCATTTACATAAATGCCCGCTCGATGCAACATGCACGCGCAACGGGAAGAGCCTTGCAAAAGAGCCTAGGTCAATAGGCGCCTACATGCTCGGAACCTAGAACTCCTGAGCACCTTTCACCGAGTAAGTGCTCACAGTCAACGGACGCACATGCATTTAATAGTGTACTTATTGCATATGTTACAGTATACAAGGTCCACAGGTCCCCGCGCGCCGGTACCCCGCAACTTTGAAAAAGCGAAGCTCGTCGGACGCAATACGCTCAAATGCCCGCGCCACCGGTAACCTCGAGCGTGTGCCCTGACACGAACGACGCGAGGGGCGAGGCGAGGCTGCACAGAAGACCGATCGTTAGCGACCTGACACGTACATGTACACACACGGGAACAGTTGACGAGTGCACTCACAAGAGGACGCCGCCAGCCGCCTCGTCGGGCGTCGCCGCGCGGCCTAGGGGGATGCCCGCGAACGGGTTCGGTCCCTTCGTCTGCCCGGGAATCCCGAGCGCGACCTTCTTCCCGTCCACCTCGATCGTCTCGCCGTTCTCCTTCGGCGCCGTCAACCTGCACAACGCGACCACCCGGGCCATCAGCGTCCATGCTCCAACGACGGTCGCACAGGAGAACATGGCAGACGTACCGGGTCTGGACGAAACCAAACGCGACGGTGTTGGCGCGCACGCCGAAGCCGCCCCACTCTTTGCAGATAGTCTTGGTGAGGCCAATCACCGCCGCCTTCGCCGCGGCGTAGTTCGCCTGGCCGACGTTGCCGTGCAGGCCGGACGTCGAGGAGACGTTGATGACAGACCGGTTCTCCGTGTTGCCCTGCAGACGCTGTCAGTCGCAAAGCCTCCGCGGGCGGCCGGGGTGGACACCCACCTTGATGCGCATATGGGGCGCCGCGGCGCGGATGAGCCGGAAGGGCGCGCGGACGTGCACACGGAGGATGACATCGAAGGCATCGTCGGGCGTCGTGTGCAGCATGCGGTCGTACGTGAAACCGGCGTTGTTCACGATGTGGTTAATCTTGCCGTACTTCCTACAGGCACAAGCGCGGACGCGTTAGGTTCGCTTGACGTAGGACGTGAACGTGCCCGCTGGAAACGCACTTAATTGTGGCAGTAATGACCTTCTCCGGGAAGTCGTCCGCGCCGACATCACCGCCGACAGCGAGCGCGTCGCCGCCTGCGAGCTTGATCTCGTCGACGACAAGTTGTGCCTTCTTCTCGTCAAGGCTGCGGTAGGCGACAATCACGTGGCAGAGTTCAGGGTCGCGACGTCAATACGTGCGCTTGACTGAGGGACAGGAGAAACGCACTCGGTGACGACGACCTTCGCGCCCTCCTTGGCAAACAGGAGTGCTGCGCTGCGACCGATACCCTGAGAGCGTGGGGGTACGCGTGAGTACAGCGCGCTCGGGTGCCTTCGCGACGTCATGCCGCCAGACGCTCGACCAAGCTTACCTGGGCGGCACCTATTGACAAGGGGAACAGAGTTCTCGTTAGCATGATGGCTACCGCCTATTTGGGGCTGCCCCGAGGAGCGCGACGCGACACGTACCGGTGATAATTGCGACCTCGCCGGCTAGGAGGCCGCGGCCGTAGTTGTTAGAAAGATGCCCAGCAACCTGCGCGAGACGGTCGGCCATGTCGTTAATAGATAGCGGCGGGTTAAGGGTCGTTTAAGATGGAGGGGCGCGCGAGAGAAGGAGGTGGTGAGGAGGAGAGGAGGGGTCGGAGAGAGGGGCCTATAACCGGCGCACGCGCATGAGCAGATCCGGCTACCCCGCATTCCCCGGCCGGTCCGGCGCGCATGTTTACGCCTCCCCCGCATTCCGCTCGCGAGTTCCCCGGCTCTCTCTTCCTTCCGTCCACCTCGTCTGACGTCTTTGTCTCAACTTTACGAGTCCTACGGCCTGCGTGATGCGCACGAGACCCCTGCTTGTCTGCGCTAGATCACCGGTCACGCCTCATGCACCTTCCGGCCGCGCCCCTCCGGTTTCTCATGCGTAAGGCTGGAACGCTTCGGACCCTACAAGCACCGTAGAGTACGGGATTTAATCACCACGTAACTGCCGCAGAAGCCAGGGACTGGGTCAGCACGGACACGAGGCATGAGAGAGTACGTTCAATAAGTTCTACCCACTCACCGTATCCAATCCTACGAAGTGGTAGCACACATCACAGGAACCCACTTTTGCCAGAACCAAACCCGTCTCCCAAGCCCTTCGCCTCGCGGATGAACTTGTCCCGCGTACTGTCATCCATGAGTTCACCCCCGAGCCCCATATCTCGGTCGTAGTCCCAAAAGACGGGATGTTCGCACTTGTCCCCTTCCCGCGCTTTCTCGGCCTCCTGTGCTGCAGACACACGCTCGTGAACGTTGCCGTTGCTTAAGCCCAACCCACGTACAGCCGTTTTGCTTCCGAGACGGGGATCAAACAGAGACATCTGCGAGAACGTAGGGCCCATCACTTCTACAACCTAACATATGTGAGAGCTAGTGTTAATTAAGTGTGCAACGTTGCCCAAATGCTTGTGGTCATGAAGCATCAGCAGCGGAAGGGACTGAGAAGAATGGCCGAATACAAGCGCAACTTCGGCTTAAAAGACATCCAGGCTCCTGCTGGTCTCACACCACTCACTCGTGCGCTTGCAGGACACAGACATGACTTCTGGTCGGGCGTGTATAATCGAGGCCAGTTGGTTCGACCCTTGTCGGCTCGGGTACGATGACATATGGAGCGGCGATACGCCTGGAAAAGTACCAGGATAGACTCTGACCTGCGCTCGGCGTTGAGAAGCTGGCCCGATTCAAATTCGTGAGCCAGTCCGGGCGCGTCAAGAAGAGTCACCTCTCCGAGCTGTACGTACTGTACTAGCGCTGCCTGATGCAGTACGATTTGCAAACTACTGACGGCATATCATAGGTTGCAGGAGGCATTCCTCGACGTCTCCCCCATTTCCCACCCAGAACTGCGCGCAAACAGCCATGTCGACAGAAGCGATCCCAAACGAAGTCCTAGACTGCATCCTCGACTACACGCTTACCATTCCCACCACGACATTCGAAGCTTGGCGCGAACAGCACACCTTCGCGACTACTCCTACTTATGCTGCGTCAATCGGCGCCGTCCTGGCAGTCTCAAAACGGTGGTACGACATCGGCATTCCCCTGCTGTACGAGTCCGCCATCCTGCGCACCCGGGGCCAGGCCGAGGGATTCGCACAGGCACTGCGCAACCCACGCCTAGGGCCACTCAAACTAGGCCTTCGCGTCCGCCGCTTGCGCATCGAGAGCGGGTACAGCAGCCTCGCCAAGATCCTGCAGGGCGTCCCCGGGGTCACCCATCTCTTCCTCGGCCTCAATCTCGTCAACACAGACACAACCCAAGGGCTCCAGCGGGCACTGAAGAAGATCAACCCATCACAACTATTCTTGGATCGCCTGCAGTGGTCGCACAATCTGCAGTTCGAGCTCACGCTCCACAAGGCGCTCGCCGTCGCTCTGTCTGAATGGACACACCTTGTACGCTCGTCCCGCTGCCGACGAATGTCCCGTAAGTATATGCACTCACATCCGCCTGCTTTGCGCAGAAACGCATCGACACCAGCCCGGACACCGTCATTTGGCCAGTCCTCCTCCAGCCGCTGAGCAAGGCGCCAGCGCTGGAGTATGTGTGCCTCCCCGCGTCGACGGCGACGCACAACATCGACGGTGACGTGTTGGAGGCGATATCGCGCAACCCCTGCGTGAAGATAATCCATATCCCGAAGGCGGACCACCGCATCGTAGTATCTGCACTGCAGGCGCGAACCGATCGCGTACCAGAGAAGCTCCACATCGGGAGTGGAAAGGAGTGCGCGCTATGTGTCTCCGCTTTCGGGCATCTCTCGCTGATATGATTCTTCGCAGCATGGTATCCATTATGAACTTTCCGATCAGTGTTATCAAAGAGAACCCAGGGCTTCTGCCCGACCTGCCGGATAAAATATGGGAACGCATCCTCAGGCTGGCAACAGAAGAATGCGCCTACAATCTGTTAGGGCTCAAGAAGAAAGACCAATTGAGGGCCACAAATGAGCCCGTCAACCTGACCCGGAGAAGCATACTCCTATTGTCTAAGCGCTTCTATGTAAGTGCAACTGTTAGCAGAACGCTCCCCAAGCAGACTGACGGACACGCGAGCCAGCGGCTGGGCCTCCCCTGCGTGTATGGCATCCCGCATTTCCTCTCAAAGCATACCGTACAGTCTGTGACCAGGTTCATGGAACGGATCCGCTCATCTAGTGCGCTCGCAGACCTCGTTCGCGTGCTCTATTGCGAGAACCTGCGAGAACCGCTGCCGGTCCCCGTCCTCCTCAGGAACTTGGTCCACGTGTCTCAGCATTTCCGACTGTTCCCGACGCTCGCGGCGCTGCCCCCGGACGATCAGAGCTCTCCGTTGCAGTGGATGGAACAGAAATTGACTGGAATGGAGCTTATATCACCCACGATATTCCTCAAGTTATCGCAGCTGCAGGCGATTATATTGCACGGGTGCCGGGTGGATGGCGGAGGTACAGGAGAACTTGCTGACGCTTTGCCAAGACTTGTTAGCCTAGGCCTGACGAATGTGGACGCTAGCCTCCTATGACGTTCAGATGGTACAAATAATGAAAGTCTCCCACGCGGAATAATCGACATCAATCCCCCACGGGAAACGAATAAGCGCCCGGTGCTCTTTCTGGTGCAAAGTCCGTAGCGCCCGTCCGGAAATGTCCGGCCACTGCCCCGACCATTGCGCCCGACGTGCCCGACGCCCTCGACGCTGTCTGCGGCGGTGGCGGCGGCCTTGGGAGCTCTATAAGACACTATCTAATATCGTAAAATAAGCGGAATGGCTAAGCCAAAGGTAAGGTCGCAAATACTGCCATATTTGGTAGTGTACCGGTGAAGCGGTCCTCGCCGTCGGCAACGACGAGCGCGCTGTCGGGGACGATGAGCGCTGACCTCAGGAGGAGGGGGCGGCCATCGTCGGAGCCTATCCCGGGATCTTCCGATCGGATCGAGACCTCCGAAGACCGGCGCTTATGGTAACTGCCCCTAGTTTGGGGTTTCGTAATCCGTGGGATTGCCCGTTTACCGTGGGGGATTGGTCAATTATCCGTGGGGGGGAGTTTTTACCGCGGGGGGGAGACTATTATTTTTTGTACACTCTGAACGTCATAATAATACAAGGCTTCCCCCCACGGTAAAATCATCCCCCCCACGGATAATCGACAAATCCCCCACGTTAAACAGCCAATCCCACGGATTACGAACCCCAAACTAGGGTCATCTACCATAAGCGCCGGCCTCTAACGGTCCCGACCTGGCCGGAGAATCCCGGAAAAGGCCCCGATGACGGGCGCACGTGCCTCCTGAGGTCAGCGCTTACCGTTCCCCATAGGGCGCTCATCGTCCCCGACAGCGCGCTCGTCGTTGCCGACGGCGGCGACCGCTTGGGCGGAGGCCTACCAAATTTGGTAGTACCTGCTACCTTACCCTTGGTTAAGGCCAGGGAGCTTAATTTCGGTAATTACGCTTCATTTTGAATGGTAAATAGTGTTATATTGAGTTCAAATGACCGCGGCCATCGCCCCAGGCAGCGTCGAGGGCGTCGGGCACGTCGGGCGCAATGGTCGGGGCAGTGGCCGGCCATTTCCGGACGGGCGCTACGGACTTGTACACCAGAGAGGGAATGGGCGCTTATTCGTTTCCCGTGGGGGATTGATGTCGATTATTCCGCGTGGGAGACTTTTATTATTTGTACCATCTGAACGTCATATATTATTTGTACACTCTGAACGTCATATACTGTTGTCAACCTGTGAACACGAAGCCCACGCGATCATGCATGCAGTGCCCATTACCTCCAAGATATGAAGATAGGTGACGCGTGGTACGACTTCATCCGCTTTCTCGCCGCGCGCCGGACGCAGCTCCCCGCGCTCACTGAAGTCCGCGTCGGCACGATCGACTGGCCGCTCGTGGAGTACGTGTACCCCTCGCGCGCAATCCGTCGACTGCGCTCTTACACATTGCTGGACAGGTCGGAGACGCGGGGGTCGATGGCCATCTACGTCGCGTGGTTCTTGAACGCAGAGGCGGGCCTCGCGCTCGCGGATAGCGCGGGCAGGCGGGTTCACCGGCTCGCGCCTGTCCCACTGAGCGTGAGGAGTAAGCAGCGGTGCGTTGCGTACGGAGATGAAATGAATCGAGAGTAAAGTGCAGCGTTGAACGTTCGTTGAACCGGCATTCGATGATGATGATTTGCCTGTTGTGAAGGTATACTGCTCCATGTGAAGTCATGCGCATGCCTGAATATGAAGCTGGGTGGCAAAGTACCAGGGGAAACCTGAGCTTCGAGACCACGGTGGATGTGCCCGGAACGGCCCATTGGCACGGTAGCGAGTCGTCGAGTCGTGAAGGTGTGTTGCCAGCTCGTACCGATATAGATATGTTGCGCTTTGCTCAAGCCTGAAACTGAAGTCAGTGGACGTGTGGTGCTGTCTATGCAACTTGTATAGGCGGAGCTGAGGGACATGGCTACAGCCATTGACGAATCGTCGTAGTAGTAGAGTACATGCAATAACAAGTGATACATACCGATGCTGTCCAACCGTACATCTCCGTACACGTCACAGGAACCCACTTTTGCCGGAACCAAACCTGTCTCCCAAGCCCTTCGCCTCGCGGATGAACTTGTCCCGCGTACTGTCATCCATGAGTCTTCCCCCGAGCCCCATGTCCCGGTCGCGGTCCCAGAATGCAGGCGTTTCGTCCTTCTCGCCTTTTTCGGCCTCCTTTGCTGCAGACACACGCTCGTGCTGCTTGAGTAATGCAGCACCACGTACAGTTTTCTATACCACAGACTGGGTGAGACGTCTCTCACGTGCGCGAAATATAGTATCACGTACCGTGTGTTCTTCCACTCCCTTCCGGACCTCTTCCTCATATTTCCGCCGTTTCCGCGCGTCGGCGTCCTCTTCTACGGCACTGACATCCGTTGCTCGTCGACGTTTTCCGGCAACCTCATCGGCAATACGCTGTTGGCGCTGTGCAGGCGTCTCTGTCCAGAGAGAATTGTCCGCGTCGCGCGAGGGTTGAGCGGTGCGTGCGAATTGCCGTCCTTTCGTAAGCTTTGTTGGGTCAATGGCTAGGAGTAGCTTAGTGCCCTGCGCGTTAATGATACGGGGTCGGACTTACAGCCAAGGAGATCGGACGATGACGGAGGAACAAGCATCCATTCGTCTCGTTGAAGTGCCTTCGGTTTTGACGCTTCCTGAAGTGAGGTCAGCACCTTGGTTTATGCGTGCACTTGTAGTCTCCGGCGCAGTGCGACTACAAGCGATTCCGCGATGCCTCCATGCAGCTCCATGCACTAGAGATTGGTTCTCCCAATATAATACGCAGACATACCTCAATCCGTTTCCTTCTCCGCTCCTCCTTCTCCAAGAACTCCTGCACGCCGTCTTTCTCCTCAGCAACATACCCCTGCGGCAGCGGTCGCGGGCCCACGTCGTCATCATCGTCATCGTCGTCGTACCACCGCCCAGTCATAGACGGCGGGAACGTCGGCCCAAGCACTTTCTTGGCTGTCGAAGCACGGGCAGCCGCCAGGTCCGGAGGTAGCTGAGGTGCATAGTCGTCATCATCGTCCTCTTCTTCCTCTGCGGCGGCAGCAGATGCAGTGGGTTTCGAAGGGCCGGCTGTGAGATGTGAGGGTATTTGCGGACCCACTGGTGCGGGTGCGGGTCCCTCTTCTTCTGAGCTTTCGTCGTTCCGAGACGAAGACCCGGCAAGGACGTGTGCGGGAATGTCGGGCCCAATCATTTCTGCAACCTAGTACTTATGAAGAATAACCGTGATTCAGATGCTGTCCAGTAGTGGCTTGAGGTCGTGAAGGAGCAGTAGCAGTGGATGGACTCGGAGGGATGGCTTCCTGCCAGGGTGGCTAAAGACAAGCGTAACTCTGGGAAAGACGCGCGGGGAGCGCTTACGGCCGTCCGGACCGATACTCCGGACGGTGTCTTTGACCGCGGGATCGACGCGAGCTTTGGGCCGTCCTCAGTGCTGCCTCCTGCCACAACCACTGGTTTCCAAATTACAGGGCAATCGTCGCTCAAGGACTTCGTCTGTACGGCGCGATATCATATAGCGGGTTGGTATGTGAGTGCCATAACAAATTCAACCACCGGGACGGACACCATGTCTGATTCTCGGGATGCCCTCATCAGCGCGCGTGCCTTCAAGTTCCACCAGTCTCAGAGGTAACTCAAGCGACCGTACAGGGAGAGGCCGTGGCCATATGAAAAGCCCCTGCTTGCGCGTAAAGCTCCCCCGCGCACAGGCCATACGTACCCCCAAAATGACAACTTGAACGGAGGGTGGACGGAACGACGGCCAGACCGACACTTGTGCTGCATGTCCCGATACAAACTCCGAAACTCAATTTCTTTTCTACTTGGACGCCCTCGTATTGCAGCTGTTATCAGAACGATAGGCCCCCTCCGAAAAAGTCGCAGAGAGCGGAGTATCAAATGGATGACTAATCCGGTGGCGCGGCGCGGGGCAGACCGCGCGCCCTCCTACCGCAGCGCTCGCTGTTGCTGGTCAACCACACGCTGCTCGTCGCTCTCTGCCCACCGCTCACTGCTCACTAGTCCCTGCTCGTCACCCGCCATGCGACGCCATGTACCCATGGAAGTCCACGATATCTCTCTTAACATGTCACATCGTGACTGTAACGAGGCTTTATAGCGACGTGGCACCCGCCCATCCCCCACCTTCGCTCACCACTCCACGACCCACTTCCATCGCCCCTCTTGCCATGTCTCCCTCGCGCACGACTGGACATGCAACCCCCACTACTACATATCCAGCCTCGCTCTTTGGGTAGCTCGGAGGAGGCTAAGAAGCTCGCAAAGGCCGATGAGCAGTGACACGGCCTTTTTACAGGGCTGGTGCGTTTTTTGACACTCTCGCAACGATCACTCCAGCCGTGAGCTGAATACGTATGACCTACTGCGTGGGTGGCAGCCTCGTCATGGCATGAGTATATGTGATTGTGAGTACGCTCAATTCCCGAAGGCCCTCTTTCCATGCCGAGACTGGTAGCACGGTATGTCTTCCATTCACAGTCTCCTTTCAATCCGAAGCTCTGTAAGTCCTGTGCCCGCCGCCTTAAAACACCATTTCCCGGTGCCCGTGCTTGTCGAATGACCCTCGAGTGTCGGGTTCGTACTCCCAGTTGTTTCCCCTTTTCTGACGTCCCTACTACTGTCATCTATAGCGTTGTAGAAACCGACGACGACGCCATTTTGTAGTCTCCGTACAGCACTGTTTTTTTGTCTTGAACACAGTATAGAAAAATATTTGATCTCCGCTCGAATTGCCTCTGTGTGATTTATTTTACGAGGGGCCTATCGTTCTGATAACAGCTGTGACTACGTTTAGACATCCCCATGGTCCCTTACACTGCCATCATGTCTCCTTTTGCGGACTCCTTGGAGCCAACGATCCCGTCTCGCATCGGTGCTGGCAGCTTCGCCACTGTCTTCGCCGCCCCGGGCCACCCTGTCGTTTTCAAAGTCGTCCACGTACAGGAACACGCTGCTCAGATCCTGGCCGAATACGAAGTCCTCCACTGTGTCTATGGCCTCCGCAATTCCGACTCCATTTTCGCCCTCCCTCGCGCGCTCGCCTTCTATGACCCCGAGACGGATGACCTCCGCTACCATCCGCCCTCGCCGAATGTAGGACGTCCTCGTCGACCCCGTCAGGCTCCGAATCGGGCGATGTTCGACGGCTTGCCTGCTCGAGCATGCTATGTGATGGATCGCGTTGGTCCTCTCCCGAGACACCTCGGAAAACTCATCCGCTCGTCAATGTATCCAGCAAAGACGGTCTTGCCTGAAACCTCTATCCCCCTTTTGTGCCGTCTCTACCTCGGGGAGTTGCGCCCCTCCCCATTCGTCAAGACCAGCAACTTCCCCATCGACGTCGCAAGCTATGGTCTCTTGGTGGATAACTTTCCCGAAGACCTTCTTCCGCTAGAAGTAGTCGCGCAAGGCATCGGCGAAATGCTCTCGAGAATCCACTGGACGGCCGGCTACGACGCCCGCGATATCGAGTTCGTGATGGGAGGCGACGCGTTCGGCGTGCGGTACTACATCATCGATTTTAATCAGGCATTTCTATCGCACTCACTCGTATGTGCCCTTTCTCATGTTTTTGAAGATGCGCGCGTTCGACAAGGACCGGGACGACGTGGCCCTGCTGGCTGACGCGTTCTTCTCCAACGACCCTTACTACCCACGGCCTACACCTGGAGACCAATTGTACGAGGAGTTCAAACGATCGTACGTCGGTTCCTGCCCAGCGAAGCACCTGGCAAGAGCGGAGTGTTTTTTCGGCGCGATCGAGGACCGCCAGGCGGCGAACAGGGCGGCGACCCAGCGCAGTTGCCTCGCTTAAAACCTCCATGTATATGCCTGTATGTCTGTATAAGTATCGTATGCCTGCATATGAAGACGGAACGCTTGATGGGTTATGTACTACGTTATTAGTAGTAGAGGGGTATGGCGAATGCAAGCAGCGGATTACTTACAAAGTATAGAGTGACGTCAGCACGCGTCGTGGTCACTGTAAGACGCGTCGCGCGACCACGTGCACCCAGTAATTACCTCCGCCCGATAACGATCTGCAAGTACCCCGCGACCTCACAAGCTCTGCGACTGTATATCGAGCGCGTAGCCAAACCAGCTCAGATGGAAGCCGTAGCTGAAGAATTGTCTCGGTATCTAGTAGACCGTCTGAAAGAGTAAGCCCTCGTTCAAGAAAGACAAAATATCTGCAGCACTCACTTTCGCCGCATTAGCACGCCCCCCGACGGCCGACTTCTGGTGGGCATCGCAGGCGTACCCGCGTCCGGCAAGTCCACCCTCGCACACCTCATCGTCGAGCGCGTCAACGCCGCCATCGCCGCGTCGTCTGGACATTCTCCTGCCGATAACGCTATCGGCGCCGCGCCGTCCGACAAGCCCGTAGCGGTCTTCATCGGTCTCGACGGCTGGCACCTCACCCGCGCACGGCTCGACGAGTTCCCGGACCCCAAGCTCGCGCACGACCGCCGCGGCGCGCACTGGACGTTCGACGGGGACGGATACGTCGCATTCGTGCGCGCGCTCCGGGAGCCATTAGCCCCGACAGCGGCTTCGAGCGAACGGCCCCAGGTTGTCTATGCACCGTCCTTCTCGCACGAGAAAAAGGATCCGGTGTTCGACGCGATACCGGTATACCCACATCACAGGCTGGTGATCATCGAGGGCCTGTACACTTTCCTCGCCATCCCGCCATGGTCGGCGGCGGCGGAGCTTCTGGACGAGCGGTGGTACGTTGACATTGCCGAGGACGAGGCCGAGAGGAGATTAGTCAAGCGACACGTGAAGACCGGTGTAGCCAGGGATTTGGAGGAGGCAGTGTGGAGGTCTAGGGAGAACGATGCACCAAGTAAGTTTCACTCACGCAGGACGTGCCACGGAGACTAATGCGCGATTTAAGACGGACGCTTCTTGCAAGAGAACATGATGAAACCAACACGAACTATACCAAGCATCGAAGATCCCCGTCTAGATCCTGGACAGTGGCGGACTCAAGGTGCAGGGGATGAGTGATGACATTGGACGAACGAGGACAGAAGGGGTATGCCCTGGATGGTAACTGTAGGAGTTGCACAGAAGACGGTGATGAGTTGATTGTACGATATGTTGCAACAGAGAGCGCAGAGAGCGATATGGATACAGGGGTATACGTTCCTGGTGATACATCTACGCGCAGGCTTGACGCTAACGGGGGTTATTCGTGTCTACCTTCCTCTCCGCGGTCACTATGGGATGTCAGTCACTTTCGGTTAGTGTATACAGGACTAACGTCACTCACCCCATGGCCTTCTGTCCATAGGACACTGCTGTTTGGACGCAGCTGTTCCAATCCACTGTAGTAAGCAGTGCATGTGGAATACATGCGTGCACTCGCCCCAAACTATCACACGACGCGTCGTTAGTGACAGCATTAAACAGAAGATTAGGTACGCTGCTTACTCAATGGACAGTCGTCTCCTGGCATCTTACAGGACGGACAACATCCCTCGAAGGCTACGCGGCATATACCGCACACATCGCCTTCACCGTCGTCGTCCGGATCGTTATTGTGGCCCGTGTCCCATCGCCACTGCGCGATTCCATGCCAGCTCTTGATGTGCACTTTCATTTGACGCGTCGATATGAGGAAGTAGATAGAGGAAGAGAGAGGGACGTGTGGCGGAGGCGTGTTGTGGTTGTGGTTAGAGGAGAGGCGTTGTTTACGCGTGTGTACGCGTTTCTTACAGATTGATCACGCCTCCGCGACAAGGGCCATGGTATATCATCTATCAACGTTTCCTGAGCTCAACAACTCCTCGTTTTACCGGCTTGTTTTGTTCATTTTATTGTTGAACACAACCAACACACAGAAAGCCCTCAAGTTGATCGCGAAGGAGGTGAGGAATACACAGCCATTTTGAGATGCTGTCCTCCTCCAGTCACGTGCATCGGCTATGTTTCTCGGCATGCTCGCCGCAGCCTCGGGCGGCAGAGGCGGCGGCACACAGTCTTTACGACACAGCACGATGAAGTACTCTCTCTTGTCGTCTCTCCATCACAACTACACTCTTCCGAATACTGCTCGCACGCAGATATAGCAACTTCTGGGAGATCGCGCGCATCTATCTCGGCTGTATCTTGTGCTACTCTCCAAATTACTCCAAATTGGGCCTCCTGTGTCTACGCTTCGTCTCTCTCATCTGCTACTCTTGCTCGCGATGGCTAGCTCATCCGCTGGAAAGATCTTGAAGCGAGCAGACCCATCCACGATCCATGACAAGTTCCTCGTGGGCTACCAAGGCTGGTTTACCTGCGCAGGAGACGGCGAACCCGTCGGACCTGGCCACCACGGCTGGCTTCACTGGTTCAACTACCCCATACCAGACGGTGGGCGGCCTAACACCGACATCTGGCCTGATACTTCAGAGTATACGCCCTCGGAACTGTTCCCCGCCCCAGGGCTGAAGTATGCGGACGGCTCGCAGGCCTTCCTCTTCTCGTCGCGCCACCCGAAGACGGTGCAGCGACACTTCAACTGGATGGCACAGCACGGCGTCGACGGCGCGCTTTTGCAGCGCTTTCTAGGTCAGACCGATCTGGAGCAGGGAAACCACGGAATACGGAACATGAGGGATGAGGTCGGCGATAGGGTCATGGAGGCCGCGGAAAAAGAGGGACGCGTCTTCGCGATCATGTACGTATCTCATACCCCGTCGCATGCGATGCTCAATACAGATGCTTCTTGCGTACCGCAGGTACGACGTATCGGGGGTCACGCCCGACCGCATCCAGCGCGTGCTCGAGCAAGACTGGATACACCTGATCCGCCGCAAGGCCATCCTCGACAGCCCCGCGTACCTCCGCGAGCAGGGCCGCCCCGTCGTCATCCTCTGGGGATTCGGCATGTCCGACGCGCACCACTCGCCCGCGATGGTTCGCGCCGTGACCCGCTTCATCCGCGAGAACACGCCCGGGGGCGCGTACATCATGGCCGGGGTGCCCGCACACTGGCGCACGAGCGTGATGGACGCCGACCCGGACCCGGAGTTTCTCAAGGTGTGGCTCGAGGAGTTCGACGCGCTCTCTCCGTGGACGATCGGACGGTACCATGACGAGGAGGGCGCGGACCGGTTCGAGCAGGAGAAGATCAAGGGCGACGCGGAGCTGATCAAGCAGCACAACGAGCGGTGGGAGAGCAATCGGGGCACGATGCGGAAGATTGACTACATTCCTGTGATCTTCCCGGGGGGTTCGGTAAGTAACGCTAGAGTTTGCTCGCCGGCAGGGCGTGTAGCTTACCGATTTATCAGGGGCACAACCTTTCGGAGGGCAAGTGGGGGTGGAATGACGCCCCGCGCAAGGGCGGGCACTTCATGTGGCGCCAGCTGGTGAACGCCAAGCGGCACGGCGTACGTACAGTCTATGGCGCGATGTGGGACGAGTGAGCGGCATTCTTCCAGCACAAGGGAGCCTTTGCTTACACGTTTCGAAGGTATGACGAAGGTACGGCATTCATGCCAGTCGTATCGCACAAACGGCAACTACCGGTGCTCGAGACGCACCGCTTCATGGCCTTGGATGAAGACGGTTTCGATTTGCCCCCAGACTGGTCAGTGATGACCCGTGATCCGTATACGAATGGTACTCTGACTGCCGGTTCAGGTATATGCGCATATGCGGATTCGCAGCGGAAGGTTTGCGTGGGGAGCGCATGATTCATGACACCTTTCCGTCGAAGGAGCTGCAGGACTACTGGTCCACCCGCCCGCGGTACGAAGAGACCCCAGCGGCGAGTGCTGCAGGAGCCAGCGGGAGCGGTGATAAGGGTGAGACGTGGGAAGAGTGGGAGAAGCTAGCGGCAAAGCAGGACTCGGATGAGCCCCCACCACCACCGTATAGTCTAGAGGTTGACGAAGCACAACCTATCGCTCCCCCGGCTAGCACTAGCGGACCACCTCCAGTACCGCTTGAGCGTCGACCAACCCTACCAAGTGCTTCGCAATCGCAAGGGCCGCCCCCTCCGCCGTTATCAACACGACCTGCTCCCCCTCTAGTAAGTAGCGGATCCCGGCCTCAGAGCTTGCACAATTCGCATCCGGTATCGGAGCCGCACGCATCCTCGTCCCAAGAAATCCCGGTTCTGCAACGTTTCAGCAGCCTATCGGTGTCGTCCCCACCGACCTCTCCCCCCGCAGACCATGCTTCGTACGGACGCCATTCACACTCCCCGTCACCTCGGCCGGTATCCCCGGCCCTCTCGCATCAGTCGCACCACTCTCACCACTCGCACACGTCGTCGCACTCGGCCCCCGCGCCATATCTTCCGCCGCCATCAGGGCCAGAGTACGCTCCACATTTCCCGACTCCCTCGCCTCCGAACAGCGCTCCTGGGCCGTGGACGCAAGCGGCATGGCCACCGCCGGAGTGGGGGGTTCCTCAGAGCCATGTCACAACTTACCCCCAATATCACAAGAGCGAAGCATATCCCCAACATCACCAGAGCGAATCCTACCCGCAACACCAACAGGATGAACCACAATTCGCCTCAGAATACCGGGCCGGATACAATCCTGGGTACGCCCCGGGCTACCCACCTGCCAGTCCACCTCCGCCTCCGCCCTTGAGACCCCGGCCATCGACGACGTCCCATCATTCACGTCCCCCGCCGGGCCCACCTTCGCCTTACGGCCACGGTCCGAGCGAGCCCTCCTACAGCAGCGCCGGCGGTTTCGCGTTCCCCGAAGCACAGGCCTACGGGCCGCCAGACAGCAGCTACTGCCCCGCTCCGCCCGCACACTCCCCCTACCCTCCCCCATCTTCGTACCCTGGTAGTAGTACAGTTCCTGGCCCAGGCAGCCCGCACGCACATCTCTTCCCGGCCGGGCCAGGACCAGACGCGTACTCGCCTGGCCCGGGGGCGCCACCCCCGCCACCACCACGTAAGTGCCCGTTCTTCTAGCTCAGCGCGCGCGCAGCCGATCGCCGCGCTGGGCCCGCACGAAGACGAATACTTACCCTGCGCACGTCGATCTTGGCAGGTCCGTACCGCACCCCCGACTACTATCATCCGGCATCGTCGGAGGGACAGGGCGCGGGGTACCGCCCGCCTCCCCCGCCGCGGCCGCCTTCCCATCCCGCGTCGGGGTATTCGGGGAATCAAGGCGTGAGCGGGGGTGGGGCGCCTGCGATGTCCTCCGGCCCGCTGGGGAGCGCGTTCAATCTGGTAGGGAACGTCGCGGGGCAGGGTGCGAAGACGCAGCTGCAGAATCTTGCGAACTGTACGTGGGCTCTGTGTTATGTCTGCGGTTCCGCACTGATAGTTTACTTCGTGTCTCGCTCCCAGCTGGCTCGAAGTTGTTTAGCAAGTACCGCAAGTAAGAACCGGGAACCCAATGATGTGTGTGCGTTACGACTGTACATGTGACGATATATGTAGCGTAGTACAAGCAGAGATGCCTATTATTGTATCCATTGCTGTAGCCGACCGCCAGGAGGTACTCGACTCGTCCGTTGCGAGTCCCGCAGTCTAGCTAGCCCCGATCGGCGGGCACCGTCCGAGAGCATATTAGGTGTAGAGCGTACTAATGACTAGCAATATACGACGGAGATATGAATAAGTACAAGGGGGGGGGGGGCGCGGGGTGCGCAGTGCGAGCCTACATATAGCAATAGCGCGGAAAGATTGGTATAAGATGGAGCACGCGGAACCCGAACAGAAAATGCATCGGAGGAGATAATGGCCGACCCAGCGTGCGCGTATACGTAGTGCGCTGAGAGGCCGAGCCGAACAGGAGCAGAACAGCAGCGGGGCACTGGCAGCAGCAGCGGCAGGCCCCGGGCCCCGTCGCCATAGCAGGAACGGCGGCGTCGGCGGTGTCAACGTCGGGGAGCGCGGCGAGGTACTGCGGTTTAGAAAATGAGCAGCTGCCCGCCGCTCCTGTTTGCGACGTTGGTGCCCATGAGGCCGGGCCCGGGCAGGCGGCCCTGCCAGCCGCGCGGGTGGTACGGGTTTGCGCCGGTGTTCTCGTCGAACGAGTCGCGCTCCTCGATGTACGTCCCGTTGTTCTCCCGCAGCGGGCGCACGGGCGGGAGCGGCACGGGCGTGCCCTTCGCGAGCGGGGTCAGGTCGAATGCCTTCAGGCTCTCGGGCACCCACAGGCTCGGCGAGGGCGCGCGCCGCGCACGCTTCCGCGAACGGCTCTGGCGCGGCTCGGACGCCGACGCCTCCGTCTCGGGCATGTTCTCCTCTGCGGACGCCGTCTTGCGTTTGCGAGCGGTGCGACGGGGGACGGGTGTGGCCTGAGCAGGGACTACGGGGGTCTCTGTGATAGTTGCGTGGGGCGCTTGGGCAGTCGAGTCTGAGGTGGAGGCGACAGGAGCGGAGGCCTCCGCGTCGCTAGATGTACTAGGGCTCGCGGCTGCGGCCTGCGACGGGGAGCTGCTGCCCGCTGCGGGCGCGGGCGCGCTAGCGCCGGGGTGGGCAGCGCGGCAGGTCTTCGCATGGCGGTTAAGATTGGACGCGACGCCGAAGCGTCTCCCGCAGCTCTCGCACGCGAAGGCTAGGGGGGCAAGCGCTGTCAGTGGGGAGCGCGCGCGTGCGCCCGGCAGGCCGCGTACCTTTCTCGCCCGTGTGAACGAGGAGATGCTGCAAAAGCGGCCAATCAGCGCACTGCGCGAGCCAGCCGGGCGTGCGCCGCGCGGGCGAGGGGCTCACCTTCTTGAGCGTGCTGGGTCTGCGGGGGCGCGGTGAGTGTCATTCAGGCTCGCGCAGGGGCGCGCACGACGCACCGATCGAAGGACTTGTGGCACATCCAACAGTGGTGGATCTTCTTTTTGGCGTCCTTTGCGCGCTGCTGCTCCTCGGGGGGCGTGGGCTCGCGTCCGCCGTCTGAGCCGCTGCCGGTGTCGTCGTGGCGGGAGCCGGAGTCGTTGGAGGAGGAAGCGGCGGGCTGGCGGGAGAAGTAGCTCGGCAGGGAGATCGCCATTGGGGGCTCGAGGTCGTCTGGTTGTGGGAGGGCCGGGGCGGAGGCCGACGGGGCTTTATATTGTTGATAGGCAGCATGGGCGGGGTAGGGCGCGTGTGGAGCTAGGGACGCTGATGCGGTGGAGGGATACGGGTAGCCACTTCGAGCGACAGCGGGCCCGTGGGCGTAGGTGGGGAGGCGCTGGGGGAGGAAGAGGCTGTGGTCATGCGGGGGGAATCCAAGGGAGAAGGCGAGGGGCGTGTGGTGGGCATGGAACGGTGCTGGTGGCGTTTTGTACAGGTGGTAGGACGTCGACGGCGAGCCAGAGGGGAGGTTGTGCATGTCGACGCTCGAGCGCTGGCGGACGCGTCCGGGGAGGGATCGGCTGAGGCTCGTGGTGCGCGGGCGGGTGCTAGGGGTAAGCGGGTTATATATCCCATCGAGCGGTATGCGATTTTGAATTCAAGGAAGCACGCCCACGTTGTCAGCAATGAGGACCCGTACCTCAATCGACGGCTTATGCAGGGAGACGGAGATCGAGGCTGGGTGGTCAATCCGCCGGCCTCCATGGCGCTCGTCCCCTTCGCAGCGCCCGCGCCAGATCCAGCACCCCATTCAAATCTGCATGTAACACTCCCTCGGGACGCCCCTGCTCACCCCGCGTCCTCGACAGACGCGCTGATAACGCGCACCCTAGCTATTGCGGGCCAACGGCTGCACCGACCGCGCTCGCACGGGAAGGTCAGCCGGTTCATTTGAGGGCGCAGCGACATTCCAATAGCGCCAAACGCTGGGTCCGTCCGCCGCAGATTGGCCTGCACACCCATATCAGGGCACGCGCAGGCAGCCCGTCCTGCGCGCGCTGTGTTCTGCAGGCACGGACGCATGACCAGAACACAACATCGTGCCCGCGCTGGGCCCCTCTGCAGCCGACGATCCATCAGCGGGCGACGCAAGAGGCAGGAGCGAACGACCGACAGATACGCACTCATTACGTGAGTGTACCGTACCCGGCTCGAAGCCTAGCTTGAAACGCAGCGGGGCAAAGACGCACTCCAGGCCAGGGACGAACTTGGGACGGTGCTCGGTCGTCGTCGGACGCACGTCTGCTCGTCGCACCCGCATGCGGAACGTAGACGCCCGTCGCTCAATACTTTTGTGACAGCTGCGGCGCGCATGCACACTTATGCCGAAAAGCTAATCACCACGCAGTCCGCGCGACCCAGTGATTGCGTGTGTGCCGGACGGTCGACGGACGCGTACAGGGTCTCTATCCTATGTGCTTCCATCGCTCCGCCGCGCAAGCCCCGAGGAGGTGCTTCAGCGCAGATGTTGTACACCGGATAATTTTATTTGGAAACCCGGGGTACGCACAATAACCCGGGTTCCAAATGATACACATAGGAAACCCTGCCCGAAGGTGTCTAACCCGGCCGGGCAACAGGCGTCCCCGGCCGCGCGTATCCTTCGCGCGAGCCCGCGGTCCTACGGAGGGCATGCGCGATGCGTCGTTGAGGGGCTCTAGAATATCTAGGCGCCACAAAATAATCCTGTGAATAATTGACACGATGCCTGAACTGTTCGCGCCACACGGGGGACTCACATTGAGCCTCGCACGCAGCGTAAACCTGTCAATGAAAGCGGAAATTTCAAGATATGCCTACTCCCAGAGACGTATCTGGAATGGTACAGCATTCACCTGCCCGCGACGAGTCAGATGTGCGCGCACCCATCGTTCAAGCCAGCTTCGTGACATACGGCTGTGATCAAGATGTTTAGAACATGGTGCGTTGATCAATATTCGTGTACGAACCAAGAGAACCGCGCACCCGCGCACACACACCTGCCGGCCACATCCTGTTCGGGGTATGCATCCCCCGGAGGCCCTCCGGCGCAGGCCGTGACGAAGCCGGGTTTCCAAACTAGCAGAGGGGTTCCAAGCCGTACCTGGGGTTTCCATGTATAATTGTCATTGTACACCGATGGACGACGAACGAAGAGATCGCTCCGACCGCCCGCCGAGATTGAATGAGGCAGAAACGGGCGAGAAGCGTCGGGAGGAGAGGCTCTCGTCCACGCAGATGCCGGTTGGCGACAGTTCGTCTCCGATGGCCAAAGGATCTATCGCGCGCCATGCCCTCGATCGCGGGCCACCATACAACACTGTCTGTACGTCAAACGGCATCAGCATCGCCGCACATGCACACCACCCTTCCTCGGCGGGAAACTGGGTTGACTTACCGCGCACGAAGCGGGCCCTGGCGCCGTCGCTGGCAGACTATGAACCGACTTCTCTGCATCGTCCTCCGGTTACTGGCGGAGGCATTCCCCCGCAAGCTCGCCTCCGCGGAGGAGAAGTGAGCGAGCGGGGGCAGGTCCAGGCTGTCAGAGTCAGAATGCCGGTTCGTGTCCGGTAACTCGCATCCGGCGCGACGTATAGTGGCCGACGCGCGCGAGCGCCACAGTGCCGCCGCATCAGCACGCACGAATCCAGCAGGCCCCTCTGCGCATTCGTCCGCCGCCCGTCGGCTGAGAAGATTGCGTTGGACAGCGCACGAATCTCAGCCGCACGCGTCCCGAGATTCAGCGTGCATGGCGCGCACTCAGAGGGATCTGGACAGCGCAGGAATGGTTCGGGGCGCGAGCGGGGCGGGGCGGACTGAATGCACTCACGTCTGCGCCAGCTTCGGGGCTTCCTGCACTCAGTTGCTCACGATGGGTTGCGCTTGATTGTGCCGCGTATGGGAGAGAACCTCGGGGTTCACACTCCGTCGAACTGAAGGGTGGTTTGAATGCAGCCTGACTCTTTCGATGGACTGCAATATGAACCCCTGGCCGACGACAGGCAGCGACATATCTGAACAGTGAGAGGGACGATGGCGGATGGCAATAAAAAATGTGCGGCCGTGTAGGTCCATATTTGTGAGCGCCCCGGCCGCGTGGCAAAGTCTCGGCATTTCCCGAGATAGACCAAAACGGGTGCTTAGTAACCCCTGCAGACGAATTGGGAAGGAACGCGTCCCGGGCGCGTCACTCCTCCTTGTCCTCTCCCACTTCGTTTCGCGTAGACTCCGCCAGCAAGTTCGCGCACCCACCGTCCTCGTCCATATATCTGTCTGCTGGTTTTTGCGCTTTCAGCGCTCTAGTGGTGAGTCTCCGCACATCACCTCGCGCTCAAGCGCGTTGCTCGCACGTAGTACGTGCGATCTCTTTCCGCGGGTTTCGCAACGCGCGGGGATCGGAATTCATTCACCCGCGGCGCGTCCGAAATCACGGTCGGCCCCCTTCGTGTGGGGTTACCTGACCTCGTCCGCACGCCGAACGTACGCTCCGCCTACTGCGGAATAATACCACTGAGCCTCACGGCGGTCCTAGTTTCCGTTCACATGCAGCGGAAACGAGAACTCTCGCCGACGCGCCATCTCGAATCCACCCTTCGCGGCCTCTCGTGCCGCCCTCCTCGTCTTCTCAGACCGCTCTGACCTAATCCCTCGCGCTCTTAGGAAGCCAGCAGAGGACGGTCTTTTACTCAGACCGCGGCCGCTCACCGTCAACTCGCATCGCGTCGCTGCGTGCGGCCTCCTGCTCTCAGCCATGCCTGTATCTGCTGCACAGAAAACCGCGATCGAGGAGGTCGTCCGCGCGCTCACGAGCGCAACAAGTCGCCGCGTCAAGCGGCGACTTGCGGACATGTTCATGGAGTTGGTCGACAAGGATTCATGGCCGGAGTACTACGAGGCGCGTCTCTTTGCCAATCAATCTCATGCGCCGCTCGCTTAACTGCTCATACCACAGGTTATACCTCAACCTCGTTGCATCAACGGCGTCAAGTCCACCCTTGCCCAAAACAAATACAAAGATCCCCTGGACGCGTTCCAAGACATCCAGCTCGTGTTTCTCAACGCGCTCTACTACAACGAGCCCGGAAGTCAGATCGCGAAGGACGCGACGACGCTTAAGGTGAGTAATAACCTCTGTTCTGACTGCCCCTGGTGCGACCGCATTCCCGCCAGGGCATTCTCGAGAGCGAATGGAGGCAGCGCTCCGTCCTCCCTGCGCCGCCAACCTCAGCCCCGTCCTCGTCTGCACAGAAGGTGCACGCGCGGAAGGACCAGCCCGAACGTGCCGCAGCCCAGCCACCACCCGCGCCCAAGGCTCAGGCTGCAACTCCCGCCCGGAAGTCCTCGAAAGCACCTGCCGCGGCCGCACCCACGAAGGCGGTAGAGCCCACGCCACAGGGCTCTGCGCAGCCAGCCGCGACGGCACGGGCGAAGTCTCCTGAGCGTGCTGCTTCTCCCGAGATCGACGTCGACGTCGGCGGAACACCGGAGCCTGAGGTCGTCGGGCACGACGGCGCCAGAGACGGGGAGAGCGACGAGATCGTGCGACAGCTCGAGAAGGGTCTGCCGCGCTGGGAGGGGCTCGCGGACGCTGGTTGGACGGACGAACTGGACGCGGTGAGCACCCTCGTGCCGGGCCCAGTATGGGCGCGTCCCCGGTCCGCGGACTCACATATGACAGGACCGCATGGTGGACATCGTCGTCACGATCTCCAAGTATAGGGACGAGAGGTGCGTGCCCGCGCCGGGGTTTCGCAGGGTGCGCTTCGCGCAGCGTGGCTGACGCGCACGCCCACAGCGGTAATCGCCTCGCAGCGAGCCTAGAAGCCGTCCCGGAGGAGACGAACATTCCAGACCTGTCGTTCACTGTGCGGTCTCCTCTCTGTATTTGCGGCACTGCGGGACGCTTACCGGGTGTCTGTTTTGTTTCACAGTTTCCGCTCTCACTGCGGCTTGTGGAGGTGGGTGCTTCGTGCTGAGAGGTGCATGACCCGACCCGAGCCGGCGGCTGACAGAACTGTAGAGCCGGACGCGCATGAAGTATTATGAGACGTCGAAGGGGTTCGACCGGGAGATGTCGCAGCTGTTCCTGAAGGCGCGGCGGTGGTATGAAAGCGGGACCGAGCCGTACGGGAACGTGCTGGTGCTGCAGGTGCGTCCGCGGCGTGCGTATTGTGGAGCCCCGTCGCTTACATTGTGCCTTCTGCGACAGAGGCTGTACCACGCCCTGACAGCTCCGAATCCGCCACAGCCGCCCTACACATCGACAACAGGGTTTGCGGCGTTGCCGGCTGGCCCAGGCGTTGCGAAGCCGCTGCATGACAGTGTCGAGAGCGACAATCGTGTTACTACCTTCCGGGTCTCGGTGAAAGACAGGAAGATCATTGACGAGATCCAGTACAAGGGATGGACTATCCGTCTTGCTGACTGGTTGCATCTCAGCAACCCGGACGACCCTAGCAGGCCCATTGTTGGCCAGGTCTTCAAATGTTTCCTCTATCAGGAAAAGTGGGTGTTCCTGCTCCCTCCCCTCGTGCAAAATCACTAACTGCTCTGTAGCCAAAAGAAAGGACAACCTGGTGTGAGCGTGAGCTGGTACTACCGACCTGAACAGGTACGTACGCGCCACGCACCCCGGGCCCCGCCACTGACCCACGCCAACGCCAGACATTCCATCCCGCCAGTCGGCAGTTTTGGGAGAAGGAGGTCTTCAAGACAAGTACGCCCTCCCGCCCGATGTTCGTCTCCAAAAATCTTGCTGACCCTTCCGCACACAGGCCACTTCGCAGACCACCCGATCGAGGACCTCGTCGAGAAAATCGCGTGCCAGTTCACGGCGCGACACCTGCGCGGACGCCCGCGCCCCCCATTTTGGCACCCCGGCTGGCCGCTGTACGTGTGCGACGCGCGCTATAACGACCGCGACCGCGTGTTCGTGAAGATCAAGAACTGGAACTCGTGCATCCCCGAGGAGGTGCGCAAGCGCGAGGAGTTCATGCCCATCTACCCGTTCGAGCGCCCCGTCGTGCCCCGCACGTACCCCAGCCCCTTCGCGGGTCAGCAGAAGATCAAAGCGCCTGGGGGTATCTTGGACGCGGCGGAGAAAGCGGAGGGCGAGAAGACTGAGGCGGCAGCAGGAGCGGCTGGAGCGTCAGGGGCTGCGACGCCGGCGGCCGCGACGAGGAAGCGTCCGCAGAGGAAAGCGGCGGCGAAAGCGGAGGCGGAGCGCGCGGGATCTGCGAAGGCGGCCGCACCTCCTGCCCCACCGACAACGCAGCACGCCCAGTATGCTCAGTATGCCCAACTCCTGCCGCCGCAGGAGGACCGCTCGATATACGCCGCTGCGGGGGGCGTATCGGCAGTGAACAACGCGACGGCCGAGGAGCTGCCTCCGGAAACTGGTATGTTTATATTGCGAAAAACGTGGGTCGTCTACACGAGTGCTGACGATTTTTGTAGCGCGGCATTTCGACCGCGACCCGGAGACGAACGAGGTGCTGTGGTTCGCGGCGCCCCCCGTGGACCTCGTGCATGTCCCGCCGCCGCGGCACAGCCTGAAGTACCTCGCGTTCCTCGCGCAGAAGCGAAAGAGGCAACAGCAGGGGGCCGGCGCTGGTGCAGATGCCATCGACGTGGACGAGGAGTCGCGCCCGCGGAAGAAGGTACCGCCGACGGTGACGGAGCAGTTGGAGGCGTTGATGAAGGAGCATGGTTTGGATCAGGTGTCTGTTTAGTAGGATGCGCCGTTGTATATTATTGTTATACCTGTATACTTCCGTCCTTGTCTGTTCGCTCCCTCGCTGGTCTGGTGATACGAATATCGATAGTTATAATATAGCAGACTGTACTATCGCACTTAGGCATGTTGGATATAGATCGTGATAAGAGCGGAGATGTGCGTGATGGAATGAGTGGAGGGGGGTGAGCGGGGATGCTACACTGCGACTAAACTAATTCCTGTACATATATGCTACAGTCTACCGGAATCTAGACTCCATGCCCATCTTCGCGATTTTCTCTATTTCTGCCTCCGTGAGCCCCAGACCGACGGGTGGGGGCGCCATGAGGAGCGCATACTCGCCCAACAGCGAGTTGCGGAACGGAAGGATGTCGTCTGTCTACATCCATCCGCACAATATCAGTCGCTGCGCATGCGTACGAAACCACGGCACATAAAAGTGGCACTCACGCATATCGCGACGGGGTGGTCGTGGCCGAGGTAATAGCGGAGGTGGTGTGCATCGAGCGTCGGGACGGTCTTGCAGAGCAGGTTGGAGGAGAGGCAGATCTCGATGCACATCTCGTCCGTGTGTACGATTTTCTTCGCCGCGGCGTCGAGGAACGTTGCGTGCCCGAGCCGGTCGGGTTTATAGGACAGCAAGCGGAGCGTCTCTGGCGAAGGACAGTCGGGGGTCTAGCGTGCAGAAACATAGGTGGTAAGTCAGGTCGATCGCATGTAGGAGTACGCTAGAAGAGTAGGCAAGCGCACCTCCGCGATGTGGAGGGTTACGCCGAGTCCAGCGGCCTTGGCGGTGCGGAAGTGTTCAGCGAACTCATCCATGTTGCCCGCCTGCACCGGAAAAAATTCATCTCCGTCAGCATGCAGACATGGTTTGGGAGAGACGCCACCTACCGTTGGGTCACCGCACAGGTCAACGCCGACCACCCGTCTACCCTCCTTCTTCAAGCTGACGGCGCACTCTATACACTCCGCCGCCGTGCTATAGTCCATCCGACGGTCCAGGCTGACAATCAGCGCCGCGCGCTCCGGCAGGTACTGCTCGAGCTCGTCCAGCACGGCCTCGATGTACTGCCTGCGTGTCATCGCAGGGGTCTCGCGTGGGGTGCTCCGGAGCTCGAGGTACGCCGCTTGCGCGTACCCGTCCTTCCCCTCCGCGAGGAAAAAATCGAGCACCGAGCGGGTCGCGCGGCGGAGAACCGCGGGGGTGGAGGTGATCTCGTATATAGCGGGGAAGAGCCCGAAGAAGTCCTGGATCTCGTCTAGGACGACTCCGTGCTGGAGACGGTTGAGGCCGGCGCGCACGGCGTCGGGGAGAGCGTCTGCGCCGCTCTGCGCGTGGAACTCGTTCGCGAGCTGCTGAAGGGCGGGAAATGGGATCGATCCGTTGAGGTGCGCGTGCAACTCTGCCTTGGGGAGCTTTTGGAGGAACTCGAGCTGTGAGGGCGTGAGGCTCGCGAGAGCCTCTGCAGCGTATCCGGCAATGGTGTGATCGGACATTTTGGGGGTACGTATGGCCTGTGGATCGCGTAGGAGAGCTTCACGCGCGAGCAGAGGCTTTATATATGATCAGGGCCTCTCCCTGTACGGCCGCTCGAGTCACCTTTGAGACTGGTGGAACTTGAAGGCACGCGCGCTGATGAGGGCATCCCGAGAATCAGACATGGTGTCGGACCCAGTGGTTGAATTTGTTATGGCACCCACATGCCAACCCGCTAGATGAGATCGCGCCGCACAGACGAAGTCCTTGAGCGATGATTGCTGTGTAATTTGTACACCAGTGGTTGTGGCAGGAGGCAGCACAGGACGGAAAGCTCGCGTCGATCTCGCGGCTAAAACCCTGTCCGGAGTATCGGTCCGGACGGCCGTAAGCGCTTCACGCGCGCTTGTCTTCAGCCACCCGGGAAGCCATGGCCCTCCCTACTGCTGCTTCACGACCTCAAGCATCAGCTACTGTACAACATCTGAATCACGGTTATTTTCACATATACTAGGTCTTAGAAATTATTGAGCCTGACATTCTCGCACATGTCCTTGCCGGGTCTTCGTCTCGGAACAACGATCGGAAAGCTCAGAAGAGGGACCCGCACCCGCACCAGTTGGTCCACAGATACCCTCACATCTCACAGCCGGCCCTTCGAACCCCTCTGGATCCACTGCGGACGCAGAGAAAGAAGAGGACGATGACGACGACTATGTCGGGACAGGCGCGAGCCGGCGGACCGGCCTGCCCGTAATGTCCGCGAGTGGCGCCGCGAGGCCCGCCTTCGAGTTCAAGAACCACGCAACGTAGACGGCCATCGAGATGGCCATCTCCGACCTGTCCCGAGCCGTGTTAGCATTGAAACCTCATTTCGTGGGCGATCAACAAAATTCGCGCAAGGGAGACACATACTCTACGTGCGGCCCCACGATCGTGTCGACGCACACCTCCGTGAGCGCAGGGAGCTGAGCCTTGTGCGCAGCGAGGAACCGGCTGAAGTCGTACCACGCATCGGTTTTTTCCTCATCGTAGTGACGATTTGCGCTGTGTGCCCGCGTGAGTCCTATGTCCACCGGGTCGACAACGGTACTGGTAGCGCGCACCTGAGGAACTGCCGCGGGAACACGATACGCTGCATCGATGCGTGCGGCGTACACGCCTCCACGAAGCGAATGCCGTCCACAGGCTATCCCGCACGCCAGGTAGATGACAAGGACCGTTGCTACGGCACGATAAGACGGCGTCGGCGTACCGGGAGCCTCTCATCGAGCAGATTGAGCTCCACGATGTTAGGACACAGGTTGAGGAGCTGCGGGATGTTTGCGTACGACGTCGCAGACAGAATATTAATGTGTAGCTTCACCCCGGGCGCTCGCAGGAAGCTGGAGAGCGCGCGTGCATGGACAGTCCTACTGCTTTCGTAGCTGAACTTGCGCAGTGACGGGAGCCTGCTAGGGCCATGAATACCGATCATGAGCAGCCTGCGGGAGAGATTGAAAAGCACGATGAGGCAAATGAAATAACGTACATCATAGACGCAAACATGAAGATGAGGCTATGGTCCACGTCTACGAAGTGGAGGGTTTCAAGCTTGGGCAGTGTGTCAGCGGATGTCTCCATGCCTCGGCCACCCGCACGGCCTCCATGCAAAATGATTGTCTGCAGGTGCGAATACTTGAGGAACGCCGTAGGTCGAATAGGCTTTGCGCTGGACAGATCCTGCTTCATGTATTGCAACGGGGAGCTTTGACCGTTCGAGAGCAGCGCCGGCAGCGCCGGGAACACTCGAAGATAGCAGGACGCGTAGACCAGGTTCTTGAGGGGAACAGGCACTCGCATCAGTTCTGACGGCGAGTCGATGTAAAGTACGCGGACGAGGTCCGCGAGCTTGCTAGAAGAGCAGATCCGTCGCATGAATTCCGTAACGGACAATTCCACCTCGGGGAATGTCTGCGGGAAGTGTGGGATGCCATACATGCGGGGGAGGCCCAACCGCTGGCATACGCGTATCTGTCAGTTTACTTGGACAACCATCCACTAAGGATTGCACGCACATAGAAGCCCTTGCAGGTCAGGAGGATGCTTTTTCGGGTCCGATTGACGGGCTTGGCCAATACCCTCAAACGATCTTCTCTCCCAAGTCCTCTTGCACTGTAGGCGCATTCTTCTGTCGCCTGCATAAGGATGTGCTCCTATATCTTGTCCGGCAGGTTAGACAAAGGCCCTGGGTTCTCCCTGATCACATCGTATGGATAGTCCACCATAGACACCATGCTGCGAACATACACATTAGCGAGAATACGCTTAGTATAAAAACACGACGCGCACTCCCTCCCACTCCCGATGAATAGCTTTTCTAGCGCACCATCCGTGCGTATCTGCAGTGTGGATACTGCCACGATGTGGGGGTTTGCCTCCGGGATATGGATCATCTTCACGTACGGGTTGCAAGAAATCGCCCCCAGCACCGTAGCGCCATCGTCATGATTGAAAGGTGTGTTGGATATCAACTGCGTTGCTATCGACCCGTAGAGGCACACACATACTCCAGCGCTGGTGCCTTGCTGAGCGGTTGGAGCAGCTCGCGCCAAATGACGGTTCCCGGGCTCGCATAGATCTGTTTCTGTACAGAACAGGGCATGAGTCAATACTCTCATTTGCACCATAGAAGGCAGGGGTAGCAGATCAAGCGTACAAGACGCGTCCATTCCGGTAGGGCGCGAGCGAGACCGTAGATGAGCGTACGCTCGAACTTCTGTGTACCGAGCGACCGTTCCAGGCGATCTAAGAACAGTCGTGATGGGTTCGCCTCCCGCAGCGCGCGCCGGACCATTTGGTCCCTATCTGTACATGAATCGGGGTTGAGGCTGAGAAAGAGATCAGCGATCCTGGGGGTGCCTTGCAGGACTTGGTCAAAGTTGTTGTAACTCTCGATGCGCAGTCGGCGGACGCGGAGGCCTAGTTTGAGTGGCCCTAGGCGTGGGTTGGCTAGGGCCTGTGCGAATCCTTCTGCTTGGCTCCAGGTGCGCAGGATTGCGGACTCGTACAGAAGAGGAATGCCGATGGCGTACCATCGTTTCGAGACCGCTAGAATGGCGCCGATTGGCGCAGCATAGGTAGGGGTACAAGCGAAGGTGTGCTGTTCCAGCCAAGCTTCAAATGTATTATGTCGTAGTAGGAATGGCAAGGATATAGTCGAGAATGCGGTCCAGGACTTCATTTGGGACAGTCTCAGTAGACATGGTCGTTTACGGGAATCCCTAGTAAACGGGAAACGGTTGTCGAAGCTCAATGCACGCCAGGGAGTGCCTCATGCAATGAATTTTACATCAGCGTTTGGTTGTACAGCGTCAGACGGCCTTGAAGCAATGGTACGTACAACCCCGGGAGGTCTTTGGGTACTGACTTGTCCCGTGGTCTCGAAGCTGAGGTTTCCCCTTATTCTTTGCTACCGCGCCCGAACTAGTAGCTATGGCGGTGATATTGTACATTTAATCTACGCGCATGTGCAACTCGCAACTCGCAACTTTCGTGGGCGCCTAATGACCATATAAGGCAGGCACCTTTCGAAATCCTTGAAAATACGGCCAGATCCCCCGGGCGAGTTGCAAGCTGCAAGTGAAAGCTGATAGTTGATAGTGAAACCTCGGCTAACTGAGGTCGGACTGAGGTCGTACTTAGGTCGCGCGCAGTTTCACGATCAACTACCAACTACCAACTTGCTAATCTTATCTAATGGGCGCTTCTCTTTATCTCGCCCCAGATTAATCTCGTTGGCATCTAATCAACCTGCCCCAGACTCGGACTTCTGACACCCCTCCCTAGGTTTTACCTTCCTCCACTGCAAAAGCTATATCTCAGCAACCATAGGTCCTATTGGCTTCATTCTTTTTGTGGGTACTTACCTGAGGCAATTGGATTATGTTTGTACAAACACTGTGATTGATAAATAATAAACTTCTGGTTATTCCCCCTCTTTTGGGTAGATGTCCCAACGGCGCGTGAGCGTGTCGGGTTTCGCACCTAACCGTCCGGGGCGGAATCAGATTACAAGGTTGAACTGGGACAGGAACTCCGACCACTGGGCTTGCCAGTGGGTCAGGAGTTTGGTTGTGGCGAAGTACTCCAAGTTCTTGCAGTCCGTGACGACGTCTACCGGAGTCGGAGATCCTTCAAGGTAGTGCCGCCAGGACTTGAACAACTTGAAGATCACCAGGAGTTCCTTATCGTGAGTGTCGTAGTTCAACTTCACACCCGTGAGAGTGCAGGAATGGAAAGCAACAGGGTGGAGTTTGCCGGACTCCGAGGTGATGGAGAGAATTCTGGCAATGGCGTAGTCCGAGGTGTCGGTTTCGACGGTCAGAGGGCGGTTCGGCTCCCAATATTGGAGTACCGGAGTGGCGGTGAAGGCTTGCTTGAGAGCGTTGAAGGCCTTCCGGCAGTCCTGGGAGAAAGGACTTCCGAGTTAGGCGGGTAAGGGGTACAACAATCTCGGAGTAGTTGTGGATGAAACACCGATAGAAATTAGCGAAGCCCAAGAATGACTGAACATCTCGGACTTTGTGGGGTTCCAGCCACTCAAGGATCACGCGGACCTTGGATTCCACCATGGTGAGTCTGTCGGGGCTGAGGATATAGCCGAGGTACTCAACAGAGTTGGCGTGGAACTCGCACTTGTCGGTGCGAGCGTAGAGTTTGTGCTTTCGGAGGTGTCGGAGTACCTCTTTGATGTGCTTCAGGTGGTCCTCGGGGTTGTCGGAGTAGACCTAAGACGAGGATATCATCTAAGTAGACGACCACTGTGACGTCAAGCAGGTCCGCAAACACCTCGTTCACAAAGTGTTGAAAAGCTGCGGGGGCATTGGAAAGTCCGAATGGCATTACGAGCCACTTGAAAGATCCGTAGTGTGTGCAGAAAGCCGTCTTCCACTCATCTCCGGGGGTGATCCGGACTAGGTTGTAGGTGTGTCGGAGGTTGATTTTGGTGTAAATCCGGGCCTTCCGAGGTGTGTCCAGGAGGTCTGAGATGAGCAGAAGCGGGTAGCGGTCCTTCCAGGTGATCTTATTCAAACCCCGGTAGTCCACACAGAGACAGAGAAAACCGTCCTTCTTGACAAAAAGGACCGGAGCTCCGCAGGGGGAGTTCGATGGATGAATGAACCCCGAGCAGAGGTTCTCGTCGATATACTCATGGAGCGTATCGAGCTCGAGCTTTGAGAGCGAGTAGATTGGTCCGAGAGGCAGAACTCCGCTGTCCTCGAGGGTGATTTTGAGGTTGTACGGTCGGTGTTCTGGAAGGACGTCGGCCTGCAACTTGCTGAAGACGTCCGCAAACTTGTGGTACTCCTCCGGAATTCTGGAGAGGTCCGGTGGGGAGTCTGAGATGGACGTGCTACGAGCGAGGGCAGAGTCTGACACTGCCAGGTTGAGCGTGAAGCTCTCAGAGCCGGGAATCTTGCAGGTGCGCGCGAACACGGCGGCATTGATCAGTGAGACCCAGGGACCTGTTGGGGAGGTCGGGGCCACAGGGTCCGGGATGTCCTCTGGGGAACTCGGAGTTGGAGTTGGCTCCGGAGTTGGTTCGGAAGGGGGACAAGTCGCTGGTGCGGTCCGGAATTGGATGCTACGCTTCTTCCAGTCAATCAGCGGATTGTGGTTGGAGAGCCAGCTGTATCCCAGTATGGCGGAGACGGACTTGTTGAGCGGAGTGACGTAAAGGTCGACAGAGATGACCTCTCCCAAGGGAAAATGCAGAGGTAAATTGACAGTCCTAGTAATAATCTGGTTGAAAGTGCCATCGAAGAGCTGAAGACATATCAGAGGTATGGAACGGTCAGAATACTGTGCTTCTCCGTGAATGCGGAGTCCACGAAGCGGTGTGAGGATCCGGAGTCTATGAGAGTGCGGAACGGAGTTGGAACGGAGTCAGAGAAGAGATCAATATGGAGAGACAAGGGATCGGAAAGAGCGGACATGTTGAGTCAGAGGCAGGTCCTGACACTCCTCGGCCGTCAACTTGCCGTCTTTGCCCAGCTTGTCAGCATAGGGCTTGGTCGGAGTTTTGGCCGCCGGCTTGTGACCAGAGGAGGACGCAGTGATGTGTCTAGATGTGCGTCAACGGCCGATAGCCGAGGGGGGAGAGCACGTCTGAGAAAAGGGTGATGAGGGAGAGTAAGGGCTCAAGTTCCCTAGGATGGGGGGCCGCGACCGTGTAGGCTGCGAGACCAATATATTGTGCCTTTTACTCTGAGACGCGGACCTAGCACCATCACGGGCGCGGCGCGGACACAACTTCGCCGCAGTCGTAGACGCAAAATGCAGACGCAAACACGGACGCAAGCGCAGACGCGGACACAGACACAGACACAAGAAGGACGCAGACGCAGTGGGGGACGCAGTCGACAATCCTTTACGCTTGGTCGAGAGCGGAGCGTAACTCACCAATGAGCCGAACACGACAAGACGTCCACAGACATTGACAGCTGGAGCGGAGGTTTAGAGGAAAGGAGGTGGGAGTTTTCTGGGGAGTCTCCTGGACCCCCCCTGTTGACTATGTACAGGGTCCTATCTACGCAACGGTACTCGGGCCCGACCTACTTGGCTTGTGTGACGTCGCAATCGAGGCACACCTCGGGCAGCGTGCGGTGGGCACAATTGCGCTGTTGCGCTCCGCGCCACTATCTCTCCTGAGTGTTGTGCTGCTCCGGGGCACGCCCCGTGCGGCCGCGTCCATTCCTCCTCTGTCCCGGCGTGAGTGGCTTCAGTGCAGGCCTCCAACGCAGCGCACCCCAACTCTAGTGCGGCTTGCGGTGCGACATGCCTCCAGCGCGACACAACATACCTTGGGTGCGGCAGCTTGCTGGCCTCAGAGGCAGTGGATGCTCATCAGCGGACTTCGGGGTACCAGAGTTGGAGGAACCGGAGTTGGAGGTAGACGGCTTGGACGACTGTTGCGACTTCGAATCTGAGGTGCCGGACTTGGTCCCAGACTTGGATGTCCCAGAGTCCCGGCTTTGCTTGGTCTGGCGCTCCCAGTACCAGTTGTAAATAGACTGGGCCAGGCCGCAAAGCCCGACAAGCGTTGTCGGCTTGCCCACCTCCGAGATTTGGTCCTTCAGACGGTTCAGAAGACCGTCGTAGAAACGGCAACGGAGCGGGGTGTTGCCCCACTGGACTTGGGTCGCAAGACGGGTAAATTGGGTGATGTACTTTGCGATCTGGTGGTTGTCACCCATCCGGAGCTTCATGAGTTTGTGCTCCGCTGCTCCGGACACATTGTAAGGTCTGAAGTTGACACGGAGTTCATCCTGGAAGGCTTCATAGTCCAACATGAAGATCGGAGGTGCTTCGGAGTCCGACTCCAGGAGATACGGCTCGAACCACTGGAGGGCGGTGCCCTTGAGGTACGAGATCCCATAGGTGACCTTCCTCTCTTTGGAGTTGAAGGTCCGGGGACGGGCTTTGAACACGAGCTCCAGCTGCGCAAAGAACAGTTGGAGTTTGTTTGGTTTGGTCCCGTTGAACTGGTCCGGCTCGCGGACATTGTTGCGCTCCGAGGACCTGCCACCCTGGTTCTGGTTTTGGGTCGCGCGGTCGTAGGTAATGGACTGCGCTAGGTACGGGATTGCTCCGGTGATGCGCACTCACCGCGCCTGCCGCCCGCCGCAGTGTGGGCACCGCTCTCGAGCTCAGACCGCCCCAACGTGGACTCCCTGTCGGATACTGCGCCCCAACGCGTGCCCCGCACGGCCCCGAGCCTCCCAGAAGGCCGCCTGGGCACCCACGCACCACCCCCATTTGCTTGCCCGCGAGTCGAGCAAGGCGAACCGCGATAAGTGGCCCCGACCGAGAGCGCCAAGCCCTGCCAAGCATTGGGGTTCGAGGGCAGTACGAAACACCCGATACGCTCGTCGGGGGTCGCGGCGCATACGCCCCCACCCACCAATCACACCGCGCGGTACGCGCGGCCCCGACAGCCTAGGCAAGGCCAGTAGAGCACGGCCCCCGTAAGGGCCCGATCGTTGCGCACGGCGCGGCGGGCACGACGGGTGCATCTTTCATTTATTATCCTTCCCGTACGGCTCCGGCCCCTCCTGTATATACGCGGGCCCCGAGCACCGGGAAATCCACCTTCTCTTACCCCTTCAGAGCTCAAGTTTGTGTTTGGGCCTGCGTCTGCGACTGCGACCCCGACTGTGTTCGCGAACCTCCCCAACAGTGTCCTTATGCCCTCGACCACGTCAATTACAGTGAGCACTTCTCGGACGTCGCCGTGCACTGGTACCCTGCCCCGTGTCGCATTCCCCGACTAGCGTCCGCGCAATCCCCTACCCCCGGGTCAGGAGTGATAAGCTCGCTCGACCCCCACCCTCCTCCACGCCTCCGCGTTCGTAGGGAACTCGGGATCGTACTGGGAAACACCCCGCACACACAAGTCACTTCTCGGGTCTTGTCCTCTCGGCCCATCGACCCTGGCGTCCTAGCGGCCGTTACGGGAGGCTTGAGTGCATCACCGGCGAGCTGTTCCGTGGCATCAGGGTTGCGAGGTGGGATTCTGGGGTTCACTCCACCGACCGGAGGCTGCCCAACCGCTGGTGCCTCAGGATCAGGTACGGGGGTGGGCACATCTCAGAATGGATTGTTGGGGGAGTTGATGCAGGACGGTGCTCCAGTACCTGGAGCTTCGAACACCGGAGCTGCAGGGATGGCTCCACGCAAGGGGCTGTTTTCTCAGCTGAACAGGTCCAGAGACCTCGTCTGAGTATAGCGGGGGTCTTCTGGCCTTGGAGGCCAAGTCGGCGTGACCTCGCCGGCCCTAGGCCTGCGGGCGGAGAATCCCCTGAAGGTTTTGTCAGAATCCCCTTGGTGAGCCATGACGAGAGTCCCAGAGTGAGTTTAGATATACTGTTAGGACCGTGCTGTTCGGAGTTGAGCTCTGGGTTAGTCGGAGGTCGGAGTTCGGAAGTCCGAGATGGACTTAGCAGCACAGGAGTGAGGACACTGCGAAGCTATTAGCAATGCACTGGGCAAACTCATCTAGTTCTCTATTTTGGACGACGGAGTTCAGAGGTGGACGGAAGTCCGGTAGAGTTGGAAGGGAAGAGTGGGGAGAAGGCTGAGGGCGAGTAAGGAGTCAAGCAGAGAGACGAAGACACAGTCTGAGGCGGACTTCGGGTTCGGAGGTCGGAGGTCAGAGATCAGACGGAGGAAGTCGAGAAGCAGAGAAGGAGTTTGGATTAGGGAACGAGATATCTGAACTCAGGTACTACAACATTCTGGGCGCGTATTTATGGGCATGAACCTTATTGTCTAGCAGAAACAATAGCGAAGGGTAAATACGAAATTTGGAACTCGGAGTACGTACGGAAGTCCGAAGTCTGAGATACAAAACAATAAGCTAATTGTCTAATCAAGTGATAACGAAGTATGACGTGATGTGCAATAAGCAGACATATGGAGTTCGGAGTTTGGAGATGGGGTTCGGGATCGGAATTCGGCGCACAGGATGTAACATGTTGAGACACTCTTAATCAGTAAACCTGTTTCGCTGATAATGTGTCAGATTCCCATGTTCCGTTGTATACCTATGTCTGGAAGTCCGCAAATAAATGTCTTGTTGCGATCATCATTGGTACAATCCGCGCGTCTGAACGGCTTTTTGAGTGATATAAAATATATTTGATCCCGTACCTATCTGTTACTGCTGGCCAGACATTTGTTTGCAAAGGTATGCGAGCACGGCCAGCATATGCAAACCTATCAAGCCCTTGACAGGGTTGCAATGGCTTGGGAGCTCAGACGGGGAGATTGCGTGTCTTGCAAGCTAGTGTCTAGTGACCGGTTTTGGCTGCAAACTGGGCTTACATGTTGCAATGGCTTGGGCAGATTGCAACCGCTTGCGCGTGCTTGGAAGCATTTTTGCTGTTTGCTGATGCCTGTCAGTAGCTACCTAAACAAGAAACAAGTGAGCTACAGACAAGAGTCAGCTAAACAACAAGGAATGGGAATGCACGCATGGAGCTCACCTCAGCATTTGGGGAAAGAATGATGACGTGCCTGCGTGCAGTTGGCGAGGTATATGAGAGCGAGGGCAGACACCACTATCAATGAGGTGCCAGCAGCGATTTACGGATAAGCGGACCTTGTGCACTTTGAAAGTAAGTAAATGAACATATGTGAGTAAGTAATAAGTAAGAAATGAAAGTAAGTGGTATAGTAAGCAATAAGTACAACAATCTGAGCTCATCCCGCCGGTTACACACACACAGGTTATACTTGTTGCTTTCGTAAGTCGATAAAAAAAACCCCACATAACCGGAAGTTTATTATTTATCAATCACAGTGTTTGTACAAACATAATCCAATTGCCTCAGGTAAGTACCCACAAAAAGAATGAAGCCAATAGGACCTATGGTTGCTGAGATATAGCTTTTGCAGTGGAGGAAGGTAAAACCTAGGGAGGGGTGTCAGAAGTCCGAGTCTGGGGCAGGTTGATTAGATGCCAACGAGATTAATCTGGGGCGAGATAAAGAGAAGCGCCCATTAGATAAGATTAGCAAGTTGGTAGTTAGTGCTGCCGTAGAGTAAAGGTCCCTTGAAGCAATGTATACCTTGCCTTGACCGGCATCTCGGCGGAATCAGTCAAGGTGTCCCCAATGCCACTCGGTAGGCGCCCCAAGGTCACCGCCAAGGAGGCGGTCCGAGTGTCCGGCTGTTGACAGTGTTCACGTGACCGACGCGACACTGCAAACGCGCGCGTCGACGCGTCGACGCGTTCGCTACCTGCGTTGACCGCCATGCTGCCGCGCTCCACCGTACCTCGAAAATACACCCTGAGTGACATGGGAACGGTTTCGTATGACTACTCCCTATCTGGCTGAGATATTCTACCTGTTCTGGAGCTGCTCAGGCCACTGTTGTGTTGCAACACCCGCTCCTAGGTAAGTGGGCCCCTCTCTACGCACCGGTGGACAGTATCCTCCGCGTTTTGAGTAATTTGATGTGCCGAGGATCGCGCCAGGGGAGAGCCCTGTAGAGTAGTATAAAAACCATGTCCGGCGAGCAGGACAACACCGCAAAAACAGCGCCAGGCTCTCCCCTGTTCCTTACCATGTCTCAACTCCAGCACTCAGTCTGCCAAAGATGTCACGCTGTTGCTCCTCAGCCGTGCATCTGCGCGACGCTCTCCGCAGACGCCAACCTCCCCCACCCTGCTTATGGACAGCAGTGGTACTTTCCGGCACCGCCACCTTCTCCAGCACAGTGGCAGAACACCGCCCTCCCTCTTGGACCATATCATCACGTCGCCCCTCCGCCACCTACTCCCACTGCACACCATGGACATGCCGGTCATATGGTACCCTATAGGTATGTCTTAATGTCGATATTATGCCATAGAACTAACTTTACGGGTACTGCAGTGGGATAGAGCCTCACAGCGGGCTGCCGCTCCCTGCCATGCACCATGGACCGCATCCACAGCACCCCCAGCCACTTCAGGGCCCAGAGCGTCCTCCTCTCGAAGAAGCAACGGGCCCAGTCCTCAATGCCAACGGAAAACGCGGCCGCGCGAAGGGAGCAAGAGGCGGGGCGAAGCGTGCACGCGGTGGTCGCGCGATGGCGCAGACAAACGCTGACTTCCCCGTCATCGGGTCCGCTGCGCCCCCTGGAACAGCAGTTGGCCCCTCTGTGCCTCTTGTTGTGCCGCTTTCCGATGCGGCCCGGCTCTCCCAGCCACTGCGGCGCTTTGGGTCGCTTGTCCGGAAGCAGCATTCCCCCAACTCGTCGCAAGCAGCCGCATCGGACGTCTGGTACTTCATGTACACCCTAACGGAACTTCCCAGCAAGGACACGACGTCACGGCCTGACTCCCAACCCCGCTTGCGAAGCAAACCACAAACAGAGTTCGTCGCCTGTCGCCTCTGCACGTATGTACTCCTCTCCTACATAGTAGACTTGGTGCTAATCCCTCGAGCTTATAGAAAAGAGTGGCAGCTCTGGAAATGTCAAAACGGACAAACAGACACCATCCGGACGCACCTTCGATCTCACCACGCTGAGGTATGGCGCAAAGAAGTCATCGCCAACCAGCTCAAAGGCTGGCAGCAACTCGCCACACTCCAAGAGGGTAAATCCGACATCTCCGCTCCGTCAACGCCAATGGAACCATACTCAAATCACGGTCTATCACGGCGTGCGGTTAGGTGGATGGCGGCTGATGATCAGGTATATACATTGTAGTGGAGGCACTCGCCGACTGCGGTTAACTTGAATTGACTTGCCTTTTCTACTGCTTTCGCGGTGGCTACCGGCTTTGCAGGCCATTAATGTCGTTGAATCACGGCTATTTCGGGATATGCTCATCTTTGCAAGCACGTCCCCAACGCCATTAACTGACAAAGACATCCTCCATCGCACGCACGCGCATGACCTATTAATCCGGGAGTACGAGATGGAGATGGAGAAGCTCCGAAAAGAGCTTCAGGTGCGTCATTCTACTTTGTGCTCTATATACGCATGCTCACTACCAGGTATTGACTTGCCTTGTCTTCAGACGGCGCTTGGGCGCATTTCGTTTACTTGCGACCTATGGACATGTAAGATCCTTCGCGGCTTCTTCGCGGCCACCGTACACTGGTGCAAGCGCAACTGCAACGGTCATCTTATCATCGACTCCCGTCTCGGCGCATTCCGCAATGTCCTGGGACAACATACAGGCAAGAACCTAGCGGCAGAGTTCTTCAGCATCCTCGAAGAGCTTGGCATCGTACACAAGGTGATATTGTGTTTAATTGCATGCTGTTACATACTGACGGCCTCCCTTAGCTCGGCTGCATCACCCTCGATAATGCAAGCAATAATAACACAATGATGGCAGACCTGGAGCGCATTTTGACCGGGAAGGGGATACCCTTTCATCGGGATGGAAACCGCCTGCGGTGCGTCATGCATAGTGTTTGGGTTTGGCTATGAGACACTTACTTGTTGACAGATGCTTCCCACATGTTGTCAACATTTCCGTGCAGCATGGGCTCTCTTCATTGACCGATCTTGACCCTTTCGAGCCCACAGCGACAGCAGACGAGTCCACTAATGACATCCCAACGCCAGACCAAACAATTGTCGTGCTTGATGACAACCTCGGGGATTCAACTGCGAACGGAGCTCTCGATTTGGACCCGGAGTACGCCGCTGCACTTTGTAGCGACCCTATCAAGAATGCTCGGCAGCTCATCTCGGTGTGCCGTGTCTCGGGCCAGCGACGCGAGGAGTTCAAGAACACCATCATCGAAGGCAACAAAGCTGGTAGCTTCGGTGAAGGGGTTGAGCTGCCAAAGGCTCAGCTTCTGCGTGATGTAGACACGCGCTGGTCTTCGACATTTCTGATGATTGACAGGCTTCTCGAACTCTATCCGGTGCGTCCAACCATTGCCATCAGGGCTTAGTACATCACTCACGCGAGATCCTGCTACACTTCCTGCAGGCGGTCCAGAACTTCATGAAGAAGCCCGACTATGAGGAGCTCGCACACCACCTGCTCTCCGAGAAGGAGCTCGATGTCCTCGCGGATGTCCGCGGCTTCTTACTGATCCCACACCGCGTGCAGGAACTGCTCTCGGCTGAGCAGACACCTACCGCCTCAATGACGCTTCCAGCGTATGAGGAACTCCTTGAGTTATTGAAGCTCGCCCGCAGCAAGTACTCGAAAATTGCGCACGGCATTGAGGCTTCCATATCAGTACTCGAGCAGTACTTGCGCTATACGCGCCAAACGCGCGTGTACGCACTCGCCATGGGTATGTCTACACTCTATTTTCAGTCATATTGCTAATCATGTCGTCGTTTCACAGTGATCAACCCTTCGGTCAAGCTCAAGTGGCTAGAGAAAAACTGGACCCCCGAAGAGGTCGATGCTGCGAAGGCTTGGATGCGAGAAGCGGTACGCTCGCGTTGACTATGACAGGAGTCTCTGCTGACTGTGCTAATTATATAACAATTACAGATGCTAGACTATCGCAAGCGCGAGCGTGAAGATACGCGCACGGCGGCGGCGTCTGAACCTGCCCGGAGCACAACTAGTACTCCGGGCCCCTCATGCCCTCCGACCCCTCTCCCCGGCGACATTCATCGCGCCTATACCCCTACACCCTCCATGCAAGCATTGCCAGGCTCGCACGCATCGCGCTCGCTGCGTGTGGGCTTCGGTTCGCTTCAGGACCTGCGCAGGGAACTCTCGTCTTCAACAGTGAGTACTAGCACGTCCGACTCCGATGCAGGCACAAACCTTGCGTCCACATCGCATCAAGAGGAGTCCGAAGAGGAGCTCAAGGCGCGACTCGATGCAGAGGACGCTGCCGTTGTGGACGCCGAGCTCAAGGCGTACATCGAGGCGGGACTGAGCTCGCAAGACGTCGATTTGCTTGCCTACTGGGATGTACGCCAACCTCATTCATCCTGTCGGCTGTCACTGATTTGAATTTTCTCAGACTCACTCGGGGGTGTTCCCTTACCTCTTCCATGTCGCCCTCGACATTCTTCCAGTGCCCGCGTCAAGTGTCGCATCAGAGCGTGTATTCTCGTCGAGCAAGGAGACCGATACTCTGCGGCGGACAGGGCTCGATGCAGCAATGATGGAAATTCTTCAAGTCCTCAAGTATGCCATCTTGAAGGAGTCGCGCGAGCTGATGAATGCCTACGCCGCGGCACCTCCCCCGCCTCGGACTATGGAGAACGAGTTACGACGGGACGAGATGGTTACTCCGGCGGAGGCCTCGAGTCTCGTGCGTCCGGGAGGTCTTGAGACACTTCTGCAGCTTGTACACGACGTCCATGGCGATTCTCACTAGCTATATATACATGTATGGTGCTCTGCGCTAACCTGTTGCTTTAATATTGTCATTCTCGCGCTCGTATCGCACTCTACTTTGTAGATTCTCGATGGCATCCCTCCGCGCTAGGGTCTGTGGGAGGTCACGTGTGGACTCCAAGGTCAGCTTGATGGGACATCGGAGTCGTTCAATGTATGAACTCCGACGCCTTGGGCGTACCTTGACCTTGCTCTACGGCAGCACTATTGGTAGTTGGTAGTTGATCGTGAAACTGCGCGCGACCTAAGTACGACCTCAGTCCGACCTCAGTTAGCCGAGGTTTCACTATCAACTATCAGCTTTCACTTGCAGCTTGCAACTCGCCCGGGGGATCTGGCCGTATTTTCAAGGATTTCGAAAGGTGCCTGCCTTATATGGTCATTAGGCGCCCACGAAAGTTGCGAGTTGCGAGTTGCATATAGAAGTAAATATTTTTTATACAAATCGATCGTCATAACTAGCGAGGATTGATCCAAATCGCATGTTGCATATTCGAGCATAGGTCAGAAACAGTGCCTGCGTCTTGCCTCAAGGTACCGATGACGAGTGCTTGCATGAGGACGGCGCTAGCCAGTAGCGCCGCGGCGTTGACCATTCGAGCGGAGCTTCAAACATGTATTGCATTGCCGCGGCCTTACATCGCACGAACGCCCACAACCAACCCACAACATAACGATCACGGTATGATGAAGCCTCTTTCTAGTACTACCTTTTGCTAGCTGGGCTTCAATTAATGTGTGTATCATCGCGGACTCGCAGATGATGTACAAAGCTGACAGACTTTATGACACACAGGGCGAACTTGAAGGCTCGCAAAGCCGACAACTCACTCGGATGGCGGAAGCACTGGACCCCCCCGCCGGTGCCATGTCGTATGCGTCGATATCGTCCGCTTATGTGAGGAGAGCGCAGGACGGACGTACGTCAGCGTACGTCCTCATCGACGCGCCGAGATTGTCAGCGGGAGATAGCGCCTAGTACATTTTTGTAACGCTATCCCCGTTCAGCTGCGCGTCGCTCAACTTCAGGTACGCCCGAGTGAAGATGGTCTATAAATTGGTCGCATACCTCAACCGAGACCAGATTACACGCAATCCCCTCACATTCGCGTTCGCGTACATCGGTGCTATTTCACCGACGACTTCATGTCATGTTGCAGCGGAATTCCATCCTGCTCAATGCCACTGCGGCGCCTCACTGAGCCTAGCTTTCGTTACATATCCGTTCACTCTGTACAACTCACACCATTCCTCCACCTGCTCACTGCTCCACTCGGTCGCAAGCGGGAACACCTTTTCCCGCATTCGCGGTCGAGCCGCCGATTGGACCCTACAACAACATTATTCGCGGGCGACAATCTGTCTACGCAACGAGGCGATGCGCTCCTGCGCGTCGCGCCAGGTCGCGTCCCCCCACCGGCCCCGCCAGTAATGCTAGTGCCTGGCGCTGTGGCGTATTCGTAGCCACGGCTTCACCCCATTGGTACTTTCTGCTTCTCAGGATCGCCCATTATGCCCATTACTCACCCAAAAAAAACAGACGCAAGTGGCACGTTTGAGGGTACCACCGAACGCTCCGCGTGTATCTTCATCTTTATTCCCGAAGATGGTGCTCGTCTGGACGCGCTCAGCCAACTTATGTCCGTCGTATGCGCGCAAGCAAGTCGTTCTATGACATACCGCCACCGCCTCGAGACAATTCCGGCGCTCACTCAGGTCGTATAAGAGAACCTCGCGTTATACGCCATTCTGCATCTTGACCACTCCAGTACAAGATGCACTTCTCCACCTCCACGTTCCTCTCCGCGCTCGCACTCTCCGCCGCCTCGTTCACGCAGGCAGCGAGCCTCGTGAAGCGGCAGATCGTCATCCCCACTCACGGCACGACCGTCGCCCCCGCCGACGGCAGCACGATCACGCCCAGGACGATGTTTCCCTTCAGCTACGAGAACGCCAACGCCTGCAAGTCCGGCTACAGCCCCATCTCGGTCTACCTGAGCACCTCGCCGCCTACCTCCGCCGACGTCACGAACGCGGGTGGGCTTGTGAACGGTAGCTTTGTGTTCCATTTTGGAGACTACCTGATCCCGAACTTCGGTGAGTGCTCCGCGGTGGAATTGGGGATATACAAGTGTGCAGCCTTGCTTAGTTGTTTTCCGTCAATCAGGTCTCCCTCCGTTGGAAACCCCGCCGCCGGCAACTTTGACCGCCCCGACGCTCGACGACGTGGCGGACGGCACAACACTCTACTTCTCTGTCGTGGAGTTGTACAGGAACTGCCCTGTGAGTTATATCAATTTCATCATCAATTCGTCTGATGTCCTGACTGCTTTTAAATAGGGACACGTTCCCCTTAAATTTGGTCTGGAGACCACGACGGTGAACTACGCCTGAGTGTGCTGATTGGATATGCAATTCACAATAAGGTCATGACCGCTTGTATCAATGAAGTTTACTCAATCTCTAGGCTGCTTGATAAAAGGCGAGACTGTTGGAGCAATCGAGAAAACGTTGGCAGGAGTAAGAAAATACTAGTATTCCGTTTGTCCCGTACGGTAGCGTCGTGGTACGAAGGCAAACGGATAGCGTACAAAACGGGTCTCGGCGCGCGCGCACGATACTGAACGCTTCGGCAAGCGCCGGCCAGCAAGCGCTCGCTCGCTCGAAACCAAAATGCAACAGAGACGTCAGTGTATGCCTTACAATGGGCAAGAGCGACGAGCGTGACACACGGAAGTATTGCATACGAAGGTGCTTGACGCCAAAGCTTATGTAGATGAACTACTGAATACAGATTGAATGCAGTGAGTCACTCGTGGTCATAGTTATCCGTGGGGTCCAAAGTCCTGTGGTTTGTTTCCTTCCTAGGTATGCCCGCGAATCATCATGTACCGCATGAGCGGCCACGCACCTTCCTCTCGCGCCAACTGCGACCGTACGCCCACACCAGCAGAATCAGCACATTGGTCAAGATCATGACCCCTCCCCATATGGTGTACATCCACCCGTCGCCGAGGTGGTCCTGCAGCCTCGCGGCCTTAGTCACCACGACAACTTGACGTGACCAACTAAGGAGACGCACCTGTACCGGCACGGCTAGTTCGGCAGCGGCGAATGCAAAGAGCCCGCGGAACAAGCTATTCGTGGCGACCGCCGATGATGACTGTCCTGCATTGGCATCGACGATGTACGCAAGCGTACTTGAGTACACCCAACTGTCCGCGACGAGTCAGCTAGCGGACTACACCGGAGTTACAGCAAATTCCACTCACACAGAGAATAAGCCGCAAAGGAACAGGAAGACGACCGGAGCGGCGATATGCACGTTCTCGTGTACAACCCACCCGTACGCGATAATAGACGGCGGCAGGAACACCATGCCGAAGAAGGTAGACTGCAGGCGCATCTGCGGCCGACGTATTGTCAATATATATACGTCATTTGACCATTGGCGTGCGTACCTCGGGAAACCTCTGCCCGCCGCTTTTACGTTGAACTCGAGCCAGCGTCATGTCGGACCACTTGCCACCTAGGATACTGCCGGCAACGCTCCCTGTGATTTCCGTAAGCATCGCCCTGCAGATGCAAGACGGTTGAGTTACCCACCTGCACCGAAGGCCAGAAGAACGAGGCTACGTTATGCCCGTGAGTTTCAGCGACGCCCCGACATGACCGTAAACATACCCGGTGTGCAGCGCGTCGTAGCCATACTGCGCCGCCAGGACACGGGCCGACGTATACAGAATGGAGTACGAAAACCCGTAGATAAATCCTGTGCGAAGGTGTCCTCGGTCTCTGAAGAATACTCGCATGCCCGCAAAACGCACCGGAAGCGGTCAGTATTACCGGGTTGTTGAGGTATCGCAGAACTCGGAGCATAGGCATAACCGGATCCGCGTCCTTCAGGGACAGCTTGATATCCTTGAACGCGGGAGCCGTTGGCTTACGCTCGGCTGCCTCAGCCGCGGAGACCTCGGTGGGGGGCGTTTTCTCATAGGTGTTCTTGGACGATGCGTGAGACTGAGCCTCGCTGCGTTGGCTCTCCTCGATGTTCCGTTTCAGGACCCGCTGGTAGGCCAGACTGCGTTCACGGCGGAACGTGTCCTTGAACAAGAACACAAACGAAGCTAGGTTGAGGCCTCCGAATATGACGAGAAACCAGAAACATGCTCTCCAGTCGAACCCCTGCGTGAGTCTGCAGCGTCGTGATCAGCGTTTGAAGAGGGCGTCGATGTGGCTTGAATGTACCCTCCACCTAAGATGGGCCCTATTGAGGGTCCCAGAAGCGGGGCGCTGTAGTAGAGGCCCATCTTAGAGCCCCGTTCATGGGAGTCGTAGATATCGGCAAGGGTCGCCGCACCGATGGCGAGAACGGCGCTGGAGCTACAAAACAGTCATCGGTCTAGCTCCGCCGCTCACAAGCAGACTGCTGCCAAACTTACCCAGCTGCCTGCACACATCGCATACCGATGAGTAGGCCGATGGACGGTGATAGCGCCGCGCCGATTGAACCGCCGACGAAGAGGAGGATGGAGATGATGTAAACAATCTGCCATTGCACAATGTGAGCCGTGGTATCCAAACGTCGCTCTACGACGCAATGTCATCACCTTCCGACCTTTCAGCTCGCTTAGGACGCTCCAGAGGATGGGCACGACGCCCTGGATGAGCACGAAAAGAGATAGCGTCCAGCTGATCTGCGAGGCCGTTGCATGCAGGTCGTGCTCGATCTGTACAATCGATGCTGCATCGAAGTCAGCCTGGTAGACATGTTGTAATATTCTGCGACGATGGCGAACACTCACGGTTGTATATTCCTGCAGCAATCGTGGTGATGAGAGACGCGGACGACACGATGAGCAGCGTCGCGGTCTTCACAAACAGTGAGCGGTGCACAGCAGCTCGCGTCGGCTCACACACCTTGCGTGCCGACGACCATTGGCGTGGGTCGTCATGTGCAGCGACATGCTCGATGTCCAGTTTCGTCGCGGCCGACATGATGGGCTCAGCAGCGATTCCGACAGCCTACCCTGGGGACTTACTTGACGTGGACTCCAGTCCGGGTAGGCACCCCGATGAGCGCTGCGCCGGGAACAGGGCAAGAACCACAAGCTCACTTCCTCGTGAGAAGGGGTGATGGCGTGCGGCGCTCGGCGCCTCGCGCGATACAAATTAAACTGCTTCGCGGGCGGTCGGCGTGTCGCACCCCCGGCGGGTACCACACGAGGCGGAGGCTTCTTGCTTGGCCGAGAGAGCCTAGCGGCTGACACAACGACCCGGGCTTAGAGCGGTCTGCTGGTAATGCAGTGCTCAAGTTCGAGCAAACCAGCGCCTACAAACTTCTCTCGAGCACACAGAGAGCGACGCGCTGCGCAGAACGAGCAGCGCCACCCCGGCGGGTTATGCTCCCGCGCGCTCGGGGGTGCTCATTCTATCCAGGGTACCGTCACTCCCCTAGGAGCGAACGGCGACCGTGGAGGTCGACATTGTCGACACGCTCAGGGCTGCGGTCAACGTCCTCGACCGCGAAAGTTCCACGCGCCAAGGACTCGGAGAGCCTGGGCCAAGGTGATGCTACTTGGGAAGCCCGCCTGCGTACACGTTCATCGGCAACGAGTAATGATGACACCGTTGCGCATGGTGCAGGCAACGCATTCGCAGCAACCGCGCCCGGGAGGTCGGGACGGGCGCAGTGGGCTTTGCTTCCTCCGTCTTGACCAGATGACGACTGGCTGTGCGCTATGAAACAAGCGAAGCAAATTTCCTCCGGTGACCAGCCGGAGTGGAGTGCGAACTTGACGGGGAGGGATTTACAATGCAGCGACTTGCATCTGACGCTCGGAAGAACACCCACACACACACCGCCTGCGCTTCCGGCGGATCGGCGGAGCAATGAGCCTCCATGCTGTCGGGTCATCACATCAGCGTTCTTGTGCATCACACAACTCGCCCTTACCTGTTATTCAATGCGCGTCCAGCACGTAAGGCGACGGTGAGTTGCGTATGGGGTAAGAAAGTCCTGCTCAGAGTCAGTCACGCGGAGAAACGGTGTATCGTACCGCTCAGCACATCAACCCGAGGGACCGGAGGGATGCCGCTGAACACTTTCATAGAGCTGTGAACCTCTTGCGTCGCATCAAACGGGGAGAAAGATTCCGCACCGGAAGGCATTAAACGGCCGTGAGATTGAAACGCTCATCTGGGAGAGAGAAGGTTCCTGCAAATCCGAACAGTGAGATTTAGGCAACCAATTAATCTCATCTTCCGAGCGGGGATCGGCTGTCGGAGTTCGCGGATGTGTCGACGAAATACCCGCTCGGCGACGAAGCAATCATACAGGGCCGGAATAGCACCCAAGGTGATCGTAAATCTCAGATGTCAGCACGCATGGTGTGGTCTATGGTCCTCACAACCTGGACGTCGCACTGAAACCACCGTCGACATTCTCCGAACTACCTAGTCTTCTGGCAGGAGGTAAGGAAAGAGAAGTTAACCCAATCCGTCATTGTCCATGATAGTACTCACTACTGGAGGCGCTAACAGGGAGCGTTTCGTACGCCGCCTCATCGGAGAACCACTGTCGCAATACTTTTTAGACCTCCAACTCCGACATGAAGCCCGAGTCACCCACCGAAGCCAGAAAAAGGAGGTTCACAGCGGCGGATTTGCGAATGGCTGCCTCGATAGGTATTGTACGTCCACACGAGCGTCCGAGCAGGTGGCCTTCGGGGGTCACGCTGTGCGTCGCTCGTCTGCGGTCAGGAATGGGGTGCCTATGCACCATATTGCGTGAGCTTCACCGCACGCACTGTCCGATGCGCCCGGTTTGCCGGAGGACCTGCGTGTATAAAAGGGCGTATGAGCAGGCCCTCAGAGACAGCAGGAGACGCAGTCATCCACCTACCGAACACACCAGCACCTTCACTCACCCACCCACACCAAAACACTCTCACCATGTCCGCCACCACCACCACCGCCGTTGCGTCCAACGCCGCCTGGCCTGCTTTCCCTGGTGGAAAGGAGGTGACCGTCGCGCCGCTCGCTACCGTCGATCTTGGCCGGCTCCTCGCCAAGGACGCCGCCGAGGTTGCCAAGCTGCTCGACGTGTGCAAGACGCACGGCTTCTTCTACCTCGACCTCCAGACCTGCGAGCCCGGTCGCCAGATCCTCGAGGCGGAGCAGGGCGTCCTCCGCTTCATGGAGAGGTTCTTCGGCCAGCCGCTCGATGTCAAGATGCTCGAGGACCGCAAGTCGCACACTCATGGGTGAGTGCCAGGTTTCCGAGCGAAGCATCAGATACTGATGTGTCTCTGCGCAGCTTCAAGCCTGTGGGCACGTTCTCCGGAACCAAGAATGGCAGCCGCGACTGCTATGAGACACTAAAGGTCAGCTCAAGAGCATTTTTGCGAGGGAAATCAGCACTTACGTGGGCATTTCAGGTCTCTCGGGCCGAAATGGTTGAGAAGTCGCCCAAGCTCCCCGAGGATGTCAAAAAGCAGGAGCAGCTCTTCGACACCTTCATCTCGCTCTCGCAGCTCATCACGCAGACCCTGCTCGAACGCCTCTCCGACGCGCTCGGCCTCGCCGGCCCCGCGCGTCTCGAGCAGTTCCACCGCGACGGCGAAGACACGAACACGACGCTCGTCATGCTCCACTACCCGCCGAGCGACTCCGACGACACCATCGGCCACAACAAGCACACCGACATTGGCTCGATCACACTCCTCTTCAGCGAGCAGTGGGGCCTCCAGGTCTGGTCGCCCGAGACCGACAGCTGGGCCTTCATCCAGCCCCGCCCCCACGGCCACGCGACGATCAACGTCGGTGACTCGCTCCGCTTCCTCAGCCAGAAGCAGCTCTACTCGTGTCTGCACCGTGTCATCCCCCCGGTCGGCGGCCGCCAGAGCGAGGACCGCTACTCGATCGCGTACTTCCTCCGCCCGGAGAACAACGCCGTGTACGAGGACCCGAACGGCAAGAAGGTCACCGCGCGCGAGTGGCACGACAACAAGTACGTGATGTTCGGAGAGCCGCACGTCAAGCAGGAGGCGAGCCCTATGCTCACCGGAGGGATGGAGCCCATCCTCGGGAGCCGTACCGTCGAGGTTGCTTAAACATCTGGTATACGTGAAGGAATAGCGCGAATATGTTCTCCTGTGTAGGTGTTGTCAGTAGAAGTTGTGTAAGGACATGTAAAGAGATGAATGTTAGCTCGTGATGTGACCCACCCACTGGCACCGCCTGCCTGCTGCTTCACAGGAAAAAGGTCGCTGTTTCGCCCTCGGCCATATTTTTTCGGACCATCTTCCCTGTTGCATGTATCCCACGACCGTAAGTTTCGCCGATATTGTCCTGGCCGTTGAGACTTAGCCGCAGTTGCTTCGTGCGTTGGCCCGCAGCCACGACTGCATTAGGTACCCGACCGCGCGGTGACCCAGGGCCATTCCCACAGATGCTTGAAGCACACGCCGCCGGCCGCAACTGATATGACAATAATAGATCAGCCTTCAGGATACGACAAAATCCCTATGCGGCAGGTACCTACATCGACCGCAGTCGTAGTCACGGCATGTCTATCAACGAGAAGAGAACTCGAACTTGCCGGCTCGGAGTCGTACACGCAGTAAAAAATCCGCGCACCGTACAGCAAGGCATGCGAAGCCTAAAAAGCAAATTGATGCGTAGATGCGAGAACCCGAACTCTTGCTTGTTCAGAGTAGATTGATGCAGGACTCGGAGAAGGTGGATGTTGGGAACAAGCCGCAGCAGCGACGCCACAACGGTCTCGCGGGCGTCTGCCCCAACCGGAGAGGCGGCCCGGGGTACACAGCCGTCCTCGCCACGTGGGGCGGGACCGTCGAACTCGCGAGCTCTCCAAGAACGCCTGTGCACAGCACAGACACTCAGCATTATTATGAGCATGCCTTCTACGTGTCACTCTCCATTATTAGCACTGCGGGTTGCGAGGATCAACGGGGTGGATGTTACCGCGAGCCGGTGATATATGCCCACGGTGAGCATCAGCGTCGTTAAACAGCTAGCGCATCTTACCACGTACCCCCCAGCACGTCGCCGAGCAACCGCAGAAGGAGCACCATAGTCCTCACAGAACATTCTCTACATTGGTCAACATCGTCGAAATACAATATGACGATCTTGCATGTTGGTACGTTGATCGAGGTCCTGCCTCAACCTCGTCGGTTATCATGGAACTTCTGACCGCGACGAACGCAGCGTTGGCTAAGCTCGACAAAGCCTCCCTGCCTGAGGAAACCAAAGAAGAAGCCTACCGGCAAATCCACCAAATGATGGAAGCCATTCCGGTACCTAAGCAGGACGTCCGAGTCGGGCCTCCAATCGATCTCGCGAGTACGCGAGGATACACCATCAGTACGACACCCTTCCCAGGAATTTGGTGGAGCGCAGTTGCTGATGTTTAGCTATTTCAGTGTTGTCCATCAAGTTCGACAGCTTTGACGACTTCAAGTGGGTACCTTTCAATGTCTGTAGATAACGATGGAGTGTGTAACCATAGACTCCTCACTTAGAGCCTACCTGAAACACCCGGAACATATCAAGTACGTTAAGCTAAAGCTGTGCTACCTGTCTCCCTGAACTTACCGCTCCGTCAGGATGTTGAAGCGATATGGCCCTGCTTTGCGAGGTCAGCCACCCTATATATCTAAGTGGATCTCCTGCGTTAACTTGGGACCAAGACATGATCACATTCCAGATGGATGGCACTGCCCCCAAGGGCAAGCTATAATTCCGCCTCGAAGCGCTATTCTTACCGGCAGTGGACGTGCCTAACTCATTCGAGGAGAGTCTCAGTGTACGTCTCTGACCATGCTTACTGTAGCCATCCCCGCATAATCGAGATAAATCACTATTTGGAACGCGTCTTGTATTTACCACCTTCTCCGAGTCCTAATTGCACACAGCCTGATCTCAGGCCACCAGGAACCGATGAAGAGAAATCGAGGGTGCTTCGTTTTTGTCCGGATATTTGCCTTCCGCCGCAGACGACGTCCTGCGCAATCATTCCACCCCCTCTCCGAGTCCCTACGCCGACGGCGAGTCGCGCTTTCCTAGCACATAAGCGATCGTCTGGAACGCAGCCCAAGGCACAAATTCTGTAAAAGTCGTTCCACATCAGCACCGCCGACCAAGTTGCCGAAAGCTGTGGGCTACGCACGAGGGGTCATATGGCCGCTGTAGTAGAACTCGACGACTGGCAAGCAATGCTTCAGCACCGGTTCACGCAGGGCGCAGAACTATCGACCCACAAGCCAAGCCACGCTCGATGTGCTGGTTCCCAAAGACGCCCATGTTCTCGACGATGAACGTCTCGGGCTCGATGGGAGTCTGGAAACCCTGCTTCCCATGCCACGTCATGTTTCTAGGCACAGCGATGGTGAGCGGAAAAGATACAGACACCAGCATGCTTCTAGTCCCGACTCACTGGATGGCGATCCTCGTGCCCTCAGCGACGAGAATGAAGTCCTTCCCAAGGGCGCAGCGGATCAGTGCTGCGTGCGAACGCAACCGCCGTCGAACTCGGACTCACCGCCAAGCCGTGCACGATCGCGACGCGCTTGCTCTTCTCGATCACGTTCGGGAGCACGCTCAGCGTCGATGCCACGCTCTGGTCGTTGCCCGGTCCGCCCGTAGTGGGGTTGATGTACACGGGACCACCGCACGCCTCCCAGTTGATGTGCGGGGCGTGGATCGCGTCTTGTACCTATGCGCATAATCCATACCGCCGCATCAGCTTCTGCTCGCAAGGTCGATACGCAGCTCCGACGCACGTCAGTTCTGCGGATCAACGCCCGCTGTCAGCTCTATTGTCAGGTCGGGATAGCCGTGCCACTAACCTGTTGAAGTACACGAACTTCTGCGTCGAACGGGGGAAGCCGAGCACGCTCCCTGGAGACAAGTGCATCTCAACGACGTGTCCGCAATGCAACGGAGAATAAACTCACAGAGGTTCGGGAACGTGTCCGTGACCCGGTAGACGTCGAAGACGGGGTTGATGCTACCCGGTCGAGTTATTTTCGCATGTTCCGATGAGAAGACGCAGCAACACCACTCACACGCCGACAGCCCGTTGGATGGGGCTGTGCATCCTGCATTCTGGCTTCACTCCGACCGCGCGGGTTGTCTCGTTGAAAGTTGCGCCGGCGGGTAGCGGCAGCTGACCAGCGGGTGGGTACGTTACGAATTTGTCCAGGTAGTCAGTGTAGCCGCAAGAGTCGGAGACGTTCTGCAGCTGAGCCCAGAAGGTCGAGTTGAACGGGAACACGTTCTTGTTGGCCTGGGGAGGATGTTAGTGATCACGAACGTGTGCCTAGAAGTGTTAGACTTGGATATTGACCTGAGCGAAGCGCAGTGCGGGAATCTCTTGCTGCACCAAGCCCCATGTGAGAGACGGGTCTGCGATCCAGATACCTTGCAGGTCGAGGTCGCGGTTGGGGTGCTCGTAGAGGTAGTTCGCGATGTAGGGTACGTCTACATGTCCATCAGCGTGAGTTGAGTTCTTACACTTCGGAAACGCCGAACTCACAGAAGCCAGCGTACTAGATAAGAGTCACGGAATCAGCAACTTCGCGTAGACCCGAGGCTGACAGACTCACGCTTTCTCCGCTAACCCAGAAGTTGCTCCCTTTGAGTTCACCGAAGACTTCCAGGAACTGCTCCAGAAAACCGGCGACTTGCGCTGCCAGCTCGTCGTCGTTGGAAATGCTAGGCTGTCCTTGCGAGAAACCGGTCTATCCAAAACTGGTTAGCGCTGAATAGGTAGATTGCGAAGTGCCGACGTACTCCGACTGGCTGTTCGACCCAAAGCACGTTGGTCAAGTTAGTCCAGCTCCAGGGGTTACTGCAAAAGCCGCTTGGTGAGCAGCACAAACGCAAACGAACGTGATAGTAGTACGTACGGAGTGGGCTCAGACTGGCCCCAAGACCAAGCTGTCGCAATGTTGAAGGTCAACGATCTGCCTCTGTTATGTAGTAAGATTGACTTACAAATGGGGCCGTTCTCCTGAAGGAAACCCTCCAAAGAGGAGCAACCGGGACCACCTGCAAGCCATAGGTAAGTCGTGTGGAGCGCGGCCTTAAACCTCAGCACATGAAAGTTATACCATTCGTCCAGAACAGCAAGTCTTTCACGTTCGCAATGTCATTCGTCGGCCAGAACCTAGTTATTCCAAGCGTGCCAGCGTTCAGCAACTCTTCGTCTCAGACACTCGGCGATATTGACGCGCTCACCAGAAGAAAAGCTTCCTGGTCTCGTTCGGGTGGTTAGAGATCGGCATGAGACCCGACCACGATGGCCCGGCATCGAAGTTGACTGCAAGGTCACTTCCGTTTGAGTAAACATTTGGCGATGGAGCTGCGAGCAAGCGTACCATCCGGGATCTTCGTGCCATCCACAAAGAACTCCTTGGCACGAGGGTTTCTGAAGTTGATGAGGCTCTCTTTCTTGGTGTCGCTCCGAGCAGTGTGCCCCCCACTAGGCGCGGTGTCCGGCCCCAAGAAGTCGCGCAGGCGGTCGAGCTGCTCGCGCTGTATGGCTTCGGCCGTGTCCATGCCCTCCATGGCGCTTCCGGAGAACCTGGCACATAGCGGAGTAGTGAGAAGGAGCACAGTGCTCAGGAGTAGCTTCAAGGACAACATCGTGACGACACGCTGTCGGCTAGGTTCGAGCTCTGGTGAGTCGCCGTCTGAGATGCCGGGTTTTATACGCCTCAGAGACCTCGGACAGGGTCCTGCGCGGAGTTCCGCACTGTCGACATAGATGCCGAGAACGTCGTACGGAGTCGAAAATTTGGCGATCACGAGGAGCACCGCAGATAACGGCGAAAGGGCATCGCGCCAGACTCCCCAAAGGTACGGACGAGGCCCAGCGAGAAATGGCGTAGAGGAGCTTCGCGCGTACGGTAACGTCACTGCATGGCGCGAGCGCATCTACTGCTGCCGGGCATGTCCATATCGGTAAGTCACTATCTTCAACGGTCCGCTCATTTTCGCTCACCTGGTCGACAACCATACGGTCAGGAAGGTACAGCGCGGCTTCTTCATCACATCGGCGCCATCGTGTCCCACGGCCGCATGTTCCACCCAGATACATACGACATCGTCCATTGGACTGATTCTTCGGCGGGGTAAGAGTGCGGAATGAGGCTCCTCAACGCTGGCTCGTGACCGGCGGCCAGTCTCACTTCCGTAAGGTAAAGTCAGCCACTGCATTCAATACTTTGGTAAGCCTTCCTTGTTCTTGAGCAGGAGGTCTCGACGGAAGTCATGGAAGCCATGACTGAAGCTGGGGTCCGTACTGCAGCGGAACATGAAAGAAGCAAGAATCTTCAGTGGAACGCGGAGGGGCAACTCAGGAGAAGATGGTAAGAGCGGCGAACTTCTTGCATCCCTCTTCGGAATTCCTCCCTCTTCGCGAATCCACCTTGCCGATCGTGCCGCGTTAACCTTGGCATTGACCGTCGGTCCGCTTTTGCCTGCTGTACGGACACATGCCAGCCAGTAAAGGGGAAATGGGTCGTCAATCAATCTGTGGGTGTTAGACCAATAAAGCCCACAACACGCGTCACGGCGCATCGAGACTTACGCATTGCGATGTGAACACCGGTCGCGTCTTACACCGCAAGCGATGCACATGATTTCACGGACCGTGGTCATCTGGAAAACATTCGATGCTAATCATACACACAGGAGATGGCCATGCGAGAGCGATGCAGGGAGTACGACTTGGAAATAACACGAGGATCAGTATCGGTTCCGCTTTCGCTGCTGCCTTAGCGAAGCGTCCGACGTTGAAGGCCGGCTATGACATGCTGATGTTAATTTAGTCAAGCCGGGAAGACTGTGAGGGTACTCACTTGCGCCCTTTGCCCTTCGAGCCCTCCGCAGGCTCGTCTATGTCCATGCTATTCTCATCGTTCTCGTTATCCTTGCCCCGCAGTTCACGCTCCCTCTGCTGCTGCCTTTCTTGTTCACGCTGTAGTTCGAGCTTTCCGGCAGCCGTAAGGCCCGAACGCCCCCCCGACGGGAACACATGCGCTTTGTTCGCGTTGCGTGCCTCCTTCTGCTTGTCCACGACCTCCTTTAGTGTCGACTGGTAGCCTCTGTCGTAAACCTCCTTCATCGTCTTCGCGGTGACGGTGCGGTTGGAGAGCTCAGAGAGCTTATTGTCCAAGGTGGCGAGCACCGCGGCGGTAGTGGACGCCCTGCACTCGTTCGTGAGCTCGACATAGCGCGTAGAACGGGTCGAGCTAACGCACCAGTTCTGCAGTGACACCAGCAGCTGCTCCAGCTTCCCAGGTTCTAGATCACGACCCATCGTGTACTCAATTTCGAACTGTCCCTCCTTCTGATCGAGCTTGCCCCGCACGATGTCGAGGTAGATGGCGTCGATGATCAAGTCCTCCAAATCGCGAACAGTGGGCATATCAAGAACTCGGAGCAGTTCATTGTAGGGAAGGATCTGCACAGCCTATGAGTATTGCGGATGAATACGCTTAGGCGATAGCACATACGCGGCTGTCTTGCGCCAATGAGACGAGCGTGAGCTGCTTCAGCTTGATGGTCTGTGCGTCGTTCAAAGGCGGGAGAGAGTCCTTGTGCTCTGTACGGATATCAGTAGTGTTCTCGATGCACAAGCAGAGACGTACTCACGGATGTAGTCCGCGTACGTCTTGTATGCGAACAACTGGAGCAGTGAGTAGAACCGCGAATGTGTTTCATGGGTAGCCAGCTACAGCGCAGCGGTATGCATTGAGACAATGTAGCACATTGAGATAGTCGTACATACTTCTTGGATATTCGGCAAGTCGAGTAGCTCTCCGAAGACGAATACACCGGGCGCGGAAGTGGCGTCCTGGATGAGCTTAGCTGCGGCTGCACCCTTTGCGGCCTTCGACATCAGGAGGAAGGGCTCTAGCTTGGCGACATGTTGAGTTCCGATCTCCATAGTGGACAAGTATATGGGAACAGATGAGCAGTCTTAGTTGTAGTGGTTGAGTCTAAGGACGGTGGCGCAGGACAGATATCCCCGGCGTCTACGGCTCCACGAGCCGTTGCGCGGCGCATACAGTTATTTGGTCGTGTTAGGATCAGAAGCTCTTGGCAAACACGCCTCAATACGCCAGTCATCTTATGTTGTTTTAGCGTGATCACAAACATATTCCAAAAAGCATCTTGATACAAATCTAAGCCGTGCTAAATACATGAGGATCCATCCGCATTCCTAGGAATGATTACAAACGGGTATAGGTTATTACCAGGTATGTCATAAGTAAGCGAAAGTCCGGTCTAGGTGTTAAACTTGTTGAATCTTCTTTTCCGACGGGTCTATGGGTTCGGGCTGCGTGAGCTCTACACCTTGCTCGGTTTGACCCGAGGGCTTGTTAGGTTTGAGGTCTTCCGGCAGGAGAACTGGTGATGCTTGGACATTAGCTGCGACATCCCATAAACAACATCTAGACTTACTAGCGCGGTCAATGGCAACGGGAAGCCCACGATGGCGCCCGCGAACCATGATGATGATCACGACTATCTTCGATACTGGTCCGAAAGCCCCAGAGAAGCCGAAGTTTTCGGTCGGAATACCCAGCGTCAAGCCAATGCCACCGAAGGCTGACACGAGCTCGAACACTATGCCCAACCAATCAAAGTCAGCCCTGTCAAACCGGGTACAGCGCATACATTGTGACTTGCCTATACGGAAGATGTTGAACCACGGTGCATTTGAGTCATCCATGATCTTCGAGCGCTCGATAATGCAAATCGCGAAGATGGCGAATACGAGCCACCAAATGTCGAACGCAAGCTGCCGCCGCAAGTGCCAGCCAAAGTACTTGCCGATACGTTCGCGACGCGGCTGCTTCTCGTCGAGGTTCGGCTCCTCCTCTTCGTCCTCTGGCGCAGCTTCGAAAACGCCTAGACTCTTCTCTTCGTACCTGGCAGTATAAAGTGCGTCAGGGGACCCCTACTGACTGAGATTACCGACACTAACACGTTGGTAGAGCGAATACTCAATGCGACCTATCAAACTTCAGCTTCGAACATCAATTTCGACGCTGGGGGTATACGTACTGGATAGATGGCGATGTACATCATAATGATGCACAAGAACCTGCGAGCACTGTCAGAGCGTGGATCTTTGAAGGAGGGCAAAAAATGCGTACTGGAAGGACGGCGCAAGCGAAGCAATCGAGACGATCGGGAACCCAGAGGCACGAACGGCGAACGACTGGAACAGTCCGGCTACAACCCTCGTCCAGGGCGGAAGCGACTCCGTAACATCCAGTCCAATGTCGAGCACAATGAAGCATATCAACTCCGAGATGCTGTTTCGGGGGAAATTGCGTGAGGATCTATCGTGTGAGTGTAGTGATTGGCAACATACGTGAAGAACACCAGTGTAGCGACAAGGTACCACGTCACATGGGACGGGAAGAGATAGAGGAAGCAGCTGTTGATACATTAGTATCAGGCGTTTCCCTTAATGAATCGTGGCACTCACCGACGGGGATGGTCGAGTAAGAAATCAAGCGCAAGGTCTCTCGCTGAGCCCGCTTTGACAAACTTCGTATACAGCCAACTTCAATACATCATTGTTAGCTCCTCTGCTGCACTTAGGTGGTATCGGTGGCTTACATCACGAAACGCAAGCTTGATGGAAAGAATGTGAATGAACAGAGCATCACAAGCCTGATGTATATCTTCGCACTCACAAGATTGGCTGTTCGACAACGGCGTGCGAGTTAGCGTCAACATTTCTTGCAGGTCAAACGGTACACTCACCAAACCATGGTTTCCAGCGAGGATGGCGAAAAGGAGTGCAACTACATGTATGCGATCAGATCTTTCCGAACTGACTGAGCGGAAAACATATGACCGTACATATCATTAGATACGCCTTTTGGAAAGGAACCATGCCCCTGAACCAACACGTTAGAAAGTGCTCCGCAAGAGAGCAAGGACTAAGATCTCACTGATCGACTAAACTCATTCCGCCCCCCGTATAGGCCCCGACGATCTGGCTAGTGGGCGTGAGTAACATTTGCAGCAAAAGTGCACGCTCGTTGACCTACAAAAGTGTGAACCTGAGTGTGACCCGTCAGCTTCGGCATCCCTGCATGCGAACTGCAAGAACGCACCATGATTTATTCACAAGCCGGGGCTGAGCCGCGAATACGCCGTCGTAGGTATGACCTGTCGATAACCAAGGAGCGATCAAGATGAAAGAGAGCATCTGCGTCCCGATGAAGTACTATCTTTGGTTGAGGCCCCGCGCATGAATCCTTTTGAACCGCATGAACTCACCAGTATGACGATATAGCTTAGAAGCCGCAACGCGTGGTATCTGAACAAAATAGAAACGGTCAGCACTCAGCATATGAAACTCACAGTAGATGTACTCGCTCGATTCCACCGAGCTCCTCAAGCTGCTCGTCCGATAACTCTTCCGTATGGAAGTCACTATTTCGGCCAATCACCAAGTCTTTCAGGTTATCGCCAAGCCACCTCAACTCCTTAGACGCCGCGCGTTCCCGGACGGTCATCTTTGTGAGGCGACTGTATAGCTTCGGGGAGTACCATTGAAGGAACCGCTTGGCCAGAGACACCGGGCCAGGGAAGCCGCCAAGACCCTGGTCTTTATTGCGCTGCCCTAGTGTTGCTGGGCCCGAAGGCTGGTCATACTGCTTCGGTGGAACGATGATGGTGCGGCGACGCGGCACGGGTACACCTGCAGACTAAAGGTAAGCAATCTGGCTCTAGATCAGATGCAGAGGGCCTGACCTGGACGCCGCCGAACAGTGCCCACATCACCAATAGACTGCATATAGGGCGCGCCCCACTGCACACGCCCGCTCCCCATGGACGTCGGCGACTGTGGCAACGGCATAGCTCCCGAGCGCGGCGACGACGTGAACGACTGCGCGTCCGCGATAACTTTCCCCCGCTCACCCGACTCGCCGGTGTACATCGTCGGGTCCTCCGAGGGCGACACGCGCAACGGCGACTCGACGTCGATACGGATACGCGAGCTCGAGCGCGACTGCGTCAGCTTGTGCTCCTTCGCATTCGCATCTGGGCCTCCCTCATCGCTGTCTCCCGTGCCGAGGGCAATACCGAGCCCGACGCCAGTGGTAGCGCCGCCGGCTAGGGCGGCTCCGATTCCATCGGACGCCTGGATGCCGCGGCTGCCGTGTTGCGCGTGCTTCTCCGACGCGCCTGCCTCGGGATGCCATAGTGGAACAGAACGGCCCACGCCTGCCACGAGTTTCGATACGCGGTCGCGCATCGACTGGAGCACGGTCTTCTCCCGGTGTCTCTGGATGATGTGCTGTCGGAAGTAGCGCAAGCGGACCAGAACCATGACCCAGGCGACGATGGTCTGTGGACGCCGTTCAGCATATTGGCGCGTGGTTTGGAGAATATGGACGTACGATGTCACCCATGACCATGAGGACTAGGAGTATGACCTGCTGGAAGACCGTGAGAGTGCTCAGGTTGACGGTCGCCAGCCCCGTCACGGTCAGTGCTGAATAGCACAGAAACACGCAGTCGATGAAGGCTATCGAGAAGAACGTCAATATCTCTGTCACACGACATGATCTGTATCGTGCTCAAGACTCGGCATAGCCAACCCTCTCCCGCGCAAACTTTCAGCATAATACGGTCCTCTTGACAAGCGGAAATTGGCTGACCATCGAACCACGAGACGACCACTTCATCTGCCGCCTCGATGGACGCGCGTGAGGCAGCCCTGAGCCGCGTGGCTGCAACCCAGTGCTTACTCGATACGTCGAGCTCTTCACTAAGAGTATCGACGTTCCGAGTGAGCAGCAGGTACGTATGACAGTGGTCGTTGGACGTGCAAAATGTGAGCAGCCCGGATCGCGGCATGGCATAGCAGAATTCTGAAGAGGGAAGGGGCGTGGTGGCCTGCAGCGCCACATACCCATTGATCGAAGACTCGACCCACGAACCACACTGACAGAACCATATACCACAGCTGTGTTGGGTCAGACGACCGACAAATTGGACATCGCGCTCGCCAAGAACAACGTTGGCGGTCCTGCGGTCCTGCCCATGCATTCTCCTCTATATCTCCCTCCCCGGCCGTTCCGATAGAATGCGAAGGCTGAAATGGACACTCACGTATGTGGAATTCACCGTTCACTCCATAGAAGATACCAGCCGCAATGAGCGGCACGAAGGTGAAGTAGAGGAGGTGCAGGCGGAAGAAGTTCGCCTCCTCCTCGATCCATTGGCGCAGTCGATCATAGATATCCCAGAGCACGTCGAGTACGGCCATCCGACGGCAGCCTGCGATGAGTGACTAGTGACTTCCCAGCTAGCGCAAGCAGAGAGCCAAGAAGGTGAAGAGGGTCAGAGGCAGGCGGTGCGCAGCCTGCGCGACTTAGAGGGATGAGAAGAGGTCCACACGTGTATATAAAGCCGGTCGCTCGACATATCCCCGAGCAAAGCTGTCAGGGCGGTAACGAGGCCTCATACACGCGGCGAACAGCCGTCGCCGATGAACAAAGTCCCACCCCACAGCTTCTAAGTTGAGACATCAATGAAATCAAATGCTACTACAAAAAGTATATCCGTGATACCCCGGATATATAGTAAGTTGTAAGGACTCATCGCGGAAGCAAACAAAGCTTGATGACGCAGCGCGCAAGCACTGGCCGCAAAAGTTGGGATCTTACTGGAGGGATCTCGGAAGGCTCGATGAACATCCCCGAGGCTGTTTTGGCGACTCAGTCGAAGGTAACGGAAGGGGGACTGGTGCCGCATGCGGCGCGGGGGGCGCCACTGGCAGACGTTGTCCCACACATGTCTAACTTATTCGTCTGCTGCACTATGGCCATGAACTTTGTCTTGAAAGTTGCTGCAGATGCACAGGTCATCTCAAATGAGGACATGTACGTAGCCACAAACGCAAGTACTATGTAGTTTCCAGGGACCAGTACCAGTAATCGTACAAAACCGCAAGCAGTACAGGAATATACGCGTTCCTGATAGGCCATGTGACCGTGTGTCAGAGACGGACCGGCGGCACGGTGACGAAAGAGAGCGGTCGACGCAGGACCCAGGCCAATACACCAAGAGCCCATGTGCCGGAATCCCCGAAAATGGGCCCGAAGGGCCCGGACCTCACATGAAATTTAGGTCGATTTCCCCGAAAATGGGCGTCCTCGGGGCCAACCTGACATCCTGAAAAAGCCCGAAAATGTCCCCTGATGGGCAGGTCTCATCTCATTGGCCCCCGAAAATGGGGATCGCCGGGCCAAGATCAGACCCAGAGCGAGTGAGATTTCGAAATGGGCAGAGGACAGCCGGACTGCCGGAGGTGCCATGTGCCTTTTATAGCATGTCTACCAGTCACCTCGGCGTCTCTGATACCGTCCATTTGAACGCGCACTTACTACTACTAAGTAGCGACTCTAACTTGCTTTCTGACCTCGTATCTAGCCATCAAATTTCTTGTTAGTCGGACAATGAAATGCTTCTTACCCAATTCTAGTTATCGAGTAGTTAGGTGGTCGCCCAGGCCAAATTTCCTCCTCGTCTCTTGTCAGCACTAGTCACCCTACACTATGGTGTCACCTCCGCCTCTACTTCTCAAGGCATACTGTCTACCACCCGACCTCTCTGTGTCTGATCTGCTGCAGTGGCCGCATATCCCTCGACGACCAGGGAGTCGGAAGCACTCGTTACCGCCCTCAGCATGGCTGTCTTCAGATAAACCGACTATCACTGAGGTTCCGGTCGACGAGCTGGTCATTCCATCCTCCAGTATTTGCCAGGCCTTGGAACCTCTCCTGCAGTCAAACAGGAACTCAAAACTCGGCATCTGTTCAGTCCAACACCCCACCAGTGAACGAGACTATCTTCCGTCATGGATCATCCCTGTCTGGAAGGCTGCAGACGAAATGCTTCGGATGCAACAGTTCTGGCGCGAGAGGCTGGTGTGGATTGAGCGGACGGCTAAGGCAGAGAGCTGGACAGAGGACCTACTCCGGACTGCAAAAGAGCACGTCCACAGCACGCCGTGTTCAGCTGGTTGTCTTTCCCTCCAGCGAGGCATGGTCAGTATGGCCCATCTAGCACGACTCCTCCTCTCGGACAGGTGGCTGGACGACGAGGTCCTTGACTGCTTAGGTGACGTCTTTCGTATGGACCTCGATGCACAAGCCATCGACAAGGACACGAGCCTGGTCGCCACCGCACATCTCCGTACCTGTCTCACCAACCCACAGTCTGGCGTGGCTCGCTACTATGCAGACAAGCTTGTCTCGGGGCCCCTCACACGTCTATTCATTCCGTGCAACATCAACAATGTCCACTGGATTCCCGTAGAAGTCGATACTGCGCAGGATACAATCAGTCTTGGCGACTCAAAGCCAGGGATCTCGCACACACACATCCCGACTCTCCTCCGCGAGCTTCGAGGCTGGCTGGACCGCGTCTTTCCTGGTCGTACGTGGACGGTCAACATGACCGCACTGGAGACAGGTCTTCAGCAAGATTCATCATCCTGTGGCATTGCGACTGTCAATGCAATCGAGCGTCGCATCCTTCCAGCTGCTACCAGATGGTCACCCCACGCTCCGGGAAAGGCGCGTGCTCGATACTTTAGCAGATGTGTTGACGCGGGGGCACGCGGGGTATGTGCATTCTTTTCACTGTCACGTATAATAGCTAATATTATCCTTAGGAGAAATCCTCAGACGGGATGGTCAGCGCCACTGCGGTGTCTATGGAGGCTGAGGCGGACACCCTGTCCATGCTCGTGAGCTCCGAGGTTGGCGCAGTGCCTGCAGCACACAGGGGCGAGAGTGGTGATGGCACGCACACTAGCATTCAACCCATGCCGTGCATGCATACCTCAGGGCCATCGCAGAGGAAGCCTGCTGCTCTGCTCTTCTCTGACTTGGTCTCCGACTCTGATACGTCTGAGTCGGAAGCTGAGCTCTCCGAACCCGAGTCTGATGATGACGGCGAAGACCTGGGCTCCCTCCTGCGGTCTCTCAAAGACCGGCGGTCTGTCACGAAGCCGCTGTTTGCGACGTCAAAGATCAGCGTGGAGGTGAAGGTCAGTCACCCTGTCTAGCTTTCGTATCCCTGAGAGCATCGCTGACGCTGACTGCTGCTCTATTGCAGCCTCGACGAGCAGACCCGGAGAGCGAGCCACCGTGGTTCAAGACGGCCCAATTCCGCAAGTTCCAAACCAAGATCAAGGCGGACGACCGGCGCGCGGAGTTCAGCTCGCACGACCGTCTCATCGTGCACTGCTCTCGATGCCTGAAGGTAGTGACCATGCGCGCCCCAAACGATACGACACGATGGAAGGAGCATCGCCTTAGCCGGAAATGTCGCAATGCGAAGGGCGATCAGGCCTTCATCAAGAACTTCTTCCAGACACAGCAGTCAGTCAACGACGCCCAGCGGAAGGCCATCACATCCGTTGCATGTCCAGGACTAGGCTTCTCGCAGGACCACCGCGTTCCAGCCTATCTTGCTCGCACTGCTGTCGAGTCGGGCGGGGCATCTCGCCGCGAGGTTCTCAAGCTAGAAGTCTTGCAAGATCACACTCGATCACGCGCCCGGAACAAGCTCTCGCCGAACCAGATCCACACGCGCGTTCTTGCGCAAGAACGCGCGCAAGCAAAGTGGCTGAACCACCCAACGAACGGTGTCGTGACTTCAGTGAAGTGTCAGAAAAGGGGACAGATTTCATCATCAGGAGAGGTGATACCGTGCTCGGAATGTAACAAGCTCACGCACCTCAAGATCTTTCTCAACGCACTCCGGAAGCCTGCTCCTGCACCGGGAAGAGCGAAGTTCACCCCAAAGGTGTTCCGTAACCCGGTTACGGGAGAAACCTACGTGCGGCACCGCGACGTCCAAGAGCTCATGGAGATGGTATGTACCTGCCACTGCTCGATGTCAGCCATTCTTGCAGTACGAGATGATAACCGTGTGCTCTCCTAAGGATAAGAGCAAGTTCCCTTGGAAAGTGCTTGCCAAGCGGGGTCTTCAAGGACGGTATGATGACCGCCAAGCCTTCATCGGGATGCTCGACACTATCATGCGGGCTGAGGATCGTTTGAGCAAAGGGAAGAAGCTCACGAACATACGATATGATGCAACGTATGATCAGGTATGTACCTTAATGGCGCTGATTTCTCCGCGAGCATATGCCACTCTCCGGGCTGAGTTCGGTGGTCGAGGTGTTCGGAGCATGCGGTAAGCCCAAACAAGCCTAAACCTCTGATGATATTGGCTCACCAAACTGTTGGCACTTATAGGAAGATACGCGCTCGAAATGGCCAGTTCAAGTCTGGAATAGAAGATGCAAACTTCGATGCTGCAGTGGAGTGGGCACGCGCGTTAGGATGGGACGGGCCATTCATCCTTGCCGCTGACGACACGAAGGTCGTCGCAGCCCTACGATCCTTTCATGATGGAGAACAGTGGCGCCTTGGCGGTGTCCATGGTGCTGTGCCCGCATTCTCGAGCTATGAAGAATTGGCGGAGCTAGGGCAGGTGGAACAGGGCGAATTAGCTGAGAAGGTATGACACAACTCGAAGCCTTTGTGACCTCACATTCATCGCTGATGCATTCTATGACAGACACGCGCATGGCACCTCGTGATCCCCGTCATTGGCGTGCCTCCGAAGCTGATAGCAACCATGCCGCTGAAGAGTAGTGTCAGTCGAGCCGAACTGCGAGGCTGGCATGATGAAGTATCGTCCAAACTTGCCTCCCGTGGACTACACACAGTCTCGTACAACGTCGATGGTGTCGAGACCGAGCGAGGCCTCACCCATGATCTGCAACAAGAAGCTGTCGCCGCAGGACGGTCCCGAACTTGGACGTTCAAACATCCCATCGCAGGTCAACCTCAACTCCAGCTTACGGCGGCTCTTCTCGAGAACGGCAAACCGTGCATCATGTCTACTGATGGGAAGCACGCAAAGAAGAACGGGCGCGGGAGCGTAACATCGGGCGCACGCGGTATACCAATCGGACGATACCTCGTGCACTTCGGTCTGCTGAAGCGGATCGCAGAGGGAGAGAACTCACCTCTCATGAAGTCGGATATCGTGGGGGTTGACAAACAAGACGACCGTGCCGCTGCTCGACTCTTCTCCTCCGCCGTCATCGACTACGTCTCCCGCATCCTTCCCGACGAGCTTGGGCTTACGATCTACCTGTTCATCATTGGTGAGATCGTCGATGCGCAGCAAAACCGCGCACTCAACCACTCAGAACGCGTCAAGATGTTATGGCGCGGTCGTTTCTTTTTGGACGGCTGGCGACAGTACATACTCGATCACCCCCTCTACGCTCTTCACACACATTTCCTCTCTCGCGAGCTCTATGATATCCTCTCCATATTCATCAACGCCATGCTACTCCTCATCGTCACTCACCGGGACTACTTCCCCGACGTCCCACTGCTCCACTGGCTCAACTCGACGGAGACATGTGAACATTTCTTCGGATGCGCGCGGAAGATCCAGAAGGACTTCAACTTCGTCGAGTGGCTCCTCATGATTCCGAAGATCTCCATACTCATGGCGGGCGAGCTCCGGAACAAGTTGAAGGGCTCACAAGAGAAGGCCGCGGCAGTTCGTTTCGGCTACCACCACTCATACTTCGACTCTCGTGGCGTGGATCTCGCTAACCTGGCGTTGTTCCCGTCAGACGACGAGATCGAGAAGCTGATCCAAGTCGCACATACTGAGGCCCAGTCCCTCCTCGCAATCGTCGGGATCAACATGCAAGCACTCCCTGTCGTCGATGAGAAGGGCTTCGAGGCGGCGCTGGCTGCCCTATCGAGCGACCCGATTGCGGATGCCTCCCAAGAGGGGCCCGAGGACTCCGAAGATGCCCCACTAGCGGCGCGCCTGGAAGGGCTGCTACGAAGCGACAAGGATGAGTTCTTGCACGGCACTAGCTGCTTAGCTAAGGACGAGGCGATGACGAACCTGGGGATACACGCTACTGCAACTGCGATCCATGACCATCTAAAGCTGTAAGTTGTCCCCCCAGCCAGTGTGTCAAAACATGTTGCTGATGCAGAACACTGTACTTCCAACAGCGCTGATGTGAGTGCCGAGAGTCTGTCTGAGGAAGCGAACGACTTGGCCACATACCAGGCGCATATCAAGGACGTCCTCGCAGCAATCAAGAGCGAGCTCGCAGAGCGGGCTTCTCGAGAGCAGAACGCCTCCGGTGCCGCCCTCAGCAGTTCGTGCGGCGTAGACAAGGAACACCCTACACTTCCGCAGGACGCGCCCAATGCCGCGTCATCGTGTCTTGACTCCGACGCGTCCATTCCCGCTGCCAAGGGCGAAGCGGAGACCAGCGAGGAAAGGCACCGGGAGCCAGGGCATGACAAGAGCCTCGCACAGCTGCTCATCCCGCTGGCATTTGGTACGGCACGCTCCTTCAACTTCAAGATGCTTGTCAGCGAACGGCAACGACATGAGACCAAGGAGGCCACCAGCGCTGTCACATACCGGTATAACAACGCCCTCGCAATGGGGGTGCTCGACTCACTCCGCGGGCCAGGGGATGAGTTGTCGCCTGCAAGTGCTACGTCGTCGTCGACTCGTGGAGATAGTAACAAGCTCAAAGCCGCACTGGTCTCTCAGATCACCCGCGTGCTCTCGGCCGAGCGGGCGTTCGGGGTTGCAGGAGTGAAGGACGATGGTCGTGCTGAGGCGTCGGGCATTGAACGCAAGACGCGATGGGAAGGTGCCTCGACGGAGGTGAAGAAAGCGGGGAGAGAGAGCGCCGTAGCCGCCGCAGTCAAAGCAACAGGTGAGAACAGTCGCCTGCTTCGAGCCGGCTGGGAATATTTGCTAATCATGCACCTGTCCACGAAGCTGGAGCAACGTCCGGTGCTCATGCGGCGAGAAGCGCAGTCTATCGTGAAATGGAAGCAAAGATGCCATACCGCTTTATGTCCGGTGGAATATCTCCATTCCACCCCCTTCGCCATGGTTCCTGGGTCATAGTTTGCAAGGCGAGCAAGCTCTACATCGGAGAGGGTGAGTATCTGTATGGTCTTCTCGAAATCTCGCGTACTCACCTCGTTTTGGACGGAATAGTGATGGTATTGTACGTGAAGGGCGGGGGAGCACGCCCGACACATAACTATGCTGAAACTTGCGATGATGTCGCGAAGCTGTCACGTCTAGTCGTGCTGATATACTCGGTGCTAGGTGACACACTTCTCTCCCCCCTGACGGTCTCTGTTCCGAGCGGATCCGCACCCGATTCGCCCACATTTCTATACCTGCATCAAGAGAACCTCGTCGTCTCCATGGACGCCCACTGTCCAAGAGCTGTCGAAAGGAGGATCAGTCTCCATCCTGGGCTATCCATGCTCACAGTGAGCACCCAGCTTGTCGACATGTTCCAGCAGCTGGAACGCTACTCGGACACCTTCTGCAAAGCCACCGACGGGCTGTTCAAGGAGATGCGGAAGCGGAAGAAGCACACGGATACGGAGAGCCTCGAGCCCTTGCCCGGGCCAGTGAACGAGACAGACGCGGGTTTGAAGGGCAGTAGCTCGGCATCGAAACGGCGGAAGATGTAGTATCATAGATCTCGCATCTCGTTTGTGTCGTATGGACAACGAGCTAGGGCCCCGATGCGATACGAACACGTCTAGGAATGTTTATGTCTGCGAAATCCGAGTGTGCACATATATTTGGATGTTACATGCCCGAAAACCCCGAATCCGGCGTAGCCGGCCGCAACTCGCATGAAAATCCCCGAAATTTGGCTCATTTTGGACCCCCGAAAACGACCCAAAATGGGCTTTCGCCGGATGTGAGCTCTTGGTGTATTGGCCTGGGTCCTGTCGACGCTGGTCGACGTGGTCCCGAGTCGGAGCTTCCGAGGACGAAGAGTCGTCTCCCTTCGTCGCCAACCGAGCTCAGCGGCAACACTCTCCTCCTGAGAACTACCCGAAGACTCCTGTGCTTCATACGCCAGCTGGGTCTCTAGAGCACTACCTGCTTTTGGCGGGATTGCTCATTCGCGTCGGCCTCCACCTCCTCAAGTTCCCATCCGCCACGCTCCAACCCACGTAGTAGAGGCGGCGCCCTTCGGAGTACTCCTGCCCTTTGACTATGGCGAGTAGCTCTGCATCTATGCTGGACGAAGCGATACGAGTCGTCGTGACTCCTTCCCAAGCATCCTACTTCGCGGGGGAGCCTTTCTCGGTCACTATCACCTTCACCAACACCCGCACTCCCGAAGCTCCCACCGCCCCCCGCTCCGCCTCTCATGCGCATAGGCGTGGCGCACACTCCATCAGCTCTGTTCCACTAGCGCGACCGCCTACGTCTCCAGGAACCCCGCGCACTGTTGTACCTGTATTCCCCTCACGCGCGAATGGCGAGGGCGGCTCTACACGAAGGAAGGGGCTCATAGGTCGCGGCCTTCAGAGCAAGTCGACGGACGAACCCCCATCCGCGGAGGTGCTCAGGAAGAGGCTGCTGGCATGCAGGTCGCTCTCGGTCACTCTGTCTCCGCACGAACTGCCGTCGCAGAATCCATCTGGCGACTCGATCTCTCCCTCTAGTCTCGCCTCGTCTCCCGCCAATACTTGTGAGTGTTTGGCTTTTTACGGCTTTGAAGTGCGGCCGAGGACGGGCTATGTAGTACTTCCGTACATGATTGGGTAAATGACGGCCGCCATGTCTGATCTATGTGACATAAAGGCACACTAGGAGGTCGTCATTTACCGAAGAAACGAGACGACTAAATGCCAGTGTTGCTCGCACTGGGGTGGCGACCCGCGCCACCAAGTTCTGGTGGGTGCTGTTAGCAACTCGAGCTCAGGCCCTCCCACGGGGGACCTCACCACCCCCCCCTCACACGATGTTCCAGCCTCCCTTCGGGAGGAATGATTGACTGTCTTCCACCCGAACGTGAGGCTGGTTCGCGAGCACATTTTCGTCTGAAGGTTTTGATAGTTGGGGGGCTACCTGGTCTACATCCACGTCTTTCAATTTCGATCTGACATCCCCGTCTTCCTGCAGCGCCTGTTTCAGGCCCGTCGTCCGCCCGCATTATTGCACCTCTGGCCAGGTCACCTTCTCTCCCTCCCAATCACCCACACGCACGTAAGAACTCTATTCTAGACGGCCAACTACAACTGCAAGATCTCCGCCCGCCACCCTCGCCATCATCTTTCTTGTCTACGCCGAACCCATCGACTTCCACATTCTCGCTTTCCCTCGACCCAATAGCGGAAGCAGGCTCAATATCCCCCGGGCCTCCTGCGACACCCTCCTTCCCATCACCCATACCCGGCTCAGACATCCCGAACATTCGAACCCACATACCCACCGCCGGTCTCGCCAACCCGCCGAAGAAGACCAATGGAACACACCTATACCCCTCCGCTGCACCCCGCGAGCCACCAAGACGTCCTTCGCAGCTCCTCGGACACGGCCCCCCACCTGCCTCCACATCTACCGCATACCTCAAGCCTCCGCGCACCGCGTTCTCCTCCACATTCCCTGTATCAAATACCGAACTTATTCTCTACGCCTACGCGCAGCTACTCGGAACCCTCACACTCACGCCGCTTCCGGATGCGAATGCGTCCCCCGAGCAAGGACGTGCGCTTACTCAGCTCCGCTCGCAGCTGCTCAAGCGCAAGGCCGTCGGTGGCGGCAGCATGGACATCTCGTCCTCGCTCAGCGCGCAGTCCCTCGGACCTGGTGGGGGTCGCCCTGGGCGGCGAGGTTCGCACGGACGCTCTTCCTCAGTGTCGGGCGGGCTGCTGTCCATGCTCTCGCCGACGTCTCTGGTGGCCTCGCAGAGCCAGCAACCCTTCGTGCCTGGACATCGCGCGCGGACATCCTCGGTGTTCTCGCTCTTCTCAAACGGACAGGGTCCGCCGACGAGTCGATCTGCCGGGGTAGGTTTGGGGTTAGGCACCCCGCTGCCGGAAGAGGACGAGGTGGACCCGGACATGCCTCTCCCCACGCTCGAGGTACAGCCGTCTATGCTCGCCGTGGACCTCAGCCTAGGACCGGGGGAGTCGCGGACATGTGAGTTTATTTGCTTGAGGGTAAGGTTGTGTTAACTAAACACCTTGTTTAGATACATACACCCTGGTCCTGCCGGAAAACTTACCGCCGACATTCCGCGGGCGTGCACTCAAGTTCTCATACCAGTTTACCCTGGGTGTTTGCCGTGCCGGGTCGGCAGCTTCTGGGACTGGGTCATCGAGCAGTAGCAGAGTCATGAAGGTGCCAATACGAGTGTACAACAATGTGTCTGGTGAGCGACTTTGCGCTGTGAGCTTCCATTCGCTAATGAGGACCGTTAGTGAGTAGACCGGTGAGAGCGTACGACATGCTTTGGCCCGTGATTGCACAGCGCGGGCCTCTGCCGCCGGGGAAAGTTGTCGAGGAACCCAAGGACGCACCGAAGCGCGCTGATCCTCGGTCTTCCCCGCGTCCAGGTCAGTCTCGATCGATTCTGCTGTCGTGCGTACGCTGAATGCCCTATTTTAGGTGTATACACTCCTGGGTCGTACGAAGACTTGCAAGAGTACGCGCGCAACCTTCTCGCGTCGTTCCCGGATCCCAAGGCGACGGGGGTGCGGATCAAGCTCCCCATAGAGGCCATCCAGTCTTCGCGGAGTGCCGGACTTGACCGCGAGCTGGAGGACGAGCTCGACAGTCCCACAGCTTGCCGACAAGCCGTCGAGATCTTAACGCGCAATCCCAAGAAAGGTATGTTGCTGTTACCTGATGAACCCTGGCGCGTCCGCTCATACGCCGCATAGCGTCATACGATGTCACCAAAGACGGCATCAGGGTCGCGGTGCTCACCTTCCCCAAGACCGCATACCGGCTCGGCGAGACAATTCTGGGCGTCGTCGAAACGAACGAGCGTGCGAGCCGTGCGCGCGTGCTCAAGGTACGCACACCCCTTCCCCGCCTTCACTACATACCGTGGGACGGCCCTGACCAAGCATGTATGGCGCAGCTGTCCGCGATGCTCGAAGCGCACGAATCGCTGCCGAGCAGCCTGGCTTCCCCAGCGCTGTCTCGGCACATGCGCCGTGTGCACGCGGAGCACCATTCGTGCTTCATGCCCGCGACGCTGCGCACGACGTTCTCGCTGGACATTCCCCCGGACGCGAGCCCGGCGTTCCAAGCGTCTTTGAACGATCCGAGTCTCGGCGGGGCGTCGCGCCCCGGAGGGCTGGAATGGAAAGTCCGGCTGTGTCTGCTGGTCGCCATTGCGTCGCCGACTGCGCGCGAAGGCGCGGAGGGTGTGCGCTTGCGGCAGCTTGTACGCGACGGTTCGAAGGGACAGTGGGGCTCATCCTGGAAGGCGACAGAGAGCATTGCGCCTCTCGAGCGCCCGGGACCCCCTTCGGTCACGTCCTCACCAACTACTCCGGTGGCGAACGGAGAGCTCACCGCGGGCACTGCAAGTACGGCGATGTCATGGATGTCGTACTTCGCGTCTTCAATCCTGGGACCGGCCACTGCAGGCTACCACGACGGGGACGAAGACCTAGAGGAAGAGGCGGAGGACGAGGTGGGGCCGGAGGAGGCGTGGAAGGATGTGAAGGTGGAGATGGTTGAGTGCGAGGTGCCGGTGAGGGTGTGGCCTGGGAATACGGCGTTCAAGGCGACCGACATTGTGTTCGACGTTTGAGCAGAGCAAACACAAATGTGTATGTCTCTATTGCATCGTGGGCGCAGTGAGCTGAGCTGACCATACGACGTGCTCCATTCTATAGTGCGGAGCTCACGCGTGCTCACCTGCGCTCACGCGGGCGCACTTGAAGCATTTGCGCGTCTACCTGGGCACATCAAGATCGATCATTGGGACCGCGGCGCGGGGCCGACGTTTGCCCATATGGAGGCTAGCGGTGCCTTCCTCGGGACATTGCGAGGGCGAAGTCTCCACAGTCCGAAGCCTCCGGCCATCTCCCACCAACCACCGACGCGGACGGCTCGCTGGCCGACGAATGCCAGGCACGACGACTAGACGGGAGCAAATCAGCGCCACGGAGAATCGTGCGCGGGGTGTTCACAGGGTTTAGGCTTTGGCGAAGGCTGCGTGGGTGTGCGCGCACAAGACCGGATCATCCGCAGGCGCGGGAGCGGTCAGATGCAGAGCAGGGCGGTCATATGTAGAGCATAACGGTCAGCTGGAGGGGCGCGAAGGGGAGAAGAGAGGCTTGGTGCGTTCGGGAAGCACAGGGTGGGGGTGATGGAGGAGTGGGGGCAGGTGTAGAATAGCCTAGCGTTGAGAACGGAGGATGCCACTGGATGGGCGAGAAGGAGAGACTGAATAGAGTGTGGACGAGGAGCGGGCCTTGTGACCCGCAATTGCCTAATCGAGCACAGGGGTGACCGAGCCTGCGTCTCGTTCTGGCTCTCGCGCCGTCAGGTGAGCGACAGAGTCCAGCACCGCGATGGCATTGCCCAAGACCCCCTCCGCGGCCGCTTGACGATCTTGCTTCCCGCCATAGACCCGCCGCGAGTCTGTGCACTCCCGCCTCTGCTTCGCCCGAACGCCCTCCAGTGCTTAGACTGCGCCTGTCTCCGAGTCATCTGTCCCCGCTACCCCGCATTTTCCTCTAGACTACCGTAGAGTCGACGCGTGTACAACACAGAGCTCACGACCACCGTGCGTACCACTAATGACCTCGAATGACGCGTCGCTCATGTCGCTGCGCAGGCTAACGACCCTAGAGACTGCGAAGAGCGTGTACGCTATAGCCCGGGTACCCATCTCCTAGATCCAGATCCCCCTCCCCCGCCCTCCAAGGCCCTTCCTCACACGACTCATCAAGCTGGCGACCGTCCACAACTATCAGCAATTGTCCAACTTGGGCTTACCCTCTGCTAGCCTAATGCAGTCAAACAGCCACCAACAGCATGCGTCCGACGACGCCGATCGTCAGAACCGGTTCCTCTCCTCGCATGGCTCCGAGACCCCCAACAGCCTCAGCCTTCGCGAGCGCGCCGCAAGCCAACCCCCGCGTACCCAGAACTTTGCCGCGCCCCCTCCGCAGCCTGTGCGTAACAACTCAGGTGGGCCTGGGGCGGGAGCTTGGGGTCGCTTCCCGTCCGGCCTCAGTCCCCTCCCCCAGTCCGTTCCCACGCGCAGCGCTTCCTTCTCGTCCTCTCCTTTAAGTACCCACAACCCCTTCTCATCTGCCATGCGCGACTCCCGCTTTGCGAGCACGTTTGAGGACGACGAGTCGGAGGCGCTTAGCGACATCCAGGATCCGTACGATCCGTACGACGAACGCTACCCCCGCACGAATATGTCTTTCCGCGGACGCACTTATGCCCCCGATCTCACTCGAAGCCGTTCGCAGTCGCTTGCCACAACCCGTCCTGGAGCGATTGGTAGCGGTTTCCCGAGCCAGTTCGGGCAATGGGATGGGTCTTCGCCACAGAGCATCCCTTCGCGGTATGACTTCAAGACGCCAACCAGCGGCAGCCGCTACGGCTCTCTGGGCGCCATCGGTCGATCGCCGTCTGGAGGATACTCGAACAACATGATTGATCCTTCAAACATGAGCCCGTTCGTGCGAGACGTGGGTCAGATCGTCTTGGACGAAGGGTCCGCCTTTCGAGAGCTGTGGTCCGGGATGAACCCACCGCGCGACGAGAACGGTGGCGGAGGGAGCGGTACGACTAGCCGACGACACAGTGTCAGCGTCGTACAGCCCCGCAGACCCATCGTGGGCTTCAACGCGCCAGCCGCAGAGTTTCAAGAGGAAAACGTCCGCCCGGGGAATTTCCATCACTCTGCCTCGTACGGTGGCGGCGGAGGCCTGATGCTCACCGATGACGACCTGGCCAGCGACCTCGGCATGCTGAATCTCAACGAGAGCGGTAGGCCCGTCGCTTCCATACAGCCCCCATCGCAGCCGTCGTCTCTCCCCATCTATGCGCCTCTGTCACGGAGCCCGCCGGCGTCAGACCGCGTTTCGCCTTACCAAGCTCTGCACCTCAATATCCCAGGAGGGGCAGGCTCGTACGCATCCCGCCAGTCCATCGTCGGCTCGCCAAGTGACAGTGGTATGTCCGGCGGAAGTCCCTCCCGTGGTTTGGACCAATACTCGCAGGAGGTTGCGCACCACAGGGAGCCCGCGCGTCCACAAGCTCTCATGGCTCGCTATGTCCCGGGACACGGCATCCAGCAGATTCCGGAGCAAGGCATCATGCCCTCGCCCCTCTCGCCCGCAGCACTACGCAGCGCCGGTCAATACGGACAGCCACAGCAAATGCAGCGGCGGCCGTCAGACGCCACGCGTCCGCTGACCGAGCTCGGGAAGGGCATGCCGCTGCACGCGGTGCCGACGTCGTGGCCGCTGTACATTGTGGAATTCAAGGCGGGGCGGACGGACCTGTTCTACTGCACGGACCTGACGCAGGACATCCGGGTGGGCGACCTAGTCATCGTCGAGGCGGACCGCGGCAAGGACCTCGGGACGGTCATCAACGACAGCATCACGCTCGCCGAGGTCGAGGCGTTCCAGAAGCAGCAGAAGCTCATGAGCATGGGCCATGCGGACGTCCATGGCGTTCCGACGAGCCCGACGAGCGCCACCGGCGGAGGCGTGAAGGACATCAACCCGAAGATGATTTACGGCAAGGCGCAAGCTCGGGACATGCAGTGCGTACATGCGGCTGGTCTTGCTCTTTCCAGGTCTGACCGTGCTTTGTGTTGTTCTGCAGGACTCTGTCGGCAAAGGCGCAGGATGAAGCCAAGGCGCTCGAGCTGTGCAAAAACAAAGTGCGGCAGAGGAAGCTGCCCATGGAGGTCATTGACGCCGAATACCAGTGGTGCGTTTTAGACTCGAAGCGCCGACGTGAGCTTACGCTTACTGACGTCTTCTGTAGGGATCGTCGTAAATTAACCTTCTACTTCGTTGCCGAAAAGCGGATCGACTTCCGCGAGTTGGTGCGCGAGCTGTTCCGGTCAGTTGTGTCTTTCCTCTGCACGTGTCATCGCAGCGTTCTCACCGTGAATCCATCTTACAGGTTGTACAAAACGCGCATCTGGATGGCGTCGCTGAGCGGCGCAGGCGGCTTCGACCAGTAACCGGGTGGCGGCAGATCCTCTCCACGCCACGCCAGCCCCTTCAAATCCGACTTTTCCTCGCGCCCGCCGCTCTTCGTACCTCCGTCCACGTCACGCATCCAGTTATGCCCCGGCTATACCTCGCTTCCGCGCTGTCCCGCTCCCACACGCATGCACTCCTACCCTCCGGTCCCTTGCAATATTTACTACAAGCTCCCGTCACCAGTGTAACGTGTACGCTATCCCGCCGCGGCGCGAAGAGGCGCACCCGCGCGCGACGTAACTTAACGCCATGGACCCGTGTCATGACCTCTCCCTTTTTTTCTGTAGGTACCCCGCTCTCCTGCACCCCTTCGTTCTTCGAACAGTCCCTCTGTCCCTATTACCCCTCCCCTTGTACCATCAGCACGGTCTGTTCTGCGTCTGCTCATCGTCTCGCGTCTTGTGCTTGTGCCTGTGCTCGTACGGACATGTCTCCGGTCTGGGGTCGACGCGCGAAAGAAGAAGGCGGCCGCCTGGCTGGGCACGGCTTTGGATACCCCCGGCCGAACGCCGGCCGCGTAAATGTATCATTACTTGTAGTCTAGTCGTATATATGTATGGTGCGTGTCGGCGTTTGTTCCTCCGATGTGTGCGCTCGCCGATTCCGCAGGATTCGTCCCGTCAATGGCTGCGGTGGCGTCGTTGGAAGGCCTAGAATAGGTGCGTGGGTGCATGTCCGGAGTTCCACTTTTGCTGAATCGTTTGCATAGGTGCAAGCTTGCACAGGTCCCGAGGATACGAGTGAATCTGTCCGGTGAACGCGGGGCTTTCATCGCCACCGTTCGGTGCGTGGGCTCGCAGAAAGACTCGACATGACAGATGCGTCATAAAACATACGCGCGGTTTGATGTAGGTCGCGATGCTTGTCATACCGCTATACACGCATGCATCGGCCCATCGGCGCAAGTCTTCTCATCGGTTAGGCGGCGACAGGGCACGAAGCGAACTTCAGGTGAGCGTGGTAGACTCATGCGGCGTTCTCAGGCGACACAACTCTCTCAAGAAGAAGCTCAGGCCGACCAAGTTGCTGGAGGTGTGTCGACGCTTCTTTTCCAGCAATGACGTAGCTCACACACCTCGGCTCATCCTAGGTTTGGCCTGTGGCGGTACGCGCTGTGTGCATACCATGACATGCGGCTACGAGACGCCAATTATCGGCGCCCCACGGTCTAACATGTCATCTTGACATGGCACGGAAGCGAAAAAGAACCATAAGCCAGGGCCTTATCGAGATAACCTATATGGCTAACGAGATGCAGATCGCAGCTCCTCTCCCCGGCCGCACTCTGCCCACAGTTGCCGACGGCGAGCCCAGTATACAGTCAGCAAGGTCTCACGCCGTCGAACGAGGAAGCCAGCGACCCACAATGTGACTGCACAAGTACTGTCGCATTAGGCCGCATTAGCACGAAAAGGGACGATCCAGGTGAAGTGCGCTGTCTGTCCAAACGCGTGGCATATTGATATCAGTCGTTCAGGCGAGCCACCAAAGTGGTTTCTTCTGTGTCACTTCCGGCCGGAATTTGTGGGTGCCGGCGCAATATATCCTGCCCGCCCGGCGCGTTACAAGGCCGCAAAGCCCGCCTGCTGAAGATCGCACGGGTGGTGCCATCTGAATCGTGTGAGACAGCAGGTGAGTGCAAAGAAATGCAGTGGAGTGCGACGATCTGCGCCGGTGGAGAGGATAGACGTGACGGGGCTGGCACAGCGCGGTTGATGCAAGAAGGAAAGAAGCGCTGTTGTTGGGCGAAATGAAGCAACGGGATTGGAGGAAGGCAGGGGGAGTTCCTGGAATGGGGCGATTTGTCCAGGAAAGGCAGGTGACAAGGAATGATGGAGGAGACGTCGGGCGAAGCTCTCTTCCCTCTGCGCTCGCCAGCTTCTCATGCCGACTTGGGCGCGGTCCCAGGCAGCTGGCGGCCCTCCCCGGACAGCAACATTCCGCTCTGTGTCCATGTCACCGCCGTCCACGCTACCCTCCCTCTCCGTGGCGACGGCCGCGCATGTCTCTCTTTCTTCCATACCACCACCATCGTATATAGCTCACCCACTCTCTTTCACCATTCGTTCATCCATGTCGCTCGCCTCGGACCCCCGTGCCTCTCCTTTCACCGTCCAGGAGTTCAGCGACCTCGTCTGCTCCGCATTCAACCTCGAGGATGCAGACCTCTCTCCGCCGTCTCGCCGGCCTCTCCTCTCCTTCACTCCTCCTTCTCCTCATTCTCTTGTCCTGCCTGATGCTCGGGTGGATCTCTCAGGCTGCTGCTTCGAGGGCGAGACGGAGGACGAGCATCAAGACCCTCGTTCCCCCAGTCTGGACGATGCCTCGCCCCAATCGTCTCCACCTGGAAGGAGATCGCGTTCCAGAACGATTACAGCCCTCCGCGTGTTCCACCAAGTCCGTACTCGCGCCTCCGCCTTCGTTCTTCGACCACGTGCTCCTTCTGTGTCTCGCAACTCTCCCCCTCCCCTTCCTTTTGAGCCCCTCCCCCCGCTCTTGGCCATTTCCCCCACCCTCATTCCCACTCCCATCATCCCTCGCCCCCACACGCCCCTCAGCATGCTCGACCTCAACCTTGACCACCCCGGCTCTCGCACGCGTTCTCGTGCGGAGAGTCTGCCCCGGTCGCTGCTCTTCAAACGTGAAACCACCCCGCCTCCGCTTCCGGTCCGCCAGTCGCATCCCGGCACCTCCGCCGGAGTGCGCGACGCGTCTTTCGACCTCCGGTCGTTCTTCGACGACTCGCCCGTGAAGTCTAAACGCGCATATAGTCGCCCCTCCACGGCCACCTCCATGTCTCAGGCGTCCACCATCCACCCTCTTTCGCGCATGGCCTCGTCCAATAGTGCCCACGCGGTCCTCTCTGGGGAAGGCTTGCCGTCATTCTTCGAAGACACTGGGTACCAAGTTGCCAAACCTGCCGCGCCCCACTACAGTCGTCCCACCACGCCGGCGGAAGGGCTAGGCCTGCGCATACATACTCGTCTTCCCGCGTTGCGCAAGTCCAAGAGTGGAGGGCATGGTCTTTTCAGTCGCAGTCACCGCAAAGACGGCTCGAAGGGCCTTAGCGAGGACACATCCGCTAGGCTGGGGATCGAAGATTCCGCTTTCTGGAGCGCGCACAATGATGGTCGCACGCCCTCCCCCTTCACTTGTCCCAGAGAAGTCCCTCCGATGCCCAATGCGCTAGCCCCCTTCGTGCTTGACAGCCCCGAGGACTTGGAGGCTCCCTTGCCGCCGTCGTACGTGTTCGAGAGACGCGGCAGTGCAGCGAGCAATTCAACGGTGGGTTCACATCCGGTGTTCCTGGAATGCTACGATGCTCACGGCTTACCTATTTAGGCGAGTACCAGGTCGAGCTCTAGTCTATCCTCCAAGATCTCTAGCATCGTCGGCATCGCTTTCCCGAGCAAGATGCGTTTGCATGCACGTTCCAAGCTGAATCTCAACATCGCGACTGGTCCGGACCCGGTTTCCGCGCATTCTTCCCCTTCGACGTTGGGGTCGCTCTCCTCACCCACAACTCCGGTTTCTCCGACCTCGACGTTCCCACGCTCTCAGCCATACGTGTTTCCTGGGTATGCTGACCCACTTAGCCAGGACAACTCGTTATCTGAGATCGAAGAAGATGCACTTGCTCTCGGCCGCGTTCTCACTCCGGAGGCGGATCCGTTCGCGAAGGCGGACATTGCGGTACCTATCGAGGGGACGCCACGTCCCCCCACTCCTCCGGTGTCTCGTCGTGCCTCGTCACAAACATCCCCGGCGACGGGTTTGTACCGGACGCCAACCTGGAACGAAGAGAGAGTCAAGGTTCCAGGACCGACCAAACGGACGAGAAATAGTCTCCCTGCGTCGCCTGTATCCTCCGCGTCCACGTTCCCGTCCACCTGCTCGATCTACGGAGGGCGTGATTCAAGTCCGCTCGCGCACACTCCCCCCACACCGAAGCACAACGGACCTCCTTCAGCGTGGTCGCCATACAGCACGCCAGCTGCGTCTTCTTCGTCGCCGAGCTCTTCGTCGGCGATTGCTTCCTCTCCTAGCCGCTCTCCGTCCTCTGCTGCGAAGTCCAGGCGGCGAGTTAGTCCTTCGTCACCGCCGTCCCCTACTATGTCAGCATTCCCGTTGCCTCCCAGAACGCTTCCGCTACAATTCCCTCCGCCTCGTCGTGCGCTGCCCTCTATTCCTCTTCCATCACCCACGGCCCCTCCTGTCCCCCCGAAGGACTCCCCACTGTCCCGTGTAGCACGTGCGCACAAGTCGCTTCCGCCGTCACCGCATCCTCTCCCGCCACTGGCAGGTTCCCCAGCTTCAGTACGCTCGCACAGGGAAACCGGTGCAACACGCTGGGACGATCGCCACATGACCCTCCTCCCTTTGAAGACGGACATACGGGACCTGTTCGCAGAGGCGGATGCTCGTTCTGGCGATCGGGATCATCTAGAGGAGAGCTTCGACCTATCGAGCTCTTCTTTGGGGGAGCCGTGGAATGGTCTAGGGTGCGGATCTAGTATCGACTTGTCCTCCCCTTCCGCCATGTCCTCAGGCTGGCAGATCAGGCCTGTAGCTAGGAGGCGCTCCGTGGACTCGACCTCCACCATCACCGGGTCGCCCGCTTCGTCCGCCTTGCACGACGCGGGAAACAGTTGGGAAGCGGAGTCTTCGACTACGGAAGGCAGGCCTCCAGTCCTCGAGGCCGACACGCATCCTGTCAGCATCCCCACGGACAACGATTCCGACTACTGCGGCTCCGCCGTGTCGCTCGCGACTTTCTACACCGCGCGGTCGAGTTTGGGTTCGGATTCCCCAGCTCACACCTCTCCAGTTGTCGACTTCGCCATGGATGCTAGGTCGTAACCCGATGCTTCGAACGACTCGGATTATACACGGCGGCCCTCCCTCTCTCGACGCCACCTTTCTTGTCTCTGCTCTGAATGTTATCGCGTGCGCAGTAATAGCAAGTATACCTCTCGTATAGTACATATCTCGGGCTGTCCCCTTCCGCTCTTTATACGCGTAACTTATCGTGTCATTCTTTATTTGTCACATACTCTTTCCCTAATATCCTGTAAAACGTCATAAGAATCGGTGTACTTTATAACGTACCGTAGGCTCCGTAGTCGGTACGTCTTGTGGAGGTGAAATACGAGGAAGCGGTACGCGGAGCTCGCAGGCAAGCATAAATGGCATCTAGACCCAAAGTTACATGTTCGCAGGCTGCGCAACGTTCACCTGCGCTCAGCGCTTGGCGTGCCGCAACTTCAAGTTAAGTGTGTGCATACCCACTACCAGAACTGCTGATAACATCTCGAGGTCCTCTCCGTAGCTCGTTGCATCGCCTTGTGTGGACCGACTCGCCCTAAATTTGCATACCGGATGTCTATTCTTCGCCTCCCAGATGAGGTGTGCGAGGAGATCATCGATAACTGCCGCAGCTTCTTGGACGGCGGCGACTGGGCACCCGAGGAATCCTACCAGGTTCTGCTTGCGTGCAGTCTCACATGTCAAGCCTGGTTACCCCGAAGCCGCCTCCGCCTGTACTCTGCGCTGCTTTTTCGACACCACCGCGATGTGGGCTCCTTATTGGAAACCGTCACGGCCCACCCCTTCCTTGCAGATCTCCCGCGGACGATGTGCATCCACTCCACGCAGGAGTATATCCCGTTCGCCAGCTCGAACTCGGTGCTGGCTCAAAAGCTGCCGAATATCCGCACGATGTGGCTCGTCGTGAACTGGAAACACTATCCGACAAAACACCACGCCGTGATCGGGCAATATCCAGTCGTCCAGCTCTACATCGACTTCCAGCCCATTGACACCAACAACTTTCATCGCCTCTTCCACCTCGTGTATTCCCTTCCGAATCTACGACAGCTCCACAGGGCGCCCACTTTGCATGGGCGCATCATGAAGCCGACCTCGCTTTGTCCGCCCATCTCCGATGCGGACGTCCTTCGGACGACGCTCCTGCCTGTACAGCCCAGGAGACGCACCATCGTTCTCCTAGCACTCGAAGTTGAGGCAAGGGCAATCCTTGACATGCACACCGGGTGGGGGATGCTGACATCCTCCGTGCCCTCCGATGACAGGCCAGCTGGTTTGATATTGGGAACACGCCGCTAGCCGAAATATTCGGCACCTCGGTTGTCGAGCTGACCATACGCTGCTTGACCACACGATCGCCTACCTACAGGCATGGTCAGAATAGAATTCCACGTTCTCTTCTGAGCGTGCCGCAGCTAACCAAGTCCACCCTTAGATTTGCAAAGGCTGCTCACTTACCTATCGCTCCTCTCGTCGCTCAAGACGTTGTCCCTCATAGTCGAGCCCCGGAATCTCCACGGCGATGTGCTCAGCTCGTCAGAGAATGCAACGGTGTTTTACCCGTGGATCGCCTCCGCCATCTCTAGCGCACGCACGCACACTACCTTGCGCGTCGTCCGCCTGCGGTTCTGGGGGCCAGAGTGCGTCTGGACGTGCGCCTCGCTGAGCCGCCACGGCTTTCTGGACATGCTTGCGACGCGCGCCCTCGAGGACGCCCTTTGCAACATCCCGAACCTTTCTCAGCTCGCCCTCGAGCTCCCCGCGGGCCCCGGGGACTCCCCAGATGTCTGCCGATGGTGGGAGACGGAGCTGCGCAAACGCTTTCTGCGGCTGAACGCCCAGATTTCGGCAGCAGTACATGCTAGGTCCGGTGCGCTCGATTTTTGGTCCCGGCCGTGTATGGCACAGGCGTACTCATGCCGGACATTTAGGCATCTCCTCGCAGCCACATGCATGTCGGCCAATATGGATAGATGCACGCGAGGAGACCCCTGATGCGCACCAAGTGAGCACTGCGATGTTCGACTGTGCCATTCCCGAGCGGTGCAAGATAAATATCACTCACCCTTTCCCAGATACTGCCCCTGGTCCGCTATCCGAACTACAATGTGCGGGCGCACATCCTAGAGTCGGAACTCATCGTGGTATACGACTACGTGCCGCTGACCGAGGCTCTCGAATGGCGCGGGGTGTCCCAGCCCGACGAGCTGACCTTCCCCCTATTCGCCGACGTCGGCAAGAAGTTGGGCATCGTCGTCGCAGTAAGTGCTCGTCGCCCATAAACATTTCCGTCGAAGTCACCGTTCACCGTCGGCTGCTGCAGCCCGCAGAACTCCAGCTACCCCGCCAAGAGCCGCTGGTGAAGCTGTACTACGTTCGGGGCTGGGCAACCGGCGGACAGGGAGTCGTGCCGATCACCCGCGCCGAGCTGGCGTATCTCGTATCCGCAGAGCTCCGCGCGCTCATGGTGCGTCTTCCTCTTGGGGGGGGGGGGGGGTCTTTCTATACGCAGAGCATCACGCTGAGCGACGTCCGACGGCTGCCCACAGCAAGCATACCCCCTGGTGCGGGGCGGCACGGCCATCGAGTTTGCACGGCTGTGTCTGATCGAGGTGCACCAGGTCACGGACGACACGTTGCAGGCTCTCTTTGGGATCATTCCGAATCCCTCTGGACGGCCGCTCACGGCCGACTGAAGGCTCATGAGTCGACGGCTGTTATTAGGAAGGGCAGCTGTAGAGGTGTAGGTGGTGTGGGCGTGCTCAGGACCATCCATCCCTTGTCTGCCTCGCTGAAGATGTGCTGTACGATGTCTGTGAAGTCAACCAGTATACGGGTCTGTTCTGTCAGACGATATGTCGCTGTCCTGTTAACACCACAGTCAAGATATGAGAGATACGAGGAAGTGACGGTCCAGAGGTCGCAATAAGTGGCATCAATGCATTTACATGTTCGCAGACCGCAAGAGGCTGCTTAGTGCTTAGAAATCCGAAGGATCGTACTGTCGACTGAAGGTCGCTCCCAGGATTAATGAAAAACTAGCTACGGATCCCGCGATATCTTCCGCGCAACCGAGTCGTACAACGCCCTCTCCGGATCCCTCGGCACCGGCGGCAGCACCTTCTCATCCCCGTCCGCCTCCGCATAGCGTCGCACATGCAGCCTCTCCGGACGAGAAACAGACGGCGGCGGCGAGCGAGCACGGTACCTGGGCTCCGGAGATGGCGGCGCCGGGGACCCCATGATATAGCGGTCCAAGACGGAGTCGTTGACGGACGCGTTGAGGTATGCATCGCGTCCGCGCGGGGCGCCACCCTCGACCCCAGGATCGACGAGCGTCCGGCCCTTGCGCTTGAGCCGCCCCCAGTCCTCATCGTCATCGTCATAGTCGCGTTGTTCACGAGCGTAACGGCGGTCTTGCGCCTTGTGTGACCCACGGTGGTCGTCTTCGGCGTAGCTCCTCACGCTCTCCCGGTCCCCGCCCCAGCTATCTGTCGACGGAAAGACGGGGGAAACACCCGCCCTGAACGTGCTCGCGGGCACCGTTGTGCGCCGATCGCGTGCATGGCTCGCGTGGAACGGCTCCCGCGTCGGCCGACGCGCTTCTCTCCGCGGGAAGTTCGTGTACCCCTCGACGCTGCCGCCGTCGTCCGTGCGCCACGCAAGCGTCGTGTCGCTCGCACGTGAGTCGCACTCCAGCCGGCGGTCGTGGCGCGACACGCCCCGCTGCCACTCGCGCAGCATGCTCACGCTCGTCGAGCGCGACTCAGGCTGGGGCGCGCAGTCGTGCGTGCGTGGGCGCGGGCCTGAGCCGAGCTTTGTGAAACCGGCGAAACTGAGAGTGGAGTGGCGCGAGAGCACGCCGCGGGTCTTGAGCGTTTCTTGCTCCTGCAGCCGCTCGGTTTGGAGCTTGCGCCGCTGATGGACAGAGAGGCCGGCGGCGGCAAGAATGACGGAGATGACGAGGGAGAGCGGGACGGCGTAAGCTGCGGTAGGTACGGGAACATGTGATTCATCCAGTGAGGGGAGCGTCTGTGGCGTGTTGGGTACTTGCATGGTGACGTTGGAGGCGTTAGATGTATTGGGGGTATTAGAGGCGCTTGGGGTTTTCGAAGCGTTCGGGGAGTTTGCAGTCTTCGACTTGTCCGGGATATTCGGCGTGTTCGCTATATCCGGCGTGTTCGCGGTATTCGGCGTGTCTGGAGGTGTCGATGCTTTCGACACGTCCGATGGACCGCTAGGCGTAGTAGATGCAGAGGAGACTCCCGCAGCGAGGGAGGTTGTCGGGTCAGTGGCTTCGGATGAGCTTGTATCTTCCGTAGAGGCTAGTTATGTTTTGTGAGAACGTGTCCCCGGGAGACTTGACACATACAGCTCACCTCCATATGAAAAAGCCGGGGAAGCCATCTTATGCCCGAAATCGTCAACCATTTCGAGAAAGCATGTCGCTACGGACGAGACATTGGGCAGAGACCTGCGTTGAACTTAGTTTGATGTCCAGGCTTGAATGAATGGAACAACACTCACATATGGACGAAATATGAGCCGTCAGACTGCTCAATAGTTGGCCACACAGCCGCGCCACAACTCGAACTGTCACCGCTACTACCACTGTCATCGTGTGCTCCTTTATCCGTCCCCGTGTCGTCGTCGTCGTCGTCGTCATCATCATCATCCTCTCCCGATTCATCTTCACTGACTTTCCTCGAGGACACCGTGCTCCCGTCGTCCGTGACACATATTCGAAAAGACGGCGAAACGACCGCCTTGTCCGTACTCCAGCGCCCGACTATGGTGTCCCCGGAACCATAGACATCACCATCGGACGGAGTGATCCACGTTACGTTTGCGTCTCCGGCAGATGACAAAGTGACACAGCAGACTAGACAGAGCAGCCCAGCGGCTGAGAGGGATGGAATGGCGCGGTGCATGTTTGCCGAAAACCGCAGAGCAGAGAGCGGCTAGAGGATAGAGAGACGAGCGAGGACAGCCTTCAGACCAAGGGAGGGGGTATCGTGAGCGTACGAGCGAGGGAACGTGTTGAAATTTATGCAGCCGCCAGCCTGACTGGTGGGGGCTGACATTGCATCCAACTGACGACGTCGGAAGAGGGTGGCCAGACTCAATTGTGATACTGAAGCCCCTGGTCCACTTCACAATCCAGGAGTGCCCGAACGCGCCGCGGTGTATCAAGCAGGCGTGGACGCGGTCGAGTCTACCTCCATCTTCATGTTGGGGTGAGGAGCAGCGGACGAGATGGCGCCAACTTTCCCTGCAAAATCCGCCAGTTGACACCTTGTACAGAAGGGCCCTCAGCATATGAGTCGTGTGCACCCCGAAGATCACGTACCTCTTGCGCTCCTTCAAGTTTTCCAGCATCCCGATGACCTCGTCCTGTTCCTCCACAGAAAGCTCTCCACCGGGTAGCGTGGTTGCAAATTCATTCGCCTCTTTCATAGCATCCTTGAATTCCTTGGTCTGCTCGTCGCGTATAAGGGTGTAGACAAGATTTCAGAAAACAATTTACGAACAGAACGGACTAACGCCTGTTTGGCTTGCGGGGTCAGCGGGCCCTGGTCTTGAACTGCAAGCTCTGCGACATTGGCGAGTTTGAGAAGCAGCGACTCGTAAACCGAGGTCATCCGTGTATATCTGACCAGCAAATGAAGGTATCGCGTTGCAAAGCACAAGTGGTGGTGGTGGCGGTCGAGTTCTGAGACACAAATGGGCGTCAAACGGGGCGAACATACTCGAGGGCCGGCCGGTCCGCCCGATCCGGAGCACTTCCAGACCGCGATACGCGAGTACTTAGCGCGCCGCGTCGAATTTGACGAGGTTCACTCCAGTTTGTCTGGCGGTCTGCACGAGTGACTATATGCACACTTAAGACTAGCAGACGAGTACGCAATAATGGAGGCGTCTGTCATATCGTTCTTGGTCAAGATAGGCAGCAAATGCTGCAGAATATAGGGCGGAAGTGGGGGAACACACGAGAGTTTAGTGCTCTTCAGGAGGCAAAAACTTGTCCAACTTCTTGCGCAACGGATGGTCCACCTTGATGCCCACTGTACGCAGTGCAATCGCCAGTTCTCCCGCCAGCCGCCGTTTCTCCTCCTCGTCGCCGCCCTTCGACTCTAACAGCTCCTTCACCGCTCGCGCCAACCGCCCACGGGGTAACGGAGGTTTGTCTCCGTTCGACGGTGGAGGTCTCTTCTTCTTCCCCTTCCCTTTCGACCCCTTCAGCTTTGGAACGGCAAGGAGCTGGTCCATGACCTCCAGTCGGAACCTCCGATACGCGAGCGCCGCGAGTGGGACGACGCGATCGGGTGCGCTTGCCGCCTCTGCGTACGACTCGATGTGTGCGACGCGCCCCGGTGGATCGCCCTCGCGGAACCCCCACTTCTTCAGCTCCTCCGTGCGCCGCTCGCGGAGGCGCTTCTGCACCTTCTCGCGCGTGTCGTCCTCGCGGATCGTCCGGGCGACGGCGTCGAGCACGTCTGCGAGCCGCAGCCAGCCGCGGTCCTCGTCGATCGCGCGCTTCACGTAGTGCCGGTTTACGTAGTTTAGCAGGCGGCTCACAGACTGCGCGCCAGCGGCGTAGCGGTTGAAGCAGGGGACGAGGTAGTGCACGAGCGTGGAGTCGTCCGCGGGCGCCCCTAGGAAGATCTCGCGCGCAACGTCCGCATAATAGCGGTCGAGCTGCTCGTAGAGGTCCGCGCCGCTCGCCTTCGCCTTCTCGCTCTGCACCGAAAAGCGGGCGGGGAAGCCGGCGAGCCCGGCGGGCGCAGAGGAGGCGTCGGACTGCGCGGTGAAGTAGTTGTAGACGGCGGTGTGCACGCCCATGTGGTAGCTGACGTCGATAGCGGGGGCCTTGGCGGGGTTATTCGTCGGTGCGCGTACAATGTGGTCCAGTGCCGGGTGGAGGTATCCCCAAAGCGCGTGGAGGGAGGCGGACGGGTTCGCGCTCCCGGTCGACGGGTTCGGGAGGGGCGGGATGGCCGCCTCCGGTTTCTTCTGGCTACTAACGGGCGCGGGTGTACGCTTGTCGCTGGCCTCTACGGGCATGACGACGGCCCAGGCGGTGAGAGAAAGACAGAGAGGAGCGAGGTCGAGGTCGAGGTATGTAAAGAAAAGTTGCCAGCACTGGCAAGGGAAGTTTGATGGGCGACCCCGAAGACGGCGGCAATTCCGCTCCCGTTTCTTGCCTTTCCCCACCACCGCCTCTTTGCCATGACATCGGACTCGGACGACGACTCGGACTATGTACCCCCGAACGACATAGGTGACGACCACATAAAGAGCGGCTTGTTCTTGCGGCTCATGATACGCTTTGCACAGGCCCGGATGGCGGCTCAGACAGTGAAGCCCGCGCCCCGAAGCGCGCCCGCACGGACGCGTCGGGGGCACCATCCTCGGAGGACACGGACAAGAAGCAGTGCGCCCCTTCTCCCGTGCATGCTCATCAGCCGCCTGAGTTGCCCAGATCAGACAGGCGGACGAGGCATTTGCAGCATTCAAGGCATCCCTGAGCGCACCACCGCTACCTGAAGCCACTTCGGCCCCCGCGGCGCCGCAAATGGTCAAGATCGTGAAGCGATACAGGTTCGCGGGGGAGGAGGTTACGTGCGTTGACTACTCAGTCGTTCGTGTGACCTTGTTCTGACTTTCATTTCCGCAGGGAGATCAAAGAGGTACCCGCGAACTCGCCCGAAGCGAAAGAATGGCCGCTGTGGAAGCCCTCCGATGACGGCGGCAAGCCTACCACGCCTCTTGAACAACCTCTTGCGTCTCCCAGCGAGAGCGCTGCCCCCACTGCCTCCTCTTCTGCGACTCCGGCGAAACCGTCAGGGCCAGGGAAGCGTCCGGGCCCCCGGAAGCCGAAGACCACGCTCGCGGCGATCCCGAAGAAGCAGCCCGTAAAGAAGCTCACCACGCTCGACAAGTCCGCGATGGACTGGCGAGCCCACGTCGAGGGCGAGGACACCTCAGGGGTGAAGGACGAGCTGGAGGCGAACCGCCGCGGGGGCGGGTACCTCGAGAAGGTCGAGTTTCTCCAGCGTGTGGAAACGCGCAAGGAGGAGGTGCTCGATGCCAACAAGGGCAAACGTAGGCGATGAACCCTGTGTAACTGAAAGCACCGGTGTGTATGTTTAGATTTTTCATTTCCGCGCGGTGCGGATGGCCGGCGGTATGTACAGTAGGGGACGGTGTATATGTACGAGAAAATGCTCGGCCGGTGGTCAGCGCATCAAGAATAATCGTGTCAGGGTCGTGATA